CAGCCAGCGAAGCATCGTGTCGTGCCTTTAGTACCAAGAGCTTGATCTCCTCGCAGTCGGGGACGTAGATAGCGTCCTTGTACTTGAGGATACCGTTCTTGGTCCAGGACCAGATTTGTTCGTCCGAAGCGGCTTCGCTTCCGGTAACCAGATCCGTTTCGTCCTGTTTCCAGATTGCTCTGAATGCCGTGGAAGCGAATTCATCAGTCAGCGCGATTGCTTTTACCTCGCTGATGATGCGGTCGATGAGATCTCCATCTCCCCCTTTTTCTGGATTCGCTTCCATCTCGCGGATATACTCGTTCATCGCAGCCAGATCCTGCTCTTCAGCTCTTCGGTAAAGTTCAGAATCCCTGATGTTGTCGAGCCACAAGGTTTTGGGCAAGAGCGTGGTGAAGTTGGGCTGATTGTGTTCGAAAGAGTTAATACCTCCTCTTCCTGGGTGGTAATCCGGTCGGCGTGTAAGCGAATCCGGTTTACCTCCCTTGGTTCCGGGTCGGTACCGAATTGAGAAGTTGAAATCCGCCAATGTTTCAGCCCATCGGATCTGTCGACGATTAAGCTGCTTGTTGGTGGCAAAATACTCGAGGTTCTTGTGGTCGGTCAGGATTTCGATCGGTTTCGCCATCCCGAGCAGAATTGGCTTCCAGTGATTGAATCCTTCAACGATCGCAAGTAACTCCTTGTCATGAACGGTATAGTTGATTTCTGCTGGGTTCAACTTCCTTGAAAAGAATCCTACCGGGTGTAGCTGTTCGTCCTTGTAGCGCTGGCTAAGGACGGCAGCGATCGCGTAATCCGATGCATCCGTTTCAAGATAGCAGGTTTCGTCCGAATCTGCTTGAATTAAAACGGGTTCGCTTGCGAAGGACGAAAGTAGTGTAGCAAACGCGCCATCCTGTTTCTCGTCCCAGATCCACGGCTCGGACTTCTTGGTTAACTTCACCAGCGGAAGTGTTAACCCAGCGTATCCTTTGATAAATCGTCGGTAATAGTTGGTAAATCCAAGAAATCGTTGAATTTCTTTGATACACGTCGGTTTGGGCCAGGTTCGGATGCACTCCAATTTGTCTTGAGCCATAGCGATTTGCCCATCCTTGATGATGTAGCCGAGGAACTCGATAGAGGACTTGAAGAACTCGCATTTCTTCGGCTTCAAATAAAGCGAAAAGGAGCGGATCCGGTTAAAAACCTCCTTGATGAGCCGAATATGTTCCTCCCTCGTTTCCGTATACACCAGAATGTCGTCGATGTATACAGTAACACCTTGGTCAAGTAGAGGGTTAAACACGTCGTTCATGAAGAACTGGAAACTGGCTCCTGCGTTGGTCATGCCTTCTCGCATGACTCGAGATTTGAATGACCCGTAGCGAGTTAGGATTGTAGTCCAGTCCTCGTCTTCTTCCCGCATTCGAAGTAACTGATATGAAGTAGGCATATCGAATTTGGAGAAGAAGCGAGCTCTGCTAACTCGTTCTAAGGTGGTGTTGATCTTCGGAAGCGGATATGCGTTCTTCTTTGTCGCATTATTCAATGCTCGGAAGTCGGTCACCATCCTGAATTCCCCAGGAGTCTTCTTCGGCACGAGGAAGACCGGAGAACCGAACCAATGCGAACTCGGTTCAATGTGCCCAATCCGCCTCGATTCGTCTATCCAATTCTTGAGCCACTTGTCTGCTGCAGCAGAGAGCGGGTAAGGCTTGAGTCGTTTCAACTCCACGTTTGGTAGCAGTTCCACAACGTGATCGTACGACCTGTGGGGAGGAAGGCTGGTGTAATCGCTCTTCCTGAATACGTCTAAGTAGTCATGAAACTCAACTGGGATCACTTGACGCATCTCTTCCGATGCGATGTCGTAATCCTCTTCGTCGTCGTGTTCCAGACCCAATTCCCGTAGCGCTCGAGGATCGACATCTGTGTCGACAACTTCCGGGTCCTGTCTTCGGAGGAACCGGTTTCGCTCCAAATATTCCAGATTCGTTCCCTTGAGAGGCGAATCCGGCTTGATCAAACTGATCTCGCAAGTGTCCCAATCCGTGATGGTACGAAGACCCTTGACGAATGGGACCCCCAGGATAATGTCTGGGGCAGCAATTTCCGCAATGTCGAAGTCGAGGGAGTAGGGACCGATGTGTCCTCCGACATAGAAGATCAGACTCACGTAGTGAGTGATTTCTCCTCGCTGATTCGGATTAGGTTGGTTGTCAACCAACCGGAGTCGCTTCGGCTGATCATAAGGGATCGCCTCGACATGCTGGAGTACCTCCGCAGAGGGACGGATGAAATTACAGCTGGCTCCACTGTCGATCAGGGCGTCTGTCGTGAAAGAAGATGCTCCTGCATGGAAATCCACCGTAATCAGAGGATCTTGCCCCTGGAAGCGAAATTTGACCCATTCGGTTCGATTCGCTTTGTTCGCCCAGGTGGGAGCCGGAACTGCTTCGATTGTGGCATTTCTAGCTCGTTCGACATTAGGAGTACCTCCTCCATTTTTGCCAGCAAGAACAGGACAGGCTGAAGCGTAGTGTCCGGCCTTCCCGCAGTAGGTACAAAGGTCGAGGTCGCGTCGCCTCTTCCTTTCTTCATCGGTAATAGGACCCTTTTGGTAAGGAGTCGAACCTCTAGGTTTGACGACCTCCTTTTCGTAAGTTTTGGTCCGTTCAGTGACAACTCGCTCGGATCGGACCGAATTCGGTTCCTTCCTGTTATCCTTGCGAGCGTTCCGCTTCTCATCTTCTCGGTTGAGAACTCCATCATCGTGAAGTCTATTGTCCGCGTCGACAGCCTCATTCCTGAACTCGTTGAAGTCTGCGAACTCCATCCTCTTGTTCAGGATACCGAGACGTTCCACCACCTTGGCCTTCAGTCCTTTCTTTGCTGCAGCGATAAGAGCTTCATCGTTAAAGCCACACAAGGGACTGTACTGGGTGAATTCGGAGAAGTAAGACGAAGCGGATCCGGTTTGAACCAGCTTGTCTAAAGCGGCTTGGGCTGCAGCTTTCTCGTTGGAGCCCCCGAAGTTATGCTTCAAGAACCTCTTGAAGGCATCGTAGTCGTGTAGGAAAAGGGGTTGGTCCGCTTCATCCAACTGGAGGTAAGACGAAACCGTTTTAAAAGCTCGTCCTCCAAGAAATCCGATAGCGAAATCGATCTTGGATCCTCCAGTGGGGTAGCGTCCAGGTAATTGTCGGAAGACCATATTAAGTTTGACGATGAATTCGTCTAACTCTTTAGCGTCTCCCTTAAACGTGGGTGGATCAGCCGGTTTCGGTTCCTTGGTCCGTTTGGCAAGCAGATCCGCTTCGTTCTCCCGAAGGGGAACGTCCCTCATAGGGGTATAGGGATCCCTGGACCGAGCCACCGAAGGTCGGTGAAGTTCTCTAGGGTCGATAGTAGTTCCCGCTAGAGATGGAGGGTTGGATGGGTAAATGTTGAACTGCCTTCGAGGAAGGGGAGCCGGAATCTCTTCTCGTGTAGCGAGTTCGTCTCTTTGTTTCCTGATCGTCTGCATGAGTTCTAGGATTTGTTCTTCGAGACGACCAATACGTTCAGAGTCCGTTTCCCTAGGAGCCGGATTCGTTTCGATTGAGCCGGTCCTGGCTCGAGAGAACCGCTGTTCTTCCTCGGGGGGCAGGTCGTGGTTTTCGGAATAGACTGACATTGTCCTAACCAGGTGCGATAAAGAAGTTCCGATATGCTGTTACGGCGGAAGTCGCTAATGGGCGATAGATCCTAAGTCGTAAGGCGTAGGGTGCTTATAGGTAGATCGCAGGTAGTCGGGAGAATGTCGCAAGTTCGCTTAGATGAAGCGGGTTCGGATAAAGGGTACGAATCCAGAGATATATGGATAAGGAAGTGATCACTCGGTGTGAGGTACCGGATTCGGTCTAAGGTGAAACGATGAAGCGTAGATACTTAGCGACGTCCTTGAGTTGTAACCTCTCCGCAACACGTCTTGAAGATGTTGTAACAAGTCAGATAGGCGTGTATTGAATGTGATATCGGAACTTGACCTCTAACTATTACAGAGCGTCCTCTATCGAATTCGGTCAAGTTCCTCTAGCTATTTATATGGAGACGAGTACGGAGACGAGGCTGGCGAACACTGAAAAGACCCAAGAGAAAAGAATGGCGAGAGATGGCGAAACTGGAAGAACGAGATGGCGAACAGACGAATCCTGTCGAGAGCAGCCGGATTCGGTAGAGGAGGCGAGTTTGAGTTCTCATTTGTCCCTAGGTACGTCGAGTAAGGTTGTCGAGGTCCTGAGTAGAATGTCGTGTACCTCTAGGTCCCTGTACCTGTTTGTGATATGTGTCGGGAAGGTTTGTTGTTTCGGTGAATGGTGAAGGCGAATGGTAGGGGCGACCGAATCTGCTCCGAGGGAATCGGATTCGCCTCGTCGAGCCGGACTTAGGTGTATGCTGATGTCCGTAGATCGAGCCTGTGTGTCGGTAGTCGACTCACGTGATGATCCCGTAACACTCATGAACCCGGCATCCTTGATTGCGATGTCCATCTCGTACGACATCATCATCATAGACTCTGTCTGTAGAATGTATATACTTTGATCTGTCGCCGCTGTCTCTTTACATATACCATTGGGCTATGTTTACGACATATCGTGCCACATCGAAGCGTCTCGGAAATGTTCGAGTCCGACTCGGCACGTTGAGCGATCTGGAGTTGTTGCGCCAGCCGAAAGCTTGGTTTGGTTTCGGACATCACACCGCAGTGGGATCGACTCTGAGACACTGCGAGGGGGAGGGGGGCAGGCTATAATGCTCAATCATGGATATGGGCACGAGCAATCCGGCTGCCCATCCTGTCTACGTTGCTAGTGCCCATATCCCAGATGGAGCATCGGCTCTCTTTCTGGGACCAAATTTGCTTTGATAATATGCATGCCTCCGATACAGCAGCGCGAGGTGTACCATTCTCCTGAGATGACGACTGACTTGGTACGAACAAAAGCAGAGGAACAACGGGTTCGCCCTGCGCGTCATGTAAAGTTCGATCGGTTGTAGTTGGCGCCACTACAGACAGCACATAATATGACGAAGCAAGATTGTCAGTGGCTCTGATCTCGAAAACAGTAGACCGTCAGGAGTTATGAACCTACCCGGCTTTCCTGAGCTGAGAGACGACGTTGCTCTGTAAGATCCCCGGCCGAATCCGTATCAGATTTGACGTAAATCCAGAAAGACCAAGTTGAGGCCGATTTCCGTATCAATTCAAGTGGTCACACAGCCAAGCACAAAGTCCGACGAGTTTATCAGCCTCAACTCCAACCGAAATTTCTGGACCTTGCCAATCAGAGGAAAGATGAACAAGCTGAACGCACCTCCTTGAGATCGTCCTTCGAGCTCGCGTTCACTTCGATGCTATACGTCCGGAGGACGTTCTTGACGTCGGCCGCGTGGACCGAGACCTATGCGTTCACGACACGATTCCCGTAATGGAAACGGGAGATAGATGAGGAATCGAGTAGGTTGAAAGGGGGATCAGCAATCGTAAGCAGGATGGTTTGGAGATAAGAAAGGGTGATGGGAGAGGACTTACCCTTGCCCGGCGCATGACCTTGACTGATAGTCGTTGAAAAGAGATCCATACCCAGTCAGGTTGTACGCGACGTACGACATCACATCCGCAGTACTAACCATTCGACCCGATAAAGATCACCAGCACAAACTTTTCCCTGAAACTCTGTTCATCGTTCTGGTACTTGACCCTGACGTATCCGAAGCTGGCTTTATCGTCGCTCAGCTCGGCGGCGAGCTCTTCGATCGAGTTGGCACCTTCTCCGGTCTTGGTCAAGGTGAGCTTGTTGGATGTGGGAGAGTCGTAGTCGAGGAGTAACCAGGTGGCCGGGTCCTTGTCCGAGCGGACTTTGTCATAGGCTGCGGTGCAGTTCGAGAAAGGGGCAGGTGATCGGTGAGCGCTGAGGTCGAGTCGGCTAGGAGAGGAAATAGAGGCTCACCTTCCTGGATGGCGGTATCTTTGACGTCGGCCATATTTGTGATGGAACCCGGTGCTGTAGGTGTTTGGTCTGCCCTCTAAAAGTAAGAGTTGATGGGTTGCTAACAAGCATAGACATACGATCAACTAGGGGATCGTCCACGTCGGTCCTTTCCGATAATTTTGCGACCGGCATGGGAGGCGAGACACAGCAAGACTTACAGAGGGCGACTTTCGAGTCGATCAAGAACAATTCTGAGTCGGTACTGTCGACCAATATCACGTCATGTCGATTGAAAAGTGCGATGAAACTAGGTGACGACGTGTGAGGTTGATCGTGATGGTTTGATCACAAAGGTGGAACTCGAGGGTTCAGCACAGTCTCGCGGGTTGTCTCTGTTTACTTTGTTTGTCTCGCGGTCTTGTTGTCTCGTTGTCTCTGTTTACTTTGTGTAGGTGACGTCGTTGTTGCACGTCAGGCTAGTAAATGTCGTCGTGTCGTCCGTGAATCTGCTGATCAAGACGCTCCAACGTACGTGAATGGTCGATTGCGAAGCAAGTGATCAATGACCCGGACTTGAAAGATATCATCGTAGAAGGTCTTCGCGAATGGTGAACAACGACCGATGACAGCTTCATCAACCAGCTGAATGGGGTACACCGCCTGGTATGATAGCCTGCCTGTGCAGGATCAGGCTTCTCAGTACAACACCGTCCTCGCAGCTCTGGTTGCCTCACATCCGCAATTGAGATCCCGAACTGATTGGATCGAACGAGGACCCAACACAAACGACGACCCCGTATCAGCTCTGGAAAAGGTACTTGCATGTGTCCTACACTCGTACCCTCGTATCGCGGACGCGATGCACGTATGTCACGGCTTCCAATCAACATCCCAATCCCGATATCTCGACCCCCGCCTACTCATTGATCAAGAGCAGGACGATAGCAGTCGGGGCATCTACATGCTCATATTCGAGGGGGATCAGTACGATGAGAGGGAAGGCATCTATGTGGGGAAGACATCGACCTCGTTCAAGAAAAGGTGGAAAGAACACGGATCGAAGCCTGTCAATGACAAAGTCGCCCGGGCCATATCGAAAAATCCGTAAGTAACCAGCCTCGCAAACACACAATATGGATCTCAGAACATACCTTCGATGGCATCACATTAGGGATTGTATTATCGGGAGACATGTGCTGTTGGATGCGAGCTTGATCCCCATAAAATTTGTGAGTGCCGGAGCACAACCCTCCATTGACCTCGCCACGGACTCCTCCTCAACTGATTTGACAGTGGGATGACTCGCTGCTGTCCAGCCTGGAGATTTTGATGAATGCCTTACTGGGCGCGACACAAGGAGCCAACATGAACTGCAACATCGTGGATAATGGGTTCAACCCCTGGACATGTACCTTGACGAGCAGGTAAGTACGACGACGGTCGATTGGGGGCGCATGAGTGGTCAGCTCACATCCCTTCCAGCTGCGTGCAGCGTCTTTACGATCGCACCTTTGCCTTTGCCACTGAACACGGCTTTCTGCCACCAAGAATGCTGTTTTGCGGACTCGACAACGACGGAAACAGACAGCATATCCCCAACTCTGTGGCCTGGAGAGCGGTTCTGGGCGACACACTCGTCCATGAAGTCACAGTCACCTTCGGGGTCCAGCTGAATACAGCTATGGGTATCTGCCTCGGTCAATCGTGGTATAGCGCCTACAAGCAGTTCGGGATGGCTTCGCGAATGGCGAAGCTGCAAGCCGGTTGGGATAAGCAGAAACAACAGCATATCAGGGTAGACAAAATACGCAGCATTGCGATGACCTTGGCTTCAGATCAAACCAACCCAGTCAAGGACGAGACCTCGCCAACTCCCGCAGACGGCATGGAAGCGACGACATTCAAGGCCCTGGCGAATCCGGTAGCGGTGACGAAATTACGCTCCGTGATCTTGGCTTTGGATCAGACCAACCCGGTCAAGGAAGAGGATCAGATGCAAAGGCATGTGTACTAGTATATATGACCCGAGGCCGAGAGACAACTCAGGGATTGTTTCAATCTCTCTGCCATCTGCGGTGCTCTGTCTGCATGCCGATTCAGTGTCGGGTTGTATCCATCATCATGACCGAGATACAGACAGCCATTGTCGTGTGAAGGAGATTACCAGCAGTGATGGTTTCATCACAAGCGCGGTGTCACATTTGCCACAAGGGATAGATTTCCGCCGGCCTCGAAGTTTCGACTCCTATACCTTTGTTCGGGGTACTTGTAGCTTGGATCCGTCATGGCTGATTTGTTAACAGAGGCCTGACAAAGGCGTGAGGCGAATCGGAGCGGTCAGCGAAAGCGGAGACCCCATTCTTGAGAGCGACGCCGGCGGGGCTACATGCGATTGCGCTCTGACCTGACGAGCCGTACTGTTCCGCCCCGAACTTTGTGTCGAGGATGTGAGAGCTAGAGTCCGAGGCCGGAATTCAATCTAGGTAACCGTCGGACGGCCCCTTTGATGTCAGGGTAGAGATGCGTTCGTTAGGTGAACCAGGTAGACGCTCTCGAGATCGGAGCACTGAGTAGTGCGCGTCGGATTGGTGACTACCACTTAAAAGCTACGTCAAAGTAGGCTTCATGCTTTGACGATGAGATCTGATTCAATACCGATGGTTATGGCGAGAACGGGTTCTGCGGAGGATTGAGACAGCGGCAGTTTGGCAATGATCCGTGCCATGTAATCAGCCCGGAAAGCTGGCGAGCGGTCACGACAGGCTGTTGATCAGATCGAGTAAGCATTCAGCGATGTTTACCATCGGTATCAAGGGGCATGATTGCGGAGCGCCGGAAACCCACTTTTCAAAAAGCACATCCGGGAGAAGCCTGATTAGGCAGCGGAGGGATCCAGGCAGGGTCAATCTCCCCTGCCCGTTCGATCTGCGCGACGTCATTGTTGCCCCTTCTCGCCTCGATCTCTCTCATATTTCTCTTCATTAGACTGTGCCTTTACTTTCGTCCGACGGTATGAGCGGGTAGTGAGGTGGGCTGATGTTGTCATATAGCGTAGGTATACGCGGGTATAGTCGAGATGTTCGAGTTGGCTTCCAGAGCAGCCAAACTTAATGTCTGGCGACAATTCCGGATCAAATAGACCCGGGCGGGACGCAGGATGGTTTAGGAACCCCGAGTGACCTGGACCTCTAGGACTGGTGAATGTTGCTGAAGAGGATGCGAAAGACACAATGAATTACCTGGAACGTTCCATCTGCAGCACAGCACAGTCCCGCATACTTACAACGACCATCCCCGTTGACTGGTCTTACTTTGTATCAGGGACGAGGGATAGGCGCGATGCTGGTCCTACTGATTCTGCTTGTCGAGGTTGATCGAGCTGACCTGTAATCTCGGCTACATGATGGCCTCATTCGGTAATTCGCAAAGCGAGCCTGACAGCAGTAACTGTTTCCATAGGGAAGCTCGGGATATTCGCCTGCACGGGGGAAGTGAGCTTGAACGATCGAAGGCGTTCCATTCGGTTTCGTTGCAGAGGAAGTGAGCGGCAGTACTGGTGGGGAAGGTTGAGGGCATCCAAGTGGTCAATCGAGGGGTGTAGTGTCGATTCTCATGATCGTCGAAAAGGTTCATGGAGTCATGGGGTTCTTATGGGGTTCGTGGATGGAACCAGGTGTGATAAGAGACAAGAGTCAGGGGTTAGATTCATGAAAGCGTTCACGGCAGAGGCTATTCGCTCACATTATGTTTATGCAACACGATGAACCGAGTCGACATTTGACTCCAGTGCACGGTCTCTTCTCCTGCAAGGCACTTTAGGCACAGACTGTGAGGGAGAGCCTTGCAAGACGGGAAGAGTAACCTATCACGAGCGATTCGACAAACCCATATGGGCGATAGCGAATCAGATCTTGCCGAGTGACCTGCAGTAGCGATAACCAGAAGGTCGTGCCCGTCCAGGTTGACCTATATAAGCGATTACTACCAGGTTTCACCCGAGTCGACATGTCCGATAGTTGTGGTTTGAGCATGCGAGGAACAACGTCAGTACCAACCACTCACACCCAAACTCGACATCCCGAACCTCTATCTCGCATCAAGAGAACCAGCGGGTTTGCCTATAAGAGATAAGTCCGCGTATCCTCTGTGACCGCGAGTGGTCTTCTCCCTTCAGAAGGCCCTAGCATGCCCGCCCATCGAGCCCACTCACCATACGGTGATCCCCTTCCGCGGCAATTGGAATTTCTCCGTCAGCCTGGAAAGAGCCCCTTTCCTCCTGTCATATTAGCTGTTGACCGCTCTGCCTAGTCCCGTTCCTATTTCTGAAGGGGCTTCGGTTCTACGAAGCCGAGTCGTGCCGTGCAGGAAGCTTGAAGTCGACGTCGAGTGACCTGACGCCGTGTCGGGTCAGACCGAGTTTAGACTCCATCCTGAGGTACACAAGGGAGTCCGGATGCAGGAGTGATCATTAGGAATATGGGTTTGAAGCTTGGGCCTTGTCACGGGTGGTAAATGGCGAATGGCGGACGGGAAAGATAGGATATAGATTTGCTGATAGTGATCGAGCCAGGCCGATCCGATATGTTAGCGTGCACCTTCTGCTACTAAGATCGAGTTGAGGCTTGACTAGAGTGTTGTCCACGTACCTCGTCATGGAGAATTGGACCGCCCGCTGCCCTTGCTTCTTCTTCCTCTCCTTCATACCAATCTCCCATCGCCCGCAGCCTGTTCTGACAACCACCTCCTGTAGGATTAGGAGTAGGATTAGGACCGACATCGACATGATGATTAGGGACGCTGATTGATACCGACTCGTGTAATCGTGGAGGAGAAGAAAAAGTCCGCGAGCCGTTGTCGGGCGAACTTCTCGCAAAAGCCAGCCGAATTAGGGGACACTGGGATTGAGCGATGGCTGACAAGTCCATGGGGGTGACAGAGCATCGCCGAAGTAAACATGCGATATCAGCGTTATTGCAGGGCTTGGCTGCTCGTCACTCCCTGTCACTGTCAGAACAGAGGAAACGACTATGTGAATGTTTCAGCATCGTCGCCTTTGCTTTCACTGTTTATTGCTTTGCTTATCGGAAGCTCGGGTCTTGCTTACGTATCTTCCGTTCGTAACTGCGTAGTAGTATGGCCTCATGTGCCGGCCTCGAGCATGCAGCCCCGGTGGGGATACCGCCTGAGTCGTTCTGATATGCCATCCCAGATAGGTCCGATTGTCGTCGGGTATGGAGATTCGCAGGGCTGTCGTTTTGGTGGCTCAGAGTTCAACAAGTGACCGTCCAAGCATGGAGTTCAACAAGTGACCGTCCAAGCATGGAGTTCAACAAGTGACCGTCCAAGCATGGAGTTCAACAAGTGACCGTCCGAGCATGGAGTTCAACAAGTGACCGTCCGAGCATGGAGTTCAACAAGTGACCGTCCGACGCTCAGAGTTCAACAAGTGACCGTCCGATGCTCAGAGTTCAACAAGTGACCGTCCGATGCTCAGAGTTCAACAAGTGACCGTTGAAGGACTGCAATTGAGAGCTCCGTCTGCCTTCAGACTAGAGAGAATCTGGTTGCATGGCCAGGCCTCGTCTACGACTAATAAAAACGCCCTTTAGCTTGCGTGGTGTTGACCCAAACAGGGTGACGAAGACGGGGTAAATACCTGATATCAAATCAAAATGACGGGGCGAACTACCGTATTGCAGATATTCAACGAGCGTTGCCTGATCTAGAGAGCAAACATGTAGCATGTAGCAAGTAGCAAGTGGGGACTATACGCTTGCTAGCTAGATAGCCTCGCTCTCTGCGACCTCAGCGATCAGCTGCATCAATCGGTCGGGATCTGGACATGGATCATCATTTTGTGCATAGCATCCGCGGTGCGTTCTGCGCGCGTTCGCAGCGCGCGCCGTAGCTCCCCGTAAGATGCTTCTTCCCGACCTAACTGCAGGACGTTACTGAATCACACTGTTAACTACTGCACGCTTCTCCCGAATCCCCACCTGTCAAGAATAAACAAGACTGCCCATCGCCACAAAGACCTTCCCAGTTGTTGTCATCCGATACTACATCCGCCATGGCCGCTGGGAACGTGACTCAGGTGCCCATGACCGCTACTCTGCACAACAACGTGGGTACCGGCACTATCAAGACCACCGATACCACGGTCCTGAACGGCCCGGCTATGTCACAGGCGATGAATCTACAGCCGCGTTGCGGGCCAGAGTACTCTGCTGGAGTGAGTCCTGAATTGAGGTCGCGATAGTTCTGGCGATCTGAACCGATACCCAACCAGATGCAAAGGAAGGATGGTTCTTCCGGTACGATGGATCCGACTAGGCAGGAGAACGTCAGAGATCGCCCGGTCGAAGCTCTGGTGACACCCTTAACGAAGAAGAGGAATCCGGGAGCCAAAAAGGCAGCGCGTCGCAAACGCAAGGCGCTTCAAAAGCGGGGATTATGGATCGAGCCTGGACAAGCCCGGGCCACAACGGTCGATTCCGAAAATGCGACCAGACCCACTGTCGTAACCAATGAGTCCAACCTCGGCCGGGATGGGGACGAGGATATGGGTGCGCAGGAGCACGTTACACCCGAAAGAGAGGACGACAACGAGAGGGTTAAAGTAAAGGATGGAGTGATGGAGATTGGGAACGAGGTGGACAGCATCAATAACGCCGATGAAGAGAGCGTCGATCGCGCTATCGATACTCTATTCGAGCAGTTGGGACGTAGCGCCGTCGTTCGCAATCGGGTTACTGCACCATTCAGCGCCGATCAGTTGCAACTTCTTGCATCAGAGGTGTCTTCGCAGCTCGTGCCATCGCCATCATGGCATGGACTCCGCAGGACGTGTAGTCACTCTGAAGTGCCTGATGAGCGAAGGTGATGGTGGAGCAGCCTAGACGTTCAGCCAGCTCCGTATGACGTGCTGGAGAAGGAAGCCAGGATGAGTCTCTATCTGGGGCTTATTTGAGGGTTATTAGGGTACTATTACTTACGTGCTGCGACGCAACTGCTACCGATGAGACTATCATAGACCAGCACTTCCTGATTGTTCTCGGTCTCAACAACAGCAACCCAGTAGTGGCCGACCTTATACGATTGCGTTGACAAGTGCGCGAAATCCAGCGAAGAATCGGTTGCCGTACGTGAACGCTTAGACTCACCTCATCCTTGCCCTTGCCCCCCATTGTCAATACGGGAATAATCCAGTGACCATCTACTTTTCCAAACTCGTCTTGACGCAACCGATACTGGGGACCTAGATTGGCATTCGCGTCCCAAATTTGCTTCCCACACAACCACGCCGAGAAGTCGAGAGGAGCAATCCAGTATTTTTGCTTGAAATGACGCCCGAGGAGTTAGCCAAACAAACGCAGATTCTATTATAGCTATAGACAATATCCCACTCACCCCGTCATTTTGGGTGTCATTATCAAGCAGGCTCTGCAGATGTCTTGCAAACGCGTTGACGACCGAATTCACAACCAACCGACCGGGGTCCAGGGTATCCAGATCTTTCGCCTCGATAGAGGCTGTGCTTCTCGTAGACATAGCCACGTGTGGCAACTGATGATGGGAACGGGCCCTGTTGATTTGAATCGGTGCCAGGACCATCGCGTGAAGACGTTCCTCTTGCATGGTATCTTTGAATACGATGATGGTTGCCGGCTCGGATTTCACTCGAACGGAGATGGAAGAGGGGCGGGCGAAGTAGGTTTCGCATACGTCTGGCGCGTCTGAAGAGTATCGCTTTAAGATCATCAGATTGTCGTCCGACTTGGTCACCGAGATTCTTGCGTCATCCTCTTCGCTGTACAGTGAGGATCGCGCATAGACGGAACACTTTGTAAGTGATTTGCTAGGCGCGCATTCCGTCCGAGCGTGGCCGTACCTGTAGTTCGTGGTGCCCTCCCATGTCGAGTGGGACAACAGCCTGAAGATGATTATTGTTCCGTCTTGGTGAACCTTTTCAACCTCTTTGACTTCATCCATAACATCGATATCTTCTTTGAACCCATGAATTCCGTCTACCTGAAGCTCGTCGTAGAATCGCCTGGCAATCTGCGACAACCGGCGAAACGGGAGCTCGGGGAAGCAGTCAGTTGCTAGGAGATCGTATATGAACTGGTTGGTAGGGGACCATCCCGCTTCTGTGGTGTTGAGATGCTGAATGAGATTCTTCAGACGTGTATTATGAGCCTCGGTCCAGCCATAAGCACTGTCCTTGAAGGCTTTTTGCTCAAAAGTCGGGAGCGGGTCGAGATTCGTTTCGGGATTCGGCGAGGCTTTTTGCTCAAAAGTCGGGAGCGGGTCGAGATTCGTTTCGGGATTCGGCGAGGCTTTTTGCTCGACAGTCGGGAGCGGGATAGAGTTCAACGACGCTTCCTGCTCGAGAGTCGTTTCGGGATTCGGCGAGGCTTTTTGTAGAGATGACGCTGCTTTCTGAGACCGGGATTCCAGGGCCTGAAGGTGTCTTTTCGACCGCTCGTGCCGCTTGATACTGCACTGTGAAAGGGGGAGAAGAGGGAGAAGGTTTGTTACCAAATCCCGGAGCCGCGATAGATCGAGTGTAGAAGTAGAACTCACGGCTTGCATGACAGTCAAACATGTTCTGCACTGAACCATCACTTCTACACGGGCAGGCATCTTGGAACGAGTCGAGTCGCAGCCACGAAACGCAGCTGGAGCGTTGATTCACATGTATTGGATATGTCAGGCCTCTACTACGGCTATTGTTTCCCATAGAAATGACTCTTAGTATTCATAAAGCAAGCCCAAATATCTAAAGGATACATACCTATTGTTTCCCATAGAAATGACTAGGGAAACAACAGATTCTGATACTAGAGTAGTTTGTTGTTGCTTTCTGAATCTGAAGTAGATCAGTCTCGCTCAGAGCTGAGACTCCCATACCACTAACAATCGCACGACCTTGAAACGGCTAGATGCCGCCGCGGTACGCATCACTCTCTTTGATACTCCTAGCTGCGTTCACCTCTCGCGCTTCCATGAGGTCACCTGACCTACCTTGTGGTCCCTGTGCCTCTTGTGCCTCCAAGATGTCACGTCTCTAAGGAAAATGTCACGTCCCTATGAATTCTTTAGGGGGTGTTCGCGACCGGCTGCTCGTTTTGTCGACAGTTTTTAACGGACCCAGATTTTACTAGCAATTGCGTGTGATGCTTGGGCTGCGCGAAAATTCATCGCATGCCGGCAACATGTCTGTTCGAGGTGACATTTTTGAAGTTTTTAACCATAGACTTGTCGACCTTTATTGAACATATTCGAACGCGACTTACTCGAAGTCGTCTAGACGTCGATAGTCTATTGTTCCGACGTCGTGTTCGTAATTAGCTGATATCGTGCGATCTAGATATAAATATCATGAACTTTATTGATGATTCAGAGGCCTCTGATGACGACCTACTCCTCGATGTCAACTATACCGATATACATCAAATACTCGTTGTGGGGTCAATCCCGAACTTCGGGATCAAACGTCGATGGCGACGTCAAACAACAACTCGTCTGAGTTGGTGGTAAGGTAGGTGAATAGGGTTGCTAAGCCTAGGAGTGGTAAGGGATGTCCAGGTAGGCAAGTGCTGTTCCCGGTAGACTATAGGGGGTGGGTGGTAGGTAAAGTCGTGTAAACGTTACGTGATTCAGGTCACGTGACGTTCGAAGGTAGAAGGTGATATCTCCGATCAAACGCGATACGTCGAAGTCGTATAAACTCGAAACCTCTCGGGGTGGCAAGCTAGCAAGGGCCGTATTCTGACGCCGATCTACTTAACCTTGTCCGGAAGCCAGCTATAGATCTGTCGTCTAAGTGGGAGATGGGAAGTATACGTGAAACGCGAAGCGGCGAATCAGCGAGGTCGAACGGTAGGTGTATACCGAAAGTGAAATGTGGGATAAAAGCTATGAATAAAAGTCTACTACTGGTCTCTCTACTGCTTGCTTGACTACTACAACGGTGAAACGGCGATGGAAAGGAGGGGAATCGAATAGCGAGGTGGGGACCTATATACGTGTCTAGCGTACGCTTACGCCAGCGCGACCGAGTAAAATACCGGAACAGTCTATACTCCGGGCCGTGCGTCTTCCGCTTCTCCTCTGCCCGTACGCCTCGACCTATACACGTGTATCCTGTCTCCCATCGTCCGATGAAACCTTCTAATCCACCGTCGGCTGCCGTCTAGTAATCCACTGTGACCAACAGCGGCGAGGTCGAGGTAGTCGAGAGCGAACCGCGGATGTAGGAAGTAGGCGACCGTCGGGGCCGATAGATCCTGTCACCACAACGTACGATCGTCGAATCTGCACTGTACTCGATTCACATCTATCTTCTTTACATCTAGACGTCTAGATCGTTATTACACGGTAGCTATAGCAATCTAGTCATTAGATAACATCGCCTGAACACGTCAAAACACCTGAAACAAGCCACCAGCCACTTTACGTGAATTTAGCGCGATGTCGAACGCAGAAGCCGGAGTGAGTCGTCTATTGCAGTACTGAAGCTTTGCATCGAGTTTTACGGACTTGTACTGACTCTAAAACGTCCTGTTTAGTCCTCTCAAGCTGCTGTCCATCCTCGAAAGCAGTCCCTACGGATGACAACGGGTGGGAAGAAGCCAACGGCGCCGTTGGCCCCCAAGACGGCCAAGAGGAAGGCCCCGGCTTCCGACCGACTCGAAGATTAGCTTCCGGATATACTTCCGGGGCCTGCAGAGATATCGATATTGACGATTGCTCAATTGCTTTGGTTGTTCGACACAACTAGCAACCAGATAGAGCTTCTGTTTCTACTATATAGACAGTAAACCGCCACTGCTGATATAGTTCTGGTCGAAAGAAACCTAGACTTCCTGGCACGATGGCAGGCCGCACGTACCCGTCGGAATCGCTATATGGACCCGGTTGGACGCAAGTTTCGGATGCCGAATGGGCAGCGTTGGAGAATGATGACGAGTATGAAGATGTCGAGGAAGAGGTAAGTACGAGGATGCTCTGTACGCCGAAGAATAGCATCCAGACTAATGTGTCACGTTCTTTGCCTAGCTCTATGTGACCATGGATCTGGGGACGTACGTATCGCCGACAGTATTGATGCGAGCGACCGAGTGTCAGCTAGTGGTGAGCACGAACCTCGGGGTAGCTTCTCCAGGCCGAAAACCTGACCGGGATTCGTACTGCCGAACGACAGGGATTGGATACGCCAAAACCCTGGCTGAAAATCGGGAATCACGTCTATCGTGGTATGCACGATCAGCTGATCGGCAGCGAGATCCTTTTCCGCACGCAAAAAGGTCAGTGAGAAATCAGCATAGACCGCGAAGCGATGTACATGCTGAGTAGCCATTTCGCTTCTGCTTCGACTGCTAGACTCTGAAGATCCGCTCAATGCCACGCATACGCCCTTCGACCGCACCGATAGACGGATCAGTTTCCGACCTATGGTACCCAAGGCCAAAGCGAGTAGCAGCAAGAAGAAGGACAAGGACAAGGACGAGGATGAGATATTGGACATGGACGATGCGGACGACAACGATGGAGATCCTTCCGACCTGGAAGCTATAGCTGCAACTGCATCTACAGCTAAAGCTAAGAAGATGACGGCAAAGGATGCCGGTGATACGACAGCGACGGGCGAGAACGGAACCCCCGAAATTTCTAGGCCGGAAGTGGAAGCTCCGTTCGGATTCACCAAAGCTGGGAGACCTAGGAAACGACCAGGACCTGCACCAGGTACCAAACGAGGACCTCCTCGACCCGTTTCCCTCTCTCCTCCCCGTTTCGACGACAACGGAGAAATTATACCTAGACGATCACCCACCCCCGAACCCCTAGACCCTGTGTCTGAATCCGGCTTGCAGATTCCGGACGACGGAATCCCCACCCGTCGAAGTTCTCGCAACCCAGCTACTCGCGCTCAGCAACGAGCTCAGGCTCAGGAGAGGTTGGACAAGAAGATGCAGAAGATTGAAAAGCTTGTCGAGGCAGAGGTGATGGGTACGAGGACGGGGAGGAGGAAGGGGGCGAAGACTACCCCAATGTTGCCAGGATTCCAAGGTAGTGAGCTTGCGGCCAAGGACAAGAAGAAGAGAGAGACGGGGAAAGGGAAGGAGCAGCCAGGGCAGGCGGGGCCTAGCGGCACGACCGGCGACGTCCAGTCGCCTAGCCTTCCGCCTCCTGACGACGACATGGAAGTGGAAGAATGAGACGCATTGCCTGATTACGACCAGAGGTTATCGTATTTTGTTGTAAGATTCCACGCCGCTATGTCACTCCTGTCAAAGTCGGATCACCGCATGCCAGCACAAGTTGTATATTTGACGTACATAATTTTCGCTTGAAAGAGCGAGGCGCACAAAGTATTAGAAAACGGATTACAACGTAAAGAGAGGCATCACACAAACCGACGAGACTTGGTACTATAACAGGAGCGGAGAACAGTGTTCGCAAGAGAGAAAAAAGTACACAAGGCTGGGTGTTGGGTTTACGCCTTGAGAATGGGAAACTGTCGTCTTTGGAGCTCCTAGAGCGCGAGGGCTTCGTCCGTGCTGAACAAGACGGCATCTTCTCCTTTTCGTTGTTGAGGGTTGTCTGTCCCACTCAGAGGCAAGCCGAGTTCCTTGCCGCTCGTCTTGACGGCGTTTTTGATCCAGCCACCAGGTGCCAATCCAGCGGCTCTTGCGCCGGGTCGAGCAGCAGCAGGGTGGGGGGAAGGTCGGGGTTTCGTCTCTTTGGGGTTCATGTTTGGCATGGGGTGTTGACCCTGAGCGAGGAGGATCAAGCCGATCTCTCCGTGAAGCCCCGAGTTCATGTAGTGATACTGTACACAAGAAAGATGGACGTCAGTCCTGACCGATCTGACGATGACATTTGGCAATAGCCGCCTCACCTTCAATCCGTTCGCTTGACGATACCTCTTGTTGCATCCGTCACCGGCGGCACAGGCATAGGGTTTGGCTCGTTCCTCGGCCTCCTCCTGAGTCAGACCAGCCCACTCCATAGCATCGCGGACTTCAAAGTTGCATTGCCCTTTGAGCATATGGTATCTGAGCAAGACAGGCCGGCGGTTAGAATGCAGATCGATGCAATGGCAGGAACAACGTTATACTGACTTGAGACCATTGGCTTGCTTGTAAGACTTCTGGCATCCCGGCTGAGGACATCGGAAGGGTCGGTGGGTAGAGAAGAGGGACGGCTGAGGCGTCACGTCGGTCGACGTGGTTGCAGGTGCCGGAACCTTCCAACCGGCAGGCTTGGCGTGAGCGCTGACAGGAGAGGGCGTCGCTTCCGCCTGAGCAGGAGCTCCGAAAGTGGTCGTCGTCACTTCTGCTACAGCAGGAGAAACGGGAGTGGGCGTGTTTGCGTTCGTAAAGAGGACATTGGGCGCAACGGCGGTGAATCCGGTTGTCGTCTTGGCGGGCTCGGGAGATTGCCTCCTGACGTTCAGACCAAAGGCGTTTTTGGTTGGGGTGTCGTTGCTTGGACGGCCATTGATGCCACCGTGCAAGGCTCTCCGGGAGGCAGCCAGATTGGCCGGCTTGACCCTGGTCGATTTGGTAGACAAGTCGGGGTCCAACGCTTTGGGAGGCGAAGAGACGACAAAGCTATCGAAGGCGGAGATCTCGTCCGACGATTTCGTGCGGTTCGTAGGCGGAGCAGATGACGAGTTCGCTTTGTTCATTCCGTCCAGGGCGAGGTTGTTCAGAGCCGAAGAGATGGCGTTACCGGTCGATTGATTGCTCGCGATCAGACCGGGGGTGGCGTGACCCGGCGCGGGCGAAGTCTGGGTCGAGTTGGTAACACTGGAGAAACCCGACGAAGGGGATTCTTCGTCAAGGGCCTCCATCTCGACGTCCAGCTCGTCCCCACCGTAAGCCCACTTGCTATCGGCGTCCATTTCGAGGGAGAGATCCATGTTGGAAGCAGACGATGGCGAGTTGACCACGACTACGTGGGCTTCTTCGTACTATTGCGAGCAAGAATGAAAGCGAGTCAGTTCCAGGTGAAGAGATTCGTCCCTATCAAGAACCAGTACTGACGTGTTCGAGGAGGTCGTGCAGGTTGCCGAGATCTTGTCCGCAGCACATAAAATCTTTGCACTATATCGAGAGAGCGTATCCATTAGGTCTGCCTTCGAGTCCTCAGGCCAGCCAGCGGCGACTTACAAAGTCCGCTTCCTTCTTCATGATATTGCTCTTTACGCGGCCCCAATTGGTATTACTACCGGTAAAGCTCTTTCCAGAGATGCTCATCCCGCCGTAACTCTTTCCTGCGCCATAGCTCTGACCTCCGTTGAAGCTTCCAAGGACAATGGGAATACCCAGGGCGGAAGGAGATCGAAAGGAACCGTTCCTGCCGGTAAAGGAGAAGGAGATGGTGGAATCGCCATTCGAGTTCAAAAAGGGGTCTGACGAGTTGTCATTCGAACTATGATATGAACAGGATCAGTCAGTACGTATACTCGGCACTATCTGGGACCAGGACCTCAAGACTCACTCATCCATGTATCCGCTAAAGCTACCGTTGGCGTTCTTGTAGGAACCGAATGCATTGCGATCCCCAAAGCTCTGCCCCCGTCCACCGAGACCGTTCTGGTTGATAAAGCTGTGCTTCCAGCTCTTCATCATACCGCCCGCCCCAGTAAAGCTCATTCCGAATGACATGGGACTAGCACCCATGCTTTCGGCAAAGAGGGGGTTGGTGGGAGAGATGGGGTAGATGGAAGGTCGAGTTGGCGAGCCACCTTTACCAGAGCTGATGTTGGCGCGACGAGAGGCATTGTTGTTTTGGTTGGCGTTGTTCTGCCGGATGGGAAGTGCCGAAGCCATGTTGAGGGCTTTGTCGAAGGTGGATGATGACGAAGATTAGGGAGTAAGAAGGATCAGATGGCAGGGGTATTTCGCGTCGTACGACCAGAGATTAGTGTACAGCGACTGCGGGCGAAATGCAAAGAAACGAGGTGAGCACGGGATGAGCGGTGAACTGCCAGCAGGCTGTCAGGGCTGATACTCACGATAGGAGCTCGTATGGATTGTCGGGATGAGACGACGATTGCAAGTCGTGCGTAATTAGGCAAAAGTCGAAAAAGTAGGGGTTGTTGTGGAAAAGTCGGAACTGGCCGAGAGGGGTTGTTTTCGCCGGCGAGTCGCTACTTTTTTTTTTGGTGGACTGCTAGGATCTGGTCGAGATCGCTAGTACGACTCAGATGGTGTTTGATGGTGCAGTTGCTGGTATATATTGTTACAGGTCAGTTACGACGTTCACTCCAATACGACGACGCTATGAGGCAACTAGTACGAATCCCGTCCAGGCTCGTTCATGTATATGTCGAACGGTCAACTGGTTCAAACGAACGCTCCAAGAGGGTTCGCCTCGCTACGGTGCAGCGCCCAAGGGAGTTCCTGGGCGAGGCTGGCCAAGCGCGGACGTCGCCGTCGCCTTGCATGTGTTTGCCCCCACCCCGTGTTTTTTTCCGCAACGATCGTTTTACGGCAGCGGGCCGAAGAGGGATCTTTGACGATCTGATCCCGAATGTTTCGCCCTTGATGACCGCCCAACTCCCGCACATGTCTTGCAGTCGTCAGACCTCGAAACATGAACCTGACAACTATTCTCTTGATACTCGGCACGAGACAGACGCCGATCCGGTCCAACGCCTTCCCCGGCCCCACCTCGCTACAACAAGACCTGCTGTGTCGCTCCCTGCTTTCCGCTCGAGGTCTGGTGGGTATGGCGGAACAACCGGTTCTCGAGTGGATCAAAGTGATCGACAGAATGATCGACTCGCTACCGGATAACCACGAGGCCAGCCCAAGCGATGAAACGGAATGGCTCGTTCGAGACCATATTGTATTTCCCTTTTCGGGCTCGAGAGCAATAACACCTGCCCCCCATACCCCATGTGTAGTGTGCGCGTAACGCTTTCTTTCGAACACCCGACATTCCCGAGCAGACTCCACAATGGAAGACGAGAGAGCTCGTCATCGACCGTCGTCATCCAGCACCGCTCGGATTACCTCTTTCTCCCCCGGTCGACCAATCATCGTCCCTGTGTATGACACCCCGACCTCCCGAGACCGAAACACAGCGACGAGGACCGAAAAGAGAGAAGACACGGACCGTGACGCACCAGGTTACCACTGGCCACTGTATTGGAATCGGCAACTTGCAGCTTGTGAACTTTGCGATCCTCTACGTTGTCCCCGTCGAAATTCCTGACGTGTCCTAGCTCTTCGCTCGCGCGACCTCTTCTCGAAAGGAAAAAAAAAACAGGGGGCGCTGGAGGATGAGAGATAACCACGTGTCTTTGACGACCACCGAGGAAAAAAATGTGGCGGTGGTGGAGCGGAAAGATCGGGTCGCTCGGTGTTATTTTCTGGTACCGAGCGGGTCCGGGTTGAGGTGGTTGGTAACTCTAACGCCGTTGACTGACGCATGGCAGAGAGCAGAAGTGGGAAGATGCGAGTCAGCTTTCTTGTCATTGAAACACAGAATACACAACGTAGGTATCGCTAAGAAGGTGAAGGACGAGAGGAGTGAGTGCAGATGACTTGAAAGAGGATGCTGATGCTGATGACGACGGCGTCCTCGACCTTTGTCGGTCCCGAGTGCGTCTCCTCTTGCGCAACGACACGAGCTAAGGTTTACACCCGTCTCCTCGACCTGTACAGATATCTCTGGCCAAGTCCCCGAGTGTGCGTCGTACGTCCATTCGTTCTATTCCGCGGAATGACGGTCCGATCTCGACCTCGAATCTCCCACGAACTATGGGATACATGGCGTCATCCACGTCGAGGTATCACGAGCAGAGGAGGCACTGGAAAGTCCGGAACTTACATACTACCGCGAAACTAGCCCGGTGTGATTGCGAATGCTCGGGGGTCCCTTGGGGCGAGACCAAGAAGTAGCTGGTGTGGTTCTTCGGGCGGGGCCGTGGGTGTGATGACGACAAGATGACAATGACGGCGGGGTGGGTGACTACACTAGGTCGGATGAGGTATGCTCGCTGGCTATGACGAATCAAGATGGTTGTTCGGAAAGAAGAAAGACGCGCTCGTTGGCAACCAATCGTGTCGGTGGTGATTCTCGTATATATATTCCTTCAGACTTCGGGTGGATCTCACTTTTCTTGAACGCGTTTGTGGTAGCGCTTGCCCCTTTGGGATCCTTGTCTGCGTTCGTCCGTGTTTGTGGTTTCCATCAGAGAACTTGTGATCAGATTGATGAATGATGAGACGCAAGGCGCAAGAGGGAGAGGAGCACCATGCGGAGCCGGTCGTTCGCGTTTCGTCCTGTCTCTGGCGCGAAAAAGAACAACCCAAGCTCCCCTCGCTTCTCGCTTCTCGATCGATCGATTGATCGGCCCACCACGGACCTCCTTTGGACCCCCGTTGTGGACGCAGAACGCGGCCACAACCATGCCCGAGACATTGCAACACGCATCGTCTTACAATTTACCCATACGACAATGCGACGACGACCCACCAACAACACGCACGGACCTCCTCGTTGTCGCCAGGTCGGTAGGTGGATCGAACAAAAGATCCACCGGGATGAAGCCCGCCGCGGCTTTTCGGAAAGAAAAGTCAAAGGACCCTCCCCGCACATATCGATATGCTCTTCCCCCCTCCCCCTTCCTTTAGTTCCCGTAGTTGTCGGCCAGAGGGTAGAAGCAATACCAAGATGACTCTGAAACGAAACACGACGCACGAGACACTAGAGCGGGAATATTCGGCTCTTGTGCGATCGTGCGATCGGCTGCGGCTTGCCAATAGATGATAGATGGGGGGCTGAGGCCGACTTAGGAGCTTAGGACAGCTTGATGTAACGATCCTTCAAAACTGGTCCTCTTTGTATTCTTGTGCAATCCTGAGTCTGCGGCTCGTCGAGATCAGAACCTGGTCAATGAAGTCACATGGTACTCGTTTCGGCGTCTCAGGCAGATACTATGATCCGACGAGGCAGAAGAACTGTAAAATCCACTCGCGACTCGCCGTTTGTTTAGTCACAGCAGAATGGGCATCATGCATATTTGTGAATCGCTTGTCTTGTGTCACACAGGAGGAGGTCTAAACCCTGATCATCTCGGTCGCGGACTAGGTCGTCTTGACCTTCATGTTGACCGACTTTGCTCTGGTCAACTGATCGAATCCTGCTCACACACCCAGCCATCCACATCAGCCTCACATTCCAGATCATCAGCCGCTCAGAACGTCACACCGGTACTGACCGAAAGTCGATAGGCTGACCCCACGTCCACTGTTCTTGACACCCGTCCAGCACAAGGCCGGGTCCGGAGCGTCGGACCTGTTCAAAAAGACGGTACCCGTTTCGAGCTCGCTAGAGAACATGTTGAACGCGTCGGCGGATTCCTGGTTTTCGATGTTGGTCCACACCGAAGCGGTCTGCGAGCGATGTCACCATGGGATCAGCTATCATCTAGATGCGAGCGGCTGGTGCTGGAAAGGATACTGACGAGACCATAAGTCGAGTCGTTCATCAATTGCAAAGCCTCTTCATCCGAATCGACTTTTTGGATCCCAACTACAGGGCCGAAAGTCTGATCCGAGCAGAAGGAGCGAAATCAGCACACTTGATTCTGACGGACCTTAGAGAACCACATCAGGCTCACCTCTTCCATCATGACCTCCATCTCGTGGTTGACATCGACCAAGACGACAGGAGCGACATATGTTGTACCCTCTTTGGCAGCCTCAAACTTGCTCTCGTCCACCAAGTTCTTCGCGCCGGCATCGATGGCCGCCTTGACTTGCTTCCTGATCCTCTCGGCACTGGCCAGACTGACCACAGGTCCGAGGTTGGTATTCTTGTCCTGAGGATCGCCGAGTTTGTAGGCGCTGGCGACATTGACGACTTCTTGTACGAATTCGTCATACACCGACGAGTGCACGTAGATCCGTTCGACGGAGCAGCACGATTGTCCCGAGTTGTACATGGCACCTTATAATGTCACATATCGATTCAGTACCTATTCTTCGGCTCGACATCAGAGTTTCGAACTTACCATCCACCAACTCTGCAGCAGCCCACTTGACATCCACATCCGACCTCACGTACGCCGGGTCCTTCCCGCCGAGTTCGAGTCCGACGCCCTTGAACCCTTCACCCTGGGCCGCAGCCTTGGCTAGGATCGTCCCTCCAGCTACGGATCCCGTGAAGGACAAGAAACCCACTCGGCCGTCTGCCGCCAGCTTGGCAGTCGTAGGCATGTCAGCGTGGATGACCTGGATGACGCTTTGTGGCAGACCGGCGGCGGCAAAGGTGGTCATGAACCTCTCGGCTGCTGAGGGGGTCTGCGGGGACGGCTTGATGATCACCGAGTTACCGGCGAGGATGGCGGGGACGAGTGAATTGACGACTGTTAGGTAGGGGAAGCTGAATATACCGTAATGCTTAGCTTATGTAGCTAAGTTCTATCATATAACATGTGTCTTACTTCCACGGGGCAACGATGGCGATGACACCCAAAGGCTCTCGCTTGATGTACCGTTTCAGAGCATCCGTGTCGGTGGCGGTCTGGGGGATATCCTTCAGGCAGTCCTTTGCGATGCTGATCAAGTGTTTGGCTCGAAACAGAGCACCGCCGACCTCTCCGGGTCCTTGAGAGATGGGCCTGATATGAGCAAGTCTTTTAGTCTACGCACACGGGGTTCGGTCTGGACTTGGTACGTACCGTCCCATCTGCACGGTGATCTCTTCCGACAAAACATCCTTCAGACGTTCGAATTCGACCTAAAGCAGCAGCATAAGCACCTTCAGGTCAGACAGATCCATACAGTGTTCGAGCTTCACTCACCATCCATTTCTCGGCGATCTGAATCCTCTCGTCTATCGACACCCTCTTCCACGACTTTTGAGCCTTGACGGCGTCCGAGATGACGACATCAAGCTGCTCCTCGCTGACCAGGGGTCTAGTGCACACTGCGGACTGGTCGTGAGGCGAGATTGTGGTTTGCATAGGAATAGAAGGCATCTTGGTAGTTGATCTCAGGGTAGGGCAGGGAAGATAAAAAGCGAGTTGTGGTATGGAATGGGCGTTCAAGCAGACAAACATCGGGTCGGTCCTTATCCTACTCATCGCCTCGACGCCGCTTACCGCTCTCATTCTCGAAAGTCACGTGAAACGGATTTCCGGCTCCATGCTACAGAAGGTATCGGACGAATGCAAGAATCTAGATTGGGTCAAAGGACAAGCTTATTATACAAGAGCAGCAGAAATGATGAATCTATTCAAAGAACAGTTAAGGGTTTGAAACGTCAGCTTGATGTCCCGTTGAACGAAGAGAGCAGATACAAGGGAGCTTACCCTTTATCCTCGACGACATTTCTTGTCTTGGATACGACCGTGTACTGCGAGTAATCACCAGGTCAGCCGCGTGAATCTAGGTACTATTCGACTGATCACAGGCCAGCTCACCCCCAACACCCATTCAACGTCGACTCCCAGCTGCTTGCGCGTCCCGTTCTCAACATCCTGATCGATGGTCACGGTCGTCCCCAAAGTGCTACTTTGCTGTATCAACTCCTTTGGCAGGTGGTTCAAAAACTCCGCGAGCGTGTTGTGCAGGTGCACAGACGGTAGCGGATCACTACCTTCGCCGGTGCTGCCAGCCCAGAGGTCGATCTTCGTATCACGTGCAAAGTCGAGCAGCTCTTGTGGCAAGCTCTGACATTCCGGCGTGCTCAAGCTGTTGACTGCAGGTGGACTGGCCTTTCTCGTCCCATCGCCATTCATTGACGGCAACCTCGACATCTCCTTCCTTGGCGACCCGTTGGGTGGCGTCTCAATATACTCATCCAGCAACTCTTTGTCGGCTCGTCCCGCACTTGCATGCTGCTTCTTCGGGTTCACCTGTCCACCAGAGGTCGACATCGATGACATGGTGTCAGGAGTCGGGTCATGTACCTCGCTCTCCATGGACGCCACACCGGCTCGAGATCGCAACGAGTTGAAGGCCGGAATATGTCCCTGCGAAGAGCTGGAGCTCGATTCGGAGAGCAGTTGTAAGAGGGGAAGGGGTAGACTCATGACTCCGAGCTGTTTGGCCTGAGGTACAAGCGAGCCTAAAGCCTGCAGCGATACACACGGGGCAAGATGAGTAAATGTATGGCGGGATCATATGTAACTCAATCGCGAATACGTACCTGCCATAGTTCAACGAGGTCTTTCTTCTCTTCCTCGCTGATTTCACCCCTTTTAGCCTTTTGCTTCCTATCCGCTTCTCGCTCGGCCTCGGCTGCCATCCTGCTGGCGAGCTTAGCACTCCCACAGCTGGCTGCTCGTGCCTTGACATTCTCTGGCTCGATGCGCTCATCTCCCGTGTATTCGATGCCTTTCCACCCGAGCAAAAACGTGTCGATGTGCTGCGCAGCCCTCCCGTTCCATCGCTTATCTCTGGCCTTGTAGTGCACCAAGTTTCTCAATGCTCGAGCCACCTGCGCCTTCTGTTGTTCGATGGAGTGCGAGGCCGGCGTAACGAGGTACATCTTGACCGTGATCTCGGCGTCTTTGAAGCTCGCCTCACCACCTCGTGAATCTTGCGTGATCGGTCCAGGCGGAGGTACGACACCGTTGACGTCATCAATCCTGTCGCTAGGATCCGGAATCATCAGAACTCCGTCAGGGTTGACCTTGAAACTTGGAGGCTCCCGGTCGAGCGCCGAGTGAAGCGAAGCATGTATGAACGAAGGAATGAGTAGTTTAGGCTTTTCAGGATGAGGGTATCGGGGTTCGAGAGGCGTCTGGGAGGTAGTAAACAGCAACAAGGATGATGGAGCCGGAGAAGAACCTGTCATCAAATGTATATTATAGATAAGCTACATGCGCGCGCAGCCTTGTCAGGGTAGAGCAGCATGCGTACCAGAGGACTTGGCACTAGGCTCGTTTCGTTGCGGTAGTGTAGGCGGGCCTTGTGCCGACTGACTACCCTGACTAGGCGCGGAGGACTGAGGGGTAGACTTGGTCTTCTCCGGTGCTTGAGTCGGCCTTGGAGGCAGCGGTGGCTGCGATTGGTTACTGGGGCCTCTTGTCGCACTGCTGGTGTGGGTAGCGGGGGTTTTGTCCTGAGGGTAATTATAATGGACAGGCGGAGGAGGAGGAGCCTTTGGTCGCTCCTCAACCTTTTCGACCTCTTCGCCTTCTTTGGGTTGAGCAACGAAAGCCTGATCACGAAATAAGGACAAATCAATGGCGCTCAATAGATCGTACATAGGTGCGATACTCACTTCTCCCATGATCTTGAGACCGACGGACCTCATGTACCGTTTCTTCTCGGTGACAGTGGCGTCATTCAACACTTTGTCGCAGGTTTCACGAATGACCGATTCGACCTCTAACTTGGCACCCTTCCAGATGGTTCGCATACCCTAACGGAGAGCAGGCATATCAGCACTGGGTTTATCGGAAGGCGTAGTGCTCATCTCACCTGCTCCGCAGCCTGCTCTTCAAGCTTCCGGATGGCTTCCTGTGACAGGCCAGACTGTTCGGCTTGTTGCAGCTTTTCAAACACAGCCTTGAGCTCCAGTGCTACAATCACCAAATATGTGAGCGAGAGTCCTGATTCGTTCGTGGAAAAGAGCTTACCAGCTCGTAGTGTCGAAACGCTGAAAGGCACAGGGTAGTAACTTGGTATGCAAACTAGATCCATGTTCTGGACTGACATCACTCACGTATCACCGATCAGGTTGAAGTTTTGTTTAGCACTGTGGAACCAACCAAACGGAGCGAAAGTCGAGGAAGCCTGGAATTGCCTGTTGGGTCGTACACACGTTTATCAGCAAAGAGTCATTGTCACCATAGCGATCGTAGACAAGACGTACTCCGACTTGGAAATATAAGTTCTTCCGATGGCTTGCAGCAACTCCCAACCGTAGCTCTCCTTGACGAGCTCAGCCGCCTCCAATCGACAGATCTCCTTGAACGAGGTCATGACCGCCTTGTCGTTCTCCGACTTGGCTCCCTCAGCAAAGATCGAGACCTTGTTGATCAAATTCTCCGACAGCTTTTCGACCCGGACCTTCCTGGCTTCGGTCTTTTTATCGGCAAGAGCTTTCTGTCGTTGTTGCTTCTTCTGGATTTCTTCGGGCGTAAAGATCGGCTTGCCCTTGGCGTCAACAGCTCGTGGTCCCGCTGCAGCTTCTTCCTCTGCTTCCTGCTGTTCGGCCTCCATGGCGTCCTTCATGTCCTTGCCTGATAGCGATATAAGACGACAGGGACGATCAGATTGGAACGGGCCTTGGATTGAGCTCGCGCACACCTGCTTACCGATGCTGATCTCGCCGACGAGATCTCGGAATCGTTCTCCTCCGAACATCATTCCGAGTACTACGTCAGGATCCTGGAAACCACCAGCAGGCTCTACACCGCCTCCAGCTCGCTGTCCATTGAGGTTGTAAATGTGACGCAAGTTCGGGTCCGACAGTACCTGGAACACTGAAAAGATGAGATCGAGCTCCGCGGGCATGAGGCATGCATGCAAATTCACCTGATAAGCGATACTGAGGTCTTTGAACTGTGCATATGATAGGTGATGAGCTGTGATATATCCGATCGCCGTGAGAATTAGAGCCTCACCTTTTCATCCGCATCTGGGTCTCCTCGATTCTGTCACATAGCAGCGACATTAGTTACAAGACCTGTCTCTACATCGTACAAGGACTCACCTTGTCCGGATGCAGTTTGATAGCCATCTTCCTGTAGGCCTTCTTGATCTCCTCCTGAGTCGCCTTGGGAGTGACTCCGAGGATATCATAATACGCCGTCTCTTTAGGATTCTCATCGGTACCCGGTCGACCGCTCGTAGCCACGCCCGATCCAGCTTTTCCAGAGCCGCTGTACTTGCTACCCCCTCCTGTAGAGCTCTCGGGTTTCCACGCAAAGACGTTCTTGCATCGAGCGCACCGAACGTGAAGCTGTCCTTCGTAAGAATGCGGCCGTTCGAAATCGAGCTCTGCTGAGCAGCTCGTGCAGACGGCGGGTGAGCCTCTAAGCCGTGATTCGACGATGGTTGGGCTTGGCATGGTGACGCTATTCGACCAGCCGTATGCTCTTTCGCAATGAAAGCTGTTGGCAAGCGAACATATGCCCCCATGAGATCAGATCGATTGATCGATTATATCATCGGTCGACCAGGTCGCAGTGCCGATGCCATGGTTCCCCCCGGCAAAACCCGCGGAAGCGAACTTTGGAAATTGGATCAGTCAGCACGTCATGCCCCCATTTCCTCAGAGGAATCGGGCCCGACGATAACGTCAACTTGATCCACTATCGCATCTGTTATCGGCCGGACAACGTCTCCCAAAGGTTGTCACTCATACCCGCATAGGTGTGTAAAAGATACAGTCTGTGTCTGGCTACATCCTTCACGCGAGAGCGTCTTCCATAACCTTGAGCGCGGCCTGCATCTTGCTCGCATCGTAGATTGACATCCTTCCTTTCTGTTCGACACCAAACGAGTCTTCGTTTCTCGGCTGCGAGGTCTTGAATTCGAATGTATGGGTATGAAGCGCCGACTGATCACGACGGGGGTCAGCCTCGGTAACAGGATTAAAAGACCGTTTGTTCTCACCTGCTCGAGGAACTCTTCTTCCGGGTGATAGTGGAACAAATTGTTTGTCCCAGCCGGTACGTCAGGTTTCGTCGTCTTGGCCTTCTTCGATGACGGTTGCCTACGTGTACCAAGGTTAGCTTGCGGTCTCACCGACCTTGCAATCTCTATAAGCTCACGGTACATTCGCCGACATGGCCGTATCAATGTTCTCATCGCCCACATCCATCTTGTATACTCGCGATATCAACAAGTAATGCGTAAAGTCCATCCCCGGGGTTCCCTAGAAGCACAATCGAGGTCGGTCCATCAGCATTTCCCACACCCTCTCTTGAAGTCGAATCTCGACCGGGACCCACCTCTTTGCGTGCCTTTTCCACCTCGTCGATCGTCATCTTCCAGAGTGGGGGCATGATCTGCACTGGCAAGTTGACGAGACGCTCTGATACCACGAGGGCTATCCGGTTCTTAGATTGAGGAGACAAAGTCGAGACGAGTAGGTTTCGGAAAGGAGAAGAAGCGGGTAGGCGGGAGATGAGGTACTCGACCAGGGGTTTCACGGCCGGTTTGGACTGGCATCAAACGATATCAGCGAGTTCAGTAAGCTCACTAATCGAGAGACTCGGACCAGATCGACTTCGCACTCACATCGACATTGCTCAGGTCGACCAGACTGATGTACGCATAAGGGTCGCTCTCGGTCCCATCCACCTTGACCGTCGTCCCGATTCCCATCTGACCCGCCGAGCTCAGGATATGCTGGGCAAGTGCATGGATGTCGAACAGTTCGGAATCTGAGGTGAAGAGTTGCCGGAGTAGACGTTTGAGAGCGATGCTGGAAACCGGGTTTCGCAGGTGGACAATCAGCTGCTAATCCCTACGAGTGCTAGATGTCGTTCCGTCCTGGCTCACTCGTCCACCTCGGGGTTAGGGTTGTAAAAGTCGAAATCGACATTGATCATGCTCTAAACCGGACACCATGTCGGAGAAAGCGGCCCTTTCAATATCGACCCTTCCGTTCGAGTCTTGAGTCGACAGGTCCGCTCACAACATCGCTGCCTTCATCATCGCTATCTTCCTCTTCTTCCCGGTTCTTTCGCTTGATGTTGGTTGCGGGCACGGCGGTGATGACCTGGTCAGGCATGATTCTGATAAAGCTTTGGAATGATTATGATTGATATGAAAGTGGTGAGGGCAACTGATTGACGGGACGGAGCGATAGCGAACTGGATCTGATCAAGTTGCAAGATGGGACTTGCATACGAATCATGGATCGTCGGATACAAATCATCGAAATTTACGAGAACGAGATTACAGCTTTCACGTGACGAGATCGAACCACATCCAAGGAAAAGGACCTGTTCCCGCTATCCTTCTCGACTTACAGCTTACTGTGATAGAGCCACGATAGTAGATGCCGGTGGGATGGGAGTGTCCGACCTTCAAGAAGAGAGATCAAATCGATCAGCGGACTGTTCTGATGATGCGGAACGATCCAGATGGATGACGGGTTGTCGGGTAGATGATTTTCTCTTTTTGTCAGAGGTCGTTTCACTCAAGGAAGCGTATAAAGATAACCTTGGCGACGAAGCTTTATGGTGTCTTCAGAAAATAGTCGAGACTGGTGCACAGCATAATGGCATCATTCAAAAAGAGAAAAGAGGTGGAAGAGGATCGGGATGGGAGCAGGGGTCCTGGCATCCAAGAAAGATGACGCAAGGAGTCGAGACTCACGAGTTGCGAGTTGATTCGACAGCCAGCCTAGTTCCGACGAAATACGCTGGCTAGATGTTATTTGACGTTGTGGGCATTCCTCGAACCATGCTGAACCCAGAGATGATGAGGAAAGTCGACGAGGTTACGGGGAACGTGCATGAGAAGCTGGTTTTGTGGTTTTGTGGTTTTGTACGGAGGCCTGCCTATATATCGTGACGAATTGACTAGCCCGTAGTCTCGGTAAGCGCATGAAACCAAATCGCGCACGCAGAAGCGCGTCCGCTCCTCAGCACCTCGCGATCGAATTGCAACACCACTACAGATATTACTTCGGTATCGCAGAGAGAGTAAGGAGCGTGATTATGAAATCGTCTATTCTAGTGACAACAGGCGCGTAGCGTATATAACCGTTTCTCCTGACTGACCCAAAACTCGTCCTCCGAATCCGTGTCTCCCAATCGAAGACCACGAGTCCGACGAGTTTGCATGCTTAGGTTGCGCTTCTTTCCCCTTCCGTTATATCGCAAAAAATCTATAATATGGTCGTGTGAATCCCCGGGTTCCCTCGTGAAAAGTAAAGAAGTTTTGTATTTTGGTTTGGTCGTGGTGAGCCGTCTAGTGGAAGACTAGCTTAGACACAGTGAACCTCTCCGTCAGAGTGGGTGTCTGATAGCAAAATACAAACATTTGTATCAGTGACAAGGGCTGGATAGAAGATTCCCTGGCGACCGTGACTCACGACAAGAGGCGGCGGCGGAAGAAGTTCCCGAAGCAGCAGCGGCCGAAGTGGTAGTAGGCGCGACGATACCGCTCGAGTCGTACTCTCCGATACATCCCTCCCCACCCTCGGCAACCTCGACGGCGTAAACGTGGTTGGCAAAGTATTGCAAAGAATGGGTGTTGTAAACAGCGGCGGTACCGTTAGTTTTGGCGAGGTTGACACAGTCGGCATGGTCGTCGGCAAAGTGTCCGATCTTGCCCAACCCGATGCTGGGCAGGTGGAAGAGACGGTGCATGAGGTCGGTGGAGAAGTAGTAAGAGGGAGAGGAGTTGACGACGTTGTAACCGAAGGCGCAGAACTGTTCGTTGTACTTCCTGTCGATGTAAGAGAGGTCGCAGATGACGGTCTCTTCGGTGGCGTTCTCGCCTCGCCAGTGACCCCTCCATCCATCCTGGACACAGTCTATCGAAGAGGAACCATAATACCGATTTAGCTGGTGTTTGATTTTGAAATATACACGCCGGAGAGCTGGACTCACTGCCGTCAATGTCGTCACACCTGAGTAAGACTCCCTCTTTGTTCGACCTCATCAGGTTCTCGTAAGCGCCGAGAACAACGACCGAGTCGCCATCACCGAAGTACAATTGGTAGACGGGATCCGAAGGTCCGTTTCGGTAGACGTCTACCCGAATGAAATACAAGTATGTTAGTCAAGTCATATTCAGACTATACGCGGACTGGATTTTCAGGACTCACATTCCTGAGCAAAGGCGGTGAGCTCGAAGGTATCGGCGAGGGCTTTCCTCAACTGCCTGGTCTGAGTGACGTTGCAGCTCGAGTGAACGGTGACCTCCTCAGCATAAGCCTTGAGGTCACGCTTGCTCAAGTTGGAGAAGGCGGGCTTGATGGGAGTGGCCAAAGAGGCGGGAAGGAGGGCAGCGAGGGCGAAGAGAGCGGATGCGATCATTGTGGTGTTGGTCGGTTTTGGCAGCTTTGGTAGTTTATAAGACAGTTAAGAAGACGCGCGAATTTTTGGTAAGTGTACTGTAGGACGATTGAGGAGAAGAGACGCCAACTTGAACGGGGTAGAACGTCGAGACTTATATCTCGCGACGGCATGACCCGCCTCCGTTTTAACGACTTTGCAATTCCACTTCATCTCATACGGTTCACGGTCATCCCGGACATCCTGACTGTGCGCCAAGCGCAAGATCACAGAGGATCTCACCCCCGCTCGACTCATAGGATGTTGCATGTGGAACGAATCGATGTGATCGGGCGATTTTTTCTGCGATCTAGATAAATGGCGTTGCCAAGACTGAAACAGGAGTTTGCCGTTAGCGCGCATCTTCACCGAGCGCGGTCATCGGGACCTTCGAGTCCTCAATTTTTATAGTCCTGTCGATTTTGGCACGATGAATTGAATCTTACCTATCGAAAAGACCTCGGTTGTCGGAGGTACACCGTAGGAACTCGGTCATCTCGTAAACGCCAAAAAACTTTGCATGCGATCCAACCTATGTCGGTTTTCTTGGCGAACAGTCACAGCGGGCCAGTGTCCGACGAGACTGGTAGCGGTGTCTCCGTGTCGGTTTGAATAAAGACGTCGAGCGAATCGCGCTCATGCTCGTGTCTAACTTTGGCGGATTTGGCAAGTGGTTCGCCTCCTCATCTCCCCCATTACATTTTCCTTCATCTACCACTCGTTATGCGTGCTTCACCTATTCTCGTCTCGACCGTCCTCGCTCTAGCTCTCGGCGCTCGAGCACAAAGCAACTGGGGGGCAGATGTCACTGAGCGTCCTGCTTGGGGTGCTACCTCCGTCGCTGGATGGGGAGCCACTCCTACAGCTGCCGCTGGCGCCGCTTCCACGGACGCATCCGAAATCACTTCGCCTTCCGGAGCCGAATGTCATTGGCGTGAGTAACATTGGGATCCGCGACATCTGAATATGATCCAAGCAACTAATCGGGTTATATCTTTTAGACATTGACCACTACGACTGCGTAGCCGCTGAGAGCAGTGACGATGCTGCTGCAGAGGAAGACAATGGCGACTGCATCATTCACGGTGAGTCGCGTCTGAATCTGCGCATCAGCATCTCGTATTGATAAGCAATCGGCCTCTTTCCTTCAGTCGGTCATCACCACGGAAACTGTTCCCCCGAACAGCTCGCCAACTGCGACACCACCGAGATTGCCAACTATAACAAGCCCTTACACATTGGTGCCATCTTTATTGTCCTCGTCACGTCCGCGCTCGGAGTCATCATCCCTCTTGTCAGCGGACGAAGGAAGGGACCCGTCAGCCATCAGGAGAATGTCGACGCTCAGACCGGGAAGGGACGAGGTATCATGGGAAACGTCTTCTTTGTGGCCAAACACTTTGGAACGGGTATCATCCTCTCCACCGCCTTCATCGTGAGTTGTCCTGTCTGCTCCCAGATGTCACGCTCTGGCTGACGCGCGCGCGCGCGTGTCCTTGTGTATTTCAGCACCTGCTGTTCCACGGTTTCATCATGTTTGCCAACAGCTGTATCGGCCACATGTCCTACGAAGCCACTGCTCCCGCCATTGCCCTCGCTGCAGCCTTTATCACCTTTTTGCTCGATTTTCTCGGACACCGTCATATGGCCAAGCACCACGCCGACGGAGCAGTCAGCCCTAGCAGCTCGAGGGATGGGCACGAAAAGTCGCCCAGGTCTCCTGGCGAGACCCCTGGAGTGGACCCCCAGTTCCTGGAGCTTGGACACGATCACCACGCACACTTGGCCGCTTCCGATCAGAAGTGGCAAGTCTTGGTCTTGGAGGCTGGTATCCTATTCCACTCGATCATGATCGGAGTGACGCTGGGCGCTTCCGGTGGGAATGGTTGGACTACGCTCCTGATCGTCATCGTCTTCCACCAGTTCTTTGAGGGTCTTGCGTGAGTTCTGGCCTGCTTTTCTTAATCCGGAAGGCTTAACTGATCGACCGGCATGGCCACATAAGTTTGGGTGCTCGAATCGCTCTGCTGCCTTTCACTCAAGCTTGGAAGCCTTGGATCATGGGTGCTGCCTTCATCGTACGTCCTTTCCGTACAGTGTCTGGTCACCTTGTAATATATCCTGACGTCCTTCCATTTTCACTATAGATCATTACTCCTATCGGTATCGCCATTGGTGTGGGCGTTCACGATGGTTTCGCTGCCAACGGAAAAGCCGCCTTGCTCTCGGTTGGTATCCTTAACAGTATCTCCGCTGGTATTCTCGTAAGTGTCCTTCATATACCTGTCTGACGATCATCGCCTATTAAAAAGCTGTTCTTGATGTAGCTGTACGCTGCCTTTGACCTTCTATCGAACGATTGGTGCCGGGGCGCTTTGAGGACCGCTCCTTGGAGCCGAGTCTTCGTCGCTCTTTTTTCGTTGGTGGCCGGTCTGATTTGCATGAGTGTCCTCGGAAAGTGAGTCTTCTAAGTCTCGAAGTGAGTTGTAGAGGCTGGCGACTGACTTTTTGAATTTGCACTCTAGGTGGGCGTAAATGGCTCGTGCCACAGAAAAGAAGATCATACACTATTCCCTCCCAACGCTTCGAGTCTCGACAAAATCGCCATCGCGCGACCTATCAAATCGCTATCATAATCACACGTTCTCTATAGAAGCAGGAGGCGATCCATCAGGGGATTCGTCGTCCTTTATTTCCGGGCTATCCTTATATACAACTCTCCTTGACGAAATCACCGAAGACGGCCGACATGAAACGCGTTGTAGCTCGAATGGTCGAGTACATTGCTATGACTACTCATTTATAGAGGGATCCTTGTTCATGTCGTCACACTAGTTTGCCATCAGCCTATCCGAGTACGATCGTCCCTCCTGTGACCTATATCGTGTGTTCTATGTACCCATCTCCTGAAGACGAGAACGGGTGGTAAAAATTATGCACGAAGGGGCTCTACGGATCCTGTTCCACCTGCTCCCCCGAAGAGGTAGGCTGGGGGTAGTACGGCCTTTCGCTTGTTGCCCTTTACCCCATCCTTCGGCTGAGCTTCCTCTTTCTCCTTCTCTTCCTCGACCCCGGCCTTGCTGTTTGCTTCCTCCTTCTCTTTCTCATGATCGACTCCGCCCCGTGCCTTCGCTTCCTCCTGTTCAGCCTCCTCCACCTCTTCTTTCGCCGTTGTTTTGAGAGGCCATCGAATTGCCATCCTTTCCTCAAGGCCAGCGTGTGGGTCTCCCAGCAGTTTCTCAGATTTGGCCTTGGTGTATGACCGGCCAGAGTTGACATATTGGATCTCCCTGTGTCCTAGATCTGGAAAACTGGGCTAGCGCGGGACTCTCTCTTTTCTCTCTCATCTCCTCTTCTTCATCACTTGTCTTCGCAGCAACACCTCCATCAAGATTATCAACATCATCATCAACATGATCTCCTTCATCTACTCTGACGGCAACGCCCTCTTCTTCGAATTGGGTCGATTTGTTCTTGGCTTGCGATCCTTTGAATTCCAGGCTCTGTCGGAGTTTATTGTAAGGACGGAGCATTTAGGATGCACGGGGATTCAAAAGAGCACTTTGACAAGCATTGACACCCTTATGTACGATCGATAGGTTCAATGCCAAGGCTCGGACATCTCACAAGAACAGTCTACAAGAAGCCCGCTTCCTAGACAGTAGCCAACATGCTGGCTACGAAGACTAGTAAAGCGGCGACAGGAGCCAAACGCCCCTCTCGCCCGAAGGGTAATGACAGCGAGCTCGCGCCACCTGTACTTGCGCCTCCTGGATTCGTGTTCGGCGTGACTATCAACGAGTTGGGTTTAGCACGATCGCACACGTCTACGCAGAGATAGTCAGTTCAGTTGCGTTCATATGGTTAAGATCGGGTAGCCGCCGACTGACCTCCCCACTTGACATCGGCAGGCTCGGTGCACTGGGTGAGATTGCCTCCAAGCCAGTGCATCTGTTCTAATCCTTGAATGGACGGGATCAGGAACATGGCAGCCTTGTAGAGCTCGTAATAACACCCGGTACACCACTTGACCCCGAAGAACGATTGGTCGTACCATTGGATGTTCATCCCGGAAATCATATTGGTGAAGAAATCCCGGTTGTTGGTGACTGCGGTCGAGTTCAGGACTTCCGCGAGGCAGTTTGTCGAGGTCCCATTGCTTTTTGAAGAATAACGGTTCAGCTCATGCGAATGCGGGGGGCATATCGCCAGGTCACAACTGACAAGGTAATATCGCACGCCAGGTTCCTGTAAGCCGAAGTATACAGCTTCAAGGTCATGTCTAGCGCTTGGACCAAGGGCGTCCCCGAATCCTCTGCCAACCCGCAATCCCAGTCAAAGGCGGGTTTCCAAGCGTCGATCGCTTGCTGGGAACATTGCGCTTGACCACACATCGCCGAGAGGTACGTCGAGGCGGAATCGGCGAACGAGCTGTTGGCTGGGTCTTGGACGAGGAGCTGGGCGAGGGTGTCTAGCTGAAGACAACTGCCCATTTCTGATTGCGTGGCGTTTACGAGGTTGATCCAGCATGCTTGGGACCTGCCGGCAGAGAACGTCAGTTGCGTTGGCTCCGTACGCTGTGCTGAGAAACGGTGGCGTACTCACTTGATATTCGCCTGTTGCAAAACCTGCAAGAAAGTCACCACGCCTTGCCCAGTCGTAGGATCCGACTTGGCCGCCTCTTCAGTCGCACGTCTTGTCAACGTGGTGCCAACAATGGGGGTGACATCGGTTTTTGACACCCAATCGACGTCCCGGGAGACCTTGACCGCCGTGGAAAGTTGCAGGGATGATATGCTATATATAAGAAGGGGGAAGGAGTATAGCGAAAGTGTTTGGAGGATGCGCATGGCTGGTTATGGTTATGATAAGCGGAAGAGGACGAAACGAGCGCGAGGAGTGGGTTCGGGTCGGCAGGTCGAAAATGCGTAAAGCGGCAACGTTTAGAAGATTGGGTGGTGCATGGAGGTCTCGATACCCACCTAGCGAGTCTTTATAATACCGGAGATTTCTTATCCTTGCTTGTTTGAAAACCAAGCGGTCTGAAAGGATGTTTACGGAGACAGGGGCGCGTCCGAGGGGTTTGCTTTGTCTTGAAACGGTCTGAAACGCGTGCATCAGCGCCGGGTCTCGAACCTCAAGGCTTGAGGACCGCGCAAACTGTCCCGCTGGAAATCCGCTACCATATCAATGACTTGCACCTGTAATCGAAGCTGTTAGTCGAAGCCGTTCGATTTCATATATCAAGGCCGCGATCTGTTGACAACAGCACTGGAGCAAACAGGCACCCATCTCATGAAGCGATAGATATCGCTCGGGGGGGGGGGGGATTGTCTTCGCCAATACAACACCGCTCCGACGACCGCCAATCAACCTACTACTGTATGGCCGGGCTGGTTCGGTGATAGGCCTGATAGGCTCAGGAGAGGTATGCCTGCTGTTCTTCTCGTTCTGATACTATCGTTCGTTTTGACAATGTCCTGGAAGCAGGGGATGGGGGATGGGGGGATGGTGGGCGACGTTCTGAAACCGTACATCGCGCGGGCGCGTCTCGGAGGATCAGATGTTCCGTCGATTTCCAGCGTTCATCATACAACCCAGAGACGACATGACCATCATTACTGAATTACTGTTACTATCCTACTCTTCTGGCTGACTTGGCAACTTGGCTTGTCACGCCTATAGTTGGCATGCACATTCGTCTGTACGACCTGAAACTCGAATCCGGTACACCCGTACAACTGGTCACGTCGACTCTCGAAATCCCGCCCTCTGCTCTCCCTTTATCGCCCGAGAGGAGAACCAAGCAAGCCCCTTTTTCATTAGGGAAATTTCATTTGTACCTGACCTGGATCGTTTGTCTTGTCGTCGATTATTCAGGGGGGGACTTGTCAGCCCGGACAAGACGAGGTAGGGATACGGTCCGTCGTGGTGGTAGTAGTAGAGGTGGGGATACGGTGGACAAGTGGGACTGTGTACTTGACTTGATGGTAGCTGATAGCGATGTGGAAAGGTGGTTTGTTGTGACGACTCGCTACATTTTGTCTTCGGCGACTGAACGCGGGATCTATTGACGAGCACCGTTTGTCGATCAGCAGTTCGTTCTTGAACAGGGGGACCCTCGTGCTATTCATATACGCCCACCCCCTACACTGCTGCTACCAGCTGCTTGATTGCATTGATTGCTGCTTGCTGGTTGATATACACTACTATACACTTCGAGTGCCCCCCTCCGTGCTGTCTTACGATACAAATCCGGCATTTCACGATCAACCTCCGCGACCCGCCATCGCCATCGTCCTGATCGTCTCTCTCTCTCTCTCTCGGGGGCTATTCAGTCAAACCTTGTCTTGTTGGGTATCTGAACGACGAGCCAAAGCAGAAAACCGAGAGGACTCTCGCCATCCGCCATCCGCCATCGCCATCGCTATCAATACGGGTGTATTTCCAGAGCACGATCGGTCGTCGTCGTCGTAGATATCATTTTGGGACCGATTCTCGTAGTACAGCAACCTCGAATCCAGGTCGACCCTTCACCTTCAGCTCACCTTCTACTTCTTGCCGCTCGGACAACCTCGAACCCCCCTGACCGTATAACGTCGCTGGCGTACCCATCTCTACGTACACCCCCCCACACCTATCTCTGGTCTCTCGGGAGGACCATCTTCTTACCGGACCAGACACTCTACTCTCTCCCACACCCTCATACCCGTCACCCATCTCTCAATTCCAAGTGGTCGTAAAAGATGTCTCGTCCGAATACAAGTCGGCGTTCTTGATCCGATCGGACATCGACGACATCGACATCGACGGCGACGAGACGAAGACGAAGACGAGGACGAGGAGACGAGACGAGGACGAGTGACTCGGATCTCTCCCCTTTTTGGCGTGTCGGGATGATGACAGTCGATCGGACGGAGCGGACGATGGGACCGTCAAGATTGAGCGAAAAGGAGGGTGGTCTAGGGTCGGACCTGGTTCCAGGATCGAGTTTAGGATCAGGATCAGGATCAGGATCAGGATCAGGATCAGGATCAGGATCAGAGATAGGGATAGGCTCAGGCAAAGGATCAGGGAAAGGGGGTTATTCTCCCCGACGAGCTCGGACTAGGTCCACTGAAATGCGCCAGGACCGGGACCGGGATCAGGATGGAGAGTTCCCTCTCTACCCGGCTCGGCATTCCCCCTTGAGCGTTCCTTTGGCTCCGCCCTTGCCTCTATCTCTAAATCCACCTCTTTCGGCCGGTTCGTCCGATACCGGAGTCGGTTCACCGTCATCACCACCTCCAATACCGACAACGTCGTCGAGCTCGAATTCGGGCGGTACAGGGAACCCTTTTCTCCCGCTCTTCAAATTCGGCCGGCCTGGGTTGCCTGGTCCTCCCAACAACAACCACAACAACCATAAAGAAAGCAGTAGCTTTGACCATACCAACGGATCGACACTAGTTAGCGAAGCATCTAGTACTAGCAAAAACAACAACAACAACAACAGCAACAGCTACAACAACAGTTACAGCACGGCTAGTGATGGTCCCAGCAACGTTATCGATATCGATGGGAATCCGAAACCTATACAACCTCCCCTCCTCTCCTCATCTTCACCTTTACCTTCGTTTTCGAGAAATCGGATCATCCCCTCACTTTCGATCGGGGGTCGCAATCGCAATCGCGGACGATGGGCTTCTTCAGCGACTTCTTCTTCTTCTTCTTCTCGGCATTCTGGGATTCCGCATCCTCTTTCTCATTCGGATTCGAGGGGTAATGATATGGACGATGGTGATAATAGGGATAGCAATGCCGGGCAATTGCAGAACAACGAGCCGGTCAGCGGGTCGGCCTTTAGCTCTACCCCGGCTCGTGATCCTGATCGGAGGAGAAGCCCGTTGAGCCAGACGTTGGCCCCAAGGAAAGCGCTCGAGCTGCGCGGTGAGATCCCGGTCGACCCATCGTCTTCATCCCGTCTCAACGCAAATTCGAGGAAAAAGGGGGTGAGGTCTTCCTTACATCTTCAGCACCATGTCGGCAGGGAAGGAAGTACGGGGAAGGACAGACAGGAGAAGAACTCTACGAGCCCTCTCGACGCTAGTACAAGCATCGGGAATATTGACGTCGACGATGACCCCGCCCTGCCCGCGAGGACGGGTGCGGCCTTGCCCGTCGTCCGACAGCCTGCGTACATCCCGGATCCGCCTATGACGTTTGCTGATCGTAGACGGGCCGAGTCGAGCCTGGCATCTGGTTCGGGTCACGGGTCGTCGACCGTTAACAATCAGGAGACGGGTCAACGTCGAGCTCGAGGTCGGATCGGGGGTCGTGATGGAGGCAGAGGGACGGCCGGATCGCTCGGCGGGAAATTGAAGCATGGGGATACGTGGGGATGGAAACGAAGCGTCGAAGGTGGCAACGGAACGGGTTCAGGAAGTAGAGGGTTATCTGGAGAAGCGTCGATGGGAGATCGAGGTGGTGCTACCTCAACATCGCTGTCACCGCAGACGAGACGTAGGGGCGAGATCGAGGAGACGGACGCGGAGAGGAAGAGGCGGGAGATGGAGACTGTCATCAACTGGAAGGTAAGATAAATTACTTGCTGAGCGTGTTTATAAGTGGACACGATGACTGACGTCTCGGTATCTGTTTCTCGATTGGTAGGTCTGGGCAGCAGCTTGTGTCGCGTCCAACGCCATACCCGTGGACAATGACCCCTTCCGCTCGACGTCTCAATACCCACCCCGACCTCGATCCCGACCGCGTCCTCGGTTGGCGGTGCATACCAACGGTGCTCGACCGATGTTCGATTCGAGCAGTACTATCTCGACCGAGGATCACATTATCAGCCCTAATACGGACGAAGGGACCAGCTGGTCGGCTTCGGGCGTGGCGATCAGGTCATCCCGTGGACCCATCGCCGCGCTCGCGGGACAGAAACGACCCTTGTCGCATTCCACGAGCATGGGCGAATTGCAAGCGATCAAAGAATCGCATAGGAATCAATCTCTACCGGACATCATCGTCATCGAGGGAGAACGGGATACGACGAGCAGGAGAAGTGCGGGCAAAGTGACACCAATCAGGTCCAGTGCGGGGTCCAGGACCAGCTCGCTGTTGAACCCTTCTTCCGGTGGAAGCTCGATGCTCACCTCGATACCTGGACCAACCAATGCCTTGCTCGTACTTCGTCCGAGACTTTCCAACAAGAACGTCCGGGGCATTGTTCTCGAACTCGTACACGCCCTCTCCTCTTACTCGGAATTGCGAACCTGTCTCGACATGGCCGAGCAAGGTGTAGCGGGGACGGAAAAGAAGCCTGTTCCGAGCCGGTCCGCTTGGAGTCGCTCCGCGCTGGACGCCGCAAGGGAAAAGGGCTTGTTAGACGAGGCGACGTTACAAGAGGCACACTTTCAAGAAGGCGAGATTGTGGCTCTCTTCCGAGATCTGGACGAGACGATCGGATATCCGGGATACGTCGAAAAGATGCTCGTCAAGGCTGGGTACGGCGTGCATGACATTGTCTTTTCACGCAACGACTCCGACAGCCATGACAATCAACAACAGCTGGCTATGGAACAGTGTGACAAGATGCTGCTAGACTTGGAAGATCTCTTGTGGGGACGATCGGAGCCGCTTCCCGACGACATCGCCTATGGCCACCTGATCCTTCCTACCGGCAAGGTCGATACGCGGCTCTCGGATCAAGGTCCAGAACCGATCTCGTCGAGTCTGTTTGACATTCTCGCGGAACCCGTGCCCGACACGGTGGCCGACACGAACCCCAACGAATTTGCCAAACCGTTCGGAGCCACCATGCGCAAACCGAGCTTGTTCACCGAAGGATCAAACTCGAGGCACAATTCGGTCATGTACATCCCGGGCGTCTCGACCATCGATATCGCTAGCTTTGTCATGCCTTCGAGCGGGAGAAGTTCGGTGGATCCTCACGAAGCAGGAGCAGGACGCTCGGCCAGGCGCGAATCTACCGTCAAGGTCAAGACGGCCGAAGATCTGGCCAGGGAAGGGAGGGAGCGTTACGAAGCGTGGCAAAAGAGCCGCGAGGTCCAGCCGTTGAAGCGCTCTTGAGGCTAGCTATCGCGGACGACAGGACTCGGGGTATGATATTGTACTCATCTAGCTATATACAGAGTATATGAATAGACTGCGTGTATCCGACTTACCAGGGTGTTCATATGGTTGGATATCGGACGCCCGTCATCTACCGGAAGATCAGTGCGGCTAGCGATACCGAAGGGCTTACTCGTGCGAGGCCTCCGTGCAGGACCACGTGCTGTGCGGCTAGGATTGAGCAGCGCTCCTCCATGAAGCCACTTTGTGATTCGAACCGGTCGGGTCCGATATCGAGTCTTCGTGCGATTTGTGGCGCTTCATACCATCCAAGCTCCACCGCTCACCAGGACCAAGAGACTCCTTCAAAACTAGATCCTTTGCCTTAATTTGAATCAACCAGTGGATTATTGGGTGAAGCCTAGAGTAGGCTTCTACCCTGTCCATCATGGTCACGTAATGATGGATGCCATTGGTGTCTACCAAACTGTCTCTAGCAACCATCATGATATGCTACAAACAGCACATGAGTTGAACTTTGTTGATTGCGTGCTGGCTGTTAAAAACTCACAGGACCGTCTTCGTCTTGCCATGCAGCATAGAGTTCCCAGTACCGAGGCGTCATCGCGCTGCCGAATACCAAGCCTACAGGCGAGTCGTCCGTCTTCCCAGCGAGTTGTCGGATGCCCTTCATCTTTTGGCAGGCAAAGACCAGGTCCGTAAAGAGATGATTAAGTCCGACCTCAAGCCTCTCGTCGACAGCCTTGAATTGAACATAAAAGAAAGGAAGAAGGACAGCGTCGAGTCCGCCTCGCGCGAACGGCGTTACCTTCACGCGCAATATATATAAGTTCGATCGTCCCGCTGGATTTTAGAATTGTATGAATTAGGCGTACCGTTTCACGGTCTTCAGATTCAACAGCCCCAACGATGTCATCCCAAGCATGCTCTAGACTTTTGATGCGAAGAATCTTGATGATCTCTTGACGCGCTCGTTCCGCAAGGTCTACAAGTCCCGTGGTCGTGAGCCGTGTCCTTCGCTTCTTCGCAATCCGCACATACCTCCCGTAGTTTCGAAATCTTTGAGGATTCGAAGAAAGGCTGGTTTCCGGTGGTGGTATTGCATATCCGGGCGAGGAAGGGAAAGATGAAAGTTGGCATCGTTTCGGGGAAACGGCGAGTGTTCAGCCAACCAGAAAGATCTCCTGCAGCGAGAGTCAGCCAAGACAGTCGAATCATAGAAGAGAGGAACGTACGTACGATTCGGTTTTGAGCGATTTATGTAAGTACTCGTTGAGCCAAGTCAACCACGTTTTCTCGCCTGTTACCCCGGATTCCGGTCTGTCCTCCATCGCATCCTGAATCCGTAGATGTTCATTGCTGCCTTCCTGATAGACGCACACGTAACATACGATAGTTAACGCGATTCCTACAGCGAATCCTCGTCGGTTTGAACTTACTGGAACATCGAATAGGAAAGGGACAACACGGCCAGAGTTGGTGAAACTGAACCCAGCTTGCGTGAATTCAGATCTGATAGAGGGGGAGGCGAGGTGGTCCACAAGGTGGATGGTCTCCATCAGAAATTCTCTATAGGTCTGACGGCGTTTGACGGAGCTGGCAGCAGGTCCTCCTTTGGTCGTCGCCTCGCTTCTCTGTCCCTCCTGCTCTGCCTCCTCCTCCTCCTCTTCCTCCTCCTCCTCTACCTCCTCCTCGCTTCCCTCACCACCGTCATTTTCATCGTTGTCCTGCCTGCGAGCAGTCTGCTGTCGCGAAGGGCCTGCGGTTCGGGGTCTCTTGTTGGATGATCGGCCCTGCACCTTTTTGCTTCGACTACCCGAGGCCTTTGGTGGTGTCATCGTGTATAGCAACGCCCTGTCTTCTGCTGGCGGCGGGTTGTCTGTATCTCTAGCTATCGGCCTGATCAGGGTTGTGAATATATAGTATGGATTAGAGATTGAAATCGATGATGGTGGTAATTCATCTTGATGATATGACGATGTTGATCGCTCAACCGAAGGTGGGTGTCGGAATCGCGAGAAGTCTCTGGTCAGTAGATCTCTCAATCTCAATCGAACGAATAGTGAGTGTTACAGCGGCGCAACCGCGCTTCCACCGACTTTGTGATATGGATTGTACAAGTATAGGAAGGACAGGTACAGATTGGGAGCGTCGGGCTTCGTTCAAATGAGCATGTACCTCGTCTTTACACGTTCTGCAAGTCGCGCTCATAGATGTAGATGTATGCCAACTGCTTCATCGTCTCGTTCGCCTCGCCCTCCGCCTTGACCACCTTTTCGTCATTGAAAAGCACCCAGCTCCCGTCCTCTTGTCGGACCGTAGCGACATAGTGGCCGGAATGTACCGACGGTCCCTTGTGCGAGATGAAGGCTTTGAGTCGGTACTCGGCGGGTAGCGACGAGGATCCTCCGATGTTCTGGTTTTCTGGTACGGCTGCCATCTCGACGTCGTCTTCGCGTCCATCATCATCAGGATGAGCGAACAACCAGTCGACGGCTCTCTCGGCGTTGTTATCCTGTTTACACAGAGGAGATTAGTTGGCACGTCATTTCGATGTTTCATCCCTTGCGGACTGACCGTCAAGCGCAACGCCTTCTTCGACTGCGCCGCGGTGAAACCCATCATACTGAGTTGCTCAATCTGTTCAGCTGACGGTTCAGGACCAGCGTTCGTCGACGCCTTGGCTCCAGCCGCAGGGAGGGGATCGTCGATATCTTTTGGATCAAGCCAGACAAGCAGTTTCGAATTAAGCTTATGATTTCGAGATGATCCAGACTTTCGTATCTGCTTACCAGGATCTTCCATATGCATGATCAACCAATCCATAGCCGCGTCGGCCGAGCCGTTGCCGGTCGCCAACAGGCCCTTTACACATCGAATACGAGGGAAGCCCATCTCCATCAATTGGGCGACAGCGGCTTCGTTCACCTCCGGTTCGTTCGAGACTAGTATCGCGGGACAAGCTAGCTCAATATCGTCGTAACAGAACATGACATTCCGCCGAGCATACTTACCAGGAGCCTCCTCCTCCACGAGTTCGGTTTCGCCCTCTTGCATTCCTGCGGACAGGAACCCATCCAGGCTGAGGCGATCTTTGACATTGACGGGAACATCTATGGAAGATACGCATTGAGGTTCAGCAATCATTCCTGAGTCGTATCGGGGCCTACCACCCCTCACCCAATTTCGTTGGCACCCAGTTGACCAGTTGGAATTTACGCATATGTACGACCAAGACGTCGGGGAACGACTTGAAGCCGGACGACCTGAAAGACGAAATGAGGGTAAGCGTCGAATTCGGTTATGTTCAACAAGTATCTTCCGATACCGACTTTAGCGCCTGCACCGATTTCTTGCATTGCGGGCAATTGTATTCCAGAGTTTCCGCTTCGGTCATCAAGTTGAGGCATGAAGCGAACTCGACGGGTTCGTATTGCTTGGTAGGAGCGGCTGATCCACCATCGCCCTGACCGACGACGATCGGCGCCTCGATCTCCTTGACGGGTACAGGCAGACTTATAGAATCCGCTCGATCCACCTTGAGTCTGACCCCCTTGCATTCGCTGCAAACGAGCTTTTGCTCCAACCCAAACTTGAAGGTCTCCGTGGCCTCCCTCTCTTCAGCCAAACCTTTCTTCTTGGCTTCTTGTCGCAATCGCTGGATGAGGTGCTGCAAGAATTCTTCCGAGTCTTGTTGACGCATCGTCGAGAACTCTTCGTGGCCTCTCCCGACCAGCGCCTTGAACATGTTCGGCTTGATTCCCTCTTGGAACCGTTGAGCGGGGTCTTGATCGGCCGAACCGGAGGTACTGATCGATGGGTGAGAGTAACGCCCAGAGAGGAGCCCGTCGCTAATCTTGTACATCTGGCAATCGAGACACTCGGCCGGCAGCAACTCTGGGCAATTCTCGAAGTGAGATGCCGACTCTGCGTAACGCTGCTTGAAGGCTGGTAGCGAAAAGATTCCCTGCAGGACCGATGCCATGTAACAGCTAGGCGATCACGGCGCAGCGATCCGTCAGCGATTACATACGTTCGACGAGGAAGACGTCGCCACTCACCTGTTTCCGAGATTCTTCAGACCCGTCAGACCAGGCCCAAACAGCGGCTCCAACTGCTTGCCATCATCGCCCGTCATGGAAAAGTCGAACTTGAGGTTATGTTCGATTTGCTGTCGATCAGGACGACAGATTCAGCTCGAGTCGTCTCAAGCGCGAGCATGAGTCTCATGGATTTCAACCGTCTCCCGTGGACTCACCAACTCTGTCATGCTCTTGTCCGTCTTTTGCTGGTTCACCACGTCCATCCCGAAATGTTTCAGATGACGCGGAAGTTCAGGATCGACCTTGGAGTCATCGCAAGTGTAACAATAGATATCTGCAATGACGATTCATTCCATCAAACACATCAGCCTAAAACTCTTCCCGCCTCGACAACCCAGATGTAGCCGAGATGATGTCGCTTACCTCCCCCACCCTCAGGCGTGATAGTACCGAGCTTGACCCCGACCCCGTGTCCCGTGGCTTTGCTGTGTTCCAAGGCGTGACCATTCCCACCGATCCCGCCAAACTGTTGTCTCCCACAATTGACCGAGGCGCAGGTGAGGCATAACCACAAGTTCGAAGTGAGGTCGCAGCAGCTGCAATGCGGAGAGACTGGTGGAATGAGCCAGACCGGCAAGAATAATGTGTGAGTGATCACTTTCTGAACGGAACGTTGACAAGGGATTCGATCAAGGCGAGAATGGAACTCACCTTGAAAGCCTTGAGGAACGTCATCCTGCTCGAGCAACAAAGCATGTTCACACGCGACGAGTTCTTCCTCCCACGCTTTGACTTCGGATTGTTGAGCCGAGGCCATAGAGTTCATGATACCATCCCGAACCGCGTTCAACTGTGGTTCGATACGAAGATCATGTCGTATCGATCCGTTCAATCAGCTCTGGCATTCCAACTGCGTTTCCTGACTACGGGTCTCGAGAGGACTGACTCGGGCGTCTTCTTTGAATTCTTGGTTCCCTGAGGGACATTTGAAGCATTTGTACGAGGTTTCAAAGTCGTAAGTCTCTTGATCGGAAGGTACTACCAGAGCGAGCTTCTTCATCGGTGGTTCTTGATCGTCCTACCATACCATACCACACACGAGACTCGACAATCAGTACATGCGGATCCAGCATGATGATAAAAGGAAGTGGATGGGACTCACCCTGACTTTCTGAGGCTTCTTGGTACGTTTGATGATGAGACCCAATGCATGATCGGTCCTCTGAAAATGTAATTTGGCATGCGCTCGATCGTCGTTCAGGCAGCCCCCGTTGAAGCAGTGTAGGCAAACGCAGACGCCTTGTTCGTCGTCCTATAGGGTACGACAACAGCAGCGGCGGTAAGTTCTTTCATCTCTCTAATATCCTACTTGATTAACTTGCCTGTCCGTCGAAGCATTGGGTGCATTCCTCCCTGTCGACCGGTCGAGAAGGTAAAGAGAGCTATGAGTAATCACTCGTAAAGGAATGTCTGATGACGAGTCGCTGCGGTCTGCTCACTTGTGTACCTGTTGACCGTTCGTAGGCGGTTTCAGGTTGGCGAGGTATTCGTCAATATGAGTGCAGGACATCTTGTCTGTTATCGTTTGTGATGACTATCGAAGAGGACGTTGGTGCATTCCGAGAAGGTTGTTTGATGCTTTTATAGCGATGGAGTTGGACCAGCCAGAAGCCGACTGCTCGGTCGACGCGGATCGCCGAAGCTGAGGCTCGAGCTCGAGCTCGACCGGTTCACCTTCCACATCCTCCCCTTTCTTTAGCATACAATTGCCTCGAATTACCGTTCATATCGGACGTAGACTTCAGAATCGACGGATATACCCATAGACTGGAACCTAGAGCCGGTCTCTGTACAACTGTTCGCAAACAGTCGACTCACGCTCCTAGCGCTCCTGACGCATACGGACACGAAGCCTGAGCCTTGGATGAAGCTTTCACGACGTTCACGACCATCATGACGACCTTTCCAGAACTTACGTCTCTGGTACCTCTCGACTATACTTACGTCGTATGTGAGTCCGAGATGCTCGATTTGATCAATGTAGGCTCTTGTACTGAAAAGCTTGCCATCCGCACAACATTAGACGACCCCACGGACCTCATCTCGGCCCCTCTGGCACTCTTGACACTCTCCCCGTTCTTCCTCTTCTCGGCCTATGCGACATTGATCATCATCAACCGGCCCTTGTCGGTCGTCAACCTTTTTCTCGGACAACTAGCTAATGAGGGGTTGAACAAGGTCTTGAAGAAGACGTTGAAAGCGGGGAGACCGTGGGTATTGGGAGATGGGTATGGGATGCCTAGTAGTCATTCTCAGGTGAGCTCAGGGCTCGTGTCCCCCTGCACCGTGGTCATCTATCGCATAGACCTTTTCAAGTGCTAAGACCGCGCTTTGTTCTTTCTATGACTTGCTGCGAAAACGGATGAACGTTTGCAGTTCGTAGCTTACTCTTCAAGCTTTATGCTCGTCCACCTCGCCTGCATCTACCACCACCTCCCCTTCGGCTTTCCACACCGACACCGCCGCACCCCCACCTCCCGTTTCACCCGATACACCCTCTCTACCGGTCTCGTCCTCTGGCCACTCTTGACCGGTTACTCCCGTTATCGTCTGCACTACCACTCTCCTACGCAAGTTTTAGCCGGTTTAGCGGTGGGGAGCATGGTCGGAGCATTACATGCCGTGGTCACAGAGGTCGTACCTCTTTGGTACCCGACGAGCACGCTCGGAAGACTTAGGGCGCGGATAGCGAGGAAATGGGAAGAGTGGCCGATTGAGGGTTGGGGTGGGTGGGGAGCTGGAGGGAGGGAGACGGGGAGGTGGTTGGACTATCCTGATGTCACGAAGAAGGATGTATCCGATCGAAAGAAGGACGAATAGAGGATCCATAATATTCAAAGCGAAGGACTGCGTTGATCTACCGGCGCGTCTCTGTCTTTAGCTGTTCTTCCATGCTGCGAGCGACGACGTGGACATGGGAGGTGCCATCAGTCCAAGATACAGATACATGCCGCAGGTCGGTCTCGGGTCTGACGTTCTCTACTTAGGCGGTATGGCAAGTATATCATATCAACCGCGTCGAGAGGGACGTCAAGGACATCTACCGTGTTGAGAGCAACGTCAAGAAGGACATCATCTGTGTCGAGAGGAACGTCAAGAACGACGCTGCCCGTTTCAAGGGAGACATCCCCTGTGTCAAGAAGGACGTCAAGGAGACAACCAGGATCAGCAACAATGTGATTGGACATCTCAAGTCGGCTGTTCAGAATGTTTTCCAAGCCATTGCGACCGCTGCCATCTCACGACCGTAGAGCGCGGCCGATCGACCTTGCCAGTCGGATTGACCCTCACATCAGTTGCTCTGGGCATTCTCGCTCTCGCTGCTCGAGGTCTTCCGCAATGCCCTCGATCAACGTCATGTACCCAGGGTTTGTAATATAAAGGCAAAGATTGTCAGTGTTGGGCACACCAATGGCAACAAGATCGGCTTCAGTGGGTCACTCTGGATGTAGTGATCGATACTCTCTTGGCTTAGTTCGCCCCATTGAAGATAGAAAGATATAGGCCTAAGATACTGCCTGTGGATCAAGTCTTACTTCGTTATGGACCTGAAGTACAATCAGTAAGGTAGACATCGGAAAGATGATATGATCGACAAGTCCGAAGCCCGCACAGGTCTAGCGCTTGTGAGACTGCCACAGCGATTTGATCGATTTTGATGAGGACTAATTTCGTCCGAGTTACGCTTGCTGAGCACAATCCGTCAGAAAGTTAGGTCCGGAACCTCCGGACGCTTGTTTCAAATCGGAGAAGCAAGCTGGTAGATGTGGAGATCAGCACGAAAGATTGATATTTCACATGCTGGGGCTTCGAAGATCGAAGGCGCCGCGGCGTTTGTAAGTGAGAAGGAGAAAGAAAAATGTTCGTCGGGTCCGGAGCGACACATCGAAGAATTCCAAGGGAGCGTTGCGCGAAGTGATCGGTCTGGTTCAACTATACCTCCTTCTTCGTCTCGTCCGTCTCCTTCTCCTTCGCCGTCTGCTTGGTAGTAAGATGGAAAGGCAGACTTGGTGCCACAGTTGAAGCAATGTGACCTGCGGTGTGGCCAGACCGCCTTTTCTTCCGTGGCTTCTTGTCTTTGTGTATGCTGGGCTGAGATATGTCAAAACAACATTAGCAACATTGCTTCCGATTGAAGAATGTGCTGTTCAGTGAATTCAGTAAGAACCACAGATCTACAGAGTCCTAGATTCTGATTTGCCACAACCGAGTGAAACAGACGGAGGACGTAGGTACGTAGAGTACGTGATGGTGTACGGCATTTTGCTTAAACGCAATTGCTTCCGGTCCCGGTCCGGCAGTAAAAGTCCCGAGTAAAGCGACGAAACAGAGGTTCCCTAATTTCGAAATATGGGATGTTCGAGGTTCGACATACTCGACCTCCTCCACTGATCTTCAAAGAGGCACATAGTATAACAATAGCTTGAGTCTGCTAACTGGACCTATTGGAGCGTCCTGGTTAAAAGAAAGACGAGATAAGACGGATCGGAGCTTCGGGCGCCGGGTTGCCGTACTGGAAAAGTTGGGAGTCGAAGGTCTGGCCAACAGGGACAACATACGCAATCCAAGAACTGCGTGTGTAATCGAGGATCTCCGAGGGAAAACGAGAGATTGCAGTCAAGTTCGAAGGATACGAGCTGCAAATTAGCTGCAGCGCTAGGCAGACGTAAACAAGGAAAGATTCGGGGGATCACCACTGCCGTCGAGGTGGACGATTTCAAGTCCGGTATTTCATCCTAGAATCTCCAAACGAAAGCACTGTCGAGCTTCGAGATAGCGGAAGGAAGAGGAATCGAACTGGGCGATGCTTTGAAAAGCAATTCGAAGCACGCAAGCATATACCTACCACCTTTTCGCAAAAGCCTTGACGGGGAACGCGATACACCTACAACAATAGACGGGATTCAGGATATTACCGATAGAACGCAACATAGAAGAGACCGCACACCGCCGGGTCGGCATTCATCAAACAGTATCTGGCACCACACGCCAAACACCCAAATCACCACATAATTTGTCTACTCCGACACCAAAATGCCCCCTCCCACATCCCTCGCATCAACCCTAACATCCTCCCTAATCCTCTCTTCCTTCGGCCTAGCGTCCAAAGCCTTCTTACGCTGGGGATGTAAAGATGTGAAAGTAGAGGGTCTGGGGAAACTTTTGACGGCTTTGGAAGAGCCAAAGTTGACTTCCGGATCGTCAGGGTCAGAAACGGGGTTGATAGATGAAAAAGAGGGAGAACAAGCGGGACAAGCGGGAAGGAGAGGGGTGGTGACGATCTGTAATCATACGTCCGTGGTGGATGATCCGATGGTCAGTCTCTGTCTTGGTCACTCCATTCCCTTCTGTTCAGAGCGAGTGGACTCTCAATAAGCAGGCCAGAACTCAGGACGCTGATCCACTCCACTTCCGAATCACGTAACACAAACCTGCCTCACACCCGTCCGACACCGCAATCATCGTCTTGTTCAATTCTTTACCGCCGGGAAGACACGATCAGATGTGGGGGATCATGCCCATGAACACGTTTGTCCCGTTTACAAGTCCTGCTCGGACGTGCAGGAACACTCGATGGACGTTAGGAGGTGAGTGCAGGTCGATGGGCGTTCGTCTTTTGGTGCTTCGATGGGTTCTTTTCCGGTTCAGGGCTGATGTTTTTGGTTCGATTTGGCTTCGTTCTCGTTTGCATTGCCCTTTCGCACGTCGATGGCATTTCTTCGCACGATCGTGATCTGGTTGACCTTTCGGAACCTTTTACCCGGACGACGTTGGGATCTGGTTCAGCTAGTGACATCATGTTCACCAACCCGTGAGTACCTCCAATGTATCTCCTTACAATTCTGCGCTCAAGGACGCTGAGATATCGTTTTGGGCGTACTTCGGGTAGGATATTCTCGAAGTTTTTCACTCTGGGCCAAGTGATAGAGACGGTTCGTGGAGGTGGGATCTTCCAGCCTGCTATCGACGAGGCTATCAAGAAGCTACAAGCTGGAGATTGGGTAAGCACAGGACCGTGGTCCGTGGTTCACATTCACGGTGCTGATGTTTCCTCCTTGACGGCTCTTTCAGGTCCATATCTTCCCGGAAGGAAGGGTCAACCAGGTCTCGCTGCATCCTCCAGGAGGATTGATACCGTTTAAATGGGGAATGTGAGGCATACTGGCGCCACAACCTGCGGGAAACGTGACTGACACTGGTCTCATCCGCTGCAGATCGAGGATCATTATGGATTCGGCCCGTATGCCGACGATCATACCGATCTGGATATCCGGTGAGTCCCTGTCCAGACGCCTCGCGCTTCCAAATTCGGGTCAGGTGACTGATGTCCCTTCAACCTTCCTGCTACAGGCTTCGAGGACGTCATGCCAGACACGCGGAAATACCTTCGTTTTCTGCCACGACCGGGGAAGCGGATCAGCATCACAATAGGAGATCCGATCACAGACAAGATCTCCCCGTTGGTCGACGAGTGGCGGCGGTTAGCAAGGGTTGGACCGGGCAAGTTGGGCGTAGGAGGCGCGTGGAGTGGGAACGAAAGGATAGAGGCGAGCCTAGGAGCCGTCAAGGACGCCAAGACCAAGGTCGACCTGGCGTCGAGCAATCCCGAGCGACGGGAACGGGCGAGCGGTCAGGTCGCCGACGGGAGAGAAGTTTCGGTCAGGAAACAGATTTGTCAAGTCCTGACGGATGAATTGACCGCGATGGGAATGCACATAGAGGCAGAAGAAGGCAAAGACAAGAATCCATGGCGAAACGCGGTCAGACGCGAGGGCTACGAAGCAACATCACGGTAGATGTGGAGATATGCTCATGAGGAAACCCATGCGTATGACATGACTACACCGGTAATATAGATACATTCTGCCTGTCAATCGGATTCTCTTGAAAAACCCCTCAGTCTGCCTTCCTAACCTCGTTATGCTGCTTGACAACTCTGGGGAGTTCAGGAAGAGTACCGGCGTGAGCTTCGACCAGCCTGGTTTATATTCGTCACCAAACGACTCACGTCTCGATATGCTTGAATAAGAAACTCTTTTCGCGCTGCCCGACGACCGGGATGAACGGCCCGTCTACGTCGCCCATCAAGACCAGACTGATCCCGTTGGGCTCGAGCGAGATCGTCTGCAGGTCGTCGAAAGGAACCTCCCACGACACCCTAAAGTTGTTCGAACGGACCAATAGGATCCTGCTACCAGTGAGCATGATGATCGAATCGTCTCCTGGCAGGTCGAGGTGAGCCACATAGGTGTCCTTGAAATAGCGACCGTTCTCTGCATTTGTTTTATGTCAGTCGCGTTGATGTGGCCTCAAAACTTGGCTGTCCCACTCACCCAGATCCTTGAGCCAGAACTGTCCGAAAGCTTCCCTCTCGGTGAAAGGCTGACGGCGAATCATTCGAGTCAGTGATAATTTCAGATCCGCTTTCTCCACATAGGTCTTACCCTCAGAATGCCGTCCGAACCGATAAATCTCGGCAAGCGGACCCGGTCTAGCTCTTCTTGGTCAAAGACGGTGGTGGTGTTTCGGATACCTTCCGTGACGTTGGAGGCAAAGTCGAACACTCCGACAACAGGCTTGGTCACGGCACCAACAAAGCCCTATCGTTATTGAGGTCAGCAAGTATGTTCAGTCGCTAGGCGTCGTCAAAACTACCCACCTTGCCCACTCCCTTGAAAAATCCGCCTACTCCACCGCTTTCGGCGCCCTCGATAGGTTTGAGCTATATGAGGTCGGGCTTGAGCACAGGCAATTCTGTCAGACAATGTCTCGCGTGCGGACTCACTGCTAGTCCTTCAAACCCGCTTGCCACGCTTGTTGCAAACGAATTGGCACCGCTCGTGAACCCGTATCTAATGACCATCCCTTTGAGCAACCAAGTCATGAATGACCAGCCGCCACTGCTACTCACAAGGCATGCTTAGGCTTGTTCCTCCGCTGTGCCATTCGACGCCTGGACTGGTAGTCCGAGTCCAAAGTAGCTGCAGCTAAACCTTTGCCGACACTGCCGGTGACTTTGGTAAGAGAATCGGTGATTCCAAAGACGGTCTTTTTGGCAAAGCTTGAAGCACCCTGTATGATACGATTGCGGTCAGCTCTCGAACCCCTGTGAACTTCGAGACTGGTTCTGATTTACCCTTGCGATCCCGATACCCAGATCACGATGTCCATGCATGACGACACCCTGGATCGGCTCGTAAAAGATGTCTTGGACACCCGAGCTGACGTTGTTGAACAGTCCGACCGGGTTGCCCAAGAAGTCGGCGGAACCAAGTACTCGGTAGATCTGGGCGACGAATTGCTCTCGATAATGCAAGATGACGCGCTCTTGCAACGACGGCATCGTTAATCGAGCGTTGTGGATGATCAATGCGTTAAGCCGAACTGGCGCAGCGTTGACGTTTCCTAGCGCCATCGTAAGAGCGTTGAAGAAGAATACAACCGGGTTGCGAGAGCTCGATCTGAATGTAGAGAGCAAGAGGGTTAGGCTTCATCTCGATGACCGTAGATCCATGGCCACACTCACTTGTCATCAACGTTGACCCTCTCGGTTCGCATGAACGATATCTCTAGCTGCATTGGCTGCAACGCCAGATCTTCAAAGTAGACGTTCGTTCCAGGCGGCGTCGCCTGGGCATCGGGAATCTCGTCCGGCTGAGTGATCAAGACGCTGTCGGTCGAGTTCGATATTAGTACCGAGCTCACCAAGTCTGCTGTTGTTTGGCCTTGGGCTTACTCGTGGATGGGCTCCTGCCACGAGGCATTGTCGAACTTCGAGAACTCGTATACCGCGAATAAAAAGTCCTCGTCCAGCTCGATAGTCATGGCTTGCAACAGGAGCGTGGCGTATTTGATATAGGTCACACCGTGTTCTACCAAGAGGCACGACAGTCAATACGGCGATAACGAAGCCGATGCAACAGGGAATCGACTTACTGTCATCTTTCAAGACTGCAACGGACATCTGTAATGTTGGATGAGCTTCCAGCTCCTTGCCATCTTTTGGCACAATCGTAGGATACAGAATGATGGGGAACAGGCCCCCAAATAGCTGGTTGTCGATCTGGATCCACTTGCAGTCGAGACTTGCATCGTAGAAGTGGGGATAGTCCGAGTACGACAGCTTGATACCTCGAATTGAGGCGTAAAGCAGCTCTTGCAGGTTGCGATTTACCACCGAGATACCGAGACCCTCGAGCTCGACCGACAACGTCAATGTGGGTTTCTCCGGTGCCAGTACAGTCTCAAAGGACATGGCGTTGAAGGAGTCCACGCTATCAGACCGAACGAGATTGCCCCCAGGCCGTTTCGGTCTGTATACGCTGTTGTCCTCGTCGTACGGCATAATGACTAAGACCTGCGAATGACCTTCAGCTCGGACGTCCAAAGAGAATGTCCTGTTTCTTCGTGATCCTTGGCGACTCTATAGGACAGCCCTTCAGCCTTGTCAACCACATCGCGGTATAGCGGATCCACTCACATTCGCAGACACCTTGAAAGGCGACTGGATTCCGATCTCCATGATATCTACGAGTCGTTCTTGGTTCGATGCAACGAGGCGTATACGTTTCCCTATCGCGGCAGGAGTGTCCCAAGCATAATCTACCGTCGAACGAGGCTCTGCTGGCAAAAGCCTTCGATCTTGAGGTGGTCCGTTAGGCGCGGTTTCCTCCTATATCTGGTAATCAGCATGTGTGTCGGACGGATCGCTCAGGGGCAGGACTCACCGTCTGTTCGAACGTGAACGGGAAATCGGTCTCGTTGCGAATGCGCAAGGGCCAGGTCCCCTCTTCTTCCGCAACGAACAGGAATACCGTCGAACCTTCGAGCCGAATATCTATACGAAGCAGCTGCTTGCTTGCACCACGTTCTGTGGGCACGACAACGTGATTACGCCCGACATCGGCAACGTTGATCGGCGCAGACCTGCAAAATGCCATTGATTTAGCCCACTCCATTTCGCGAGAAGGAAGCTGGATAGCCGACTAACCATCTGACATCGCCGCTATCCAATGCAAACGAGAACTGAGTCGGGGCGCTATTGCTAAAGGCGTGCCAAGGTACCCTTTCACCAGGCTTGATGTCAAGGTAGTTTTGCGTTCGGAATTGCCGGATCTTGACGGTCCGCTTTGACTCGTTCCGCAAGAGGAATCGAGGCGCAATGGTGATGACCTTGCTCAACTTGTACTGCAACGCAGGAGAGCGGTTGTGTTGAGATCTCATGACTGACCGATTATGAAAACGAAATCTCATACCTTGCCGAGACCCTCGATGTAAGAAAACCCGATATGATGCACAGCATCGCCTCGATCCTGTGGTATCGTGACTTCGGAATCTCCTCCTACGCCTTCAACCGAGATTGGCTAGCGAACGACAAACAGATCAGCGAATCATTGAAAGGTGAGGCGGCTTCCATGGATGGGCATTGCTGGCAAACCCCATCACAACCAAGCCTACTGACCTTGGACCAAGCCGAGTTGCCAACCTTGAGCAACAGACGATTACTGCGTTCCTCCGTCGGGAACGAAAACACTGTTGAGGCAACGACCGGAAATTAGACGCCGCCGACACGTAGAATCGCGGCGAACTCACTGAACGGGGTAGTATGAGATTGTTTGTGGCTCGCTGGCAAGTACCGAGAGTCAGCCATATTCTCTGACGAGTCCGATACGCCCCTCGGACCTACTTGCAAAAGCCTCTTGACCTGCAACCTTGTTTTGAACACCGGACCAGGTTTTGAAAGCGAGAGAAAAGGGCAGTCCGGTTTTGTTCAGGATGATATAAGGGCTGTATATCTGAACCTTCATGGCTCCTCCAGCGTCCGGATAAGTGATGTAGTGCAGTCTCAGGGTCAATTTCTGATCGCGCTTGTCGTGCAAGATTAGACTGTTCTCAGTGCGGAAATCATCCGGATTGTCGGTGTTGATGATGGCAAATTCGCTCTGCTTGAAACCGGAATCTTGCGCCTCTACGCTCAACAATAACAGGTGGTCCAATTGCACGGTATGGATAGGACTTGATCCGCCCCGGATCAGAAAGTTGGTGGTATTGGAACGCGTGTTCTTGTCATAAACGCGATACCTGATGTTGTAAGGCAAGAGGTTTTCCACCTCGATCGGGGCACGAAGGCGCAGATTGAGCTTGGGGTATCGTTTGACGACCGGATCCTTCTTGTCAAACAGACTTGCTGCTTGGAAACGGAATACTGCCTCTTCCGGGGACTTGTGCTTGCAACCGATCGATCGGACGGGCCGCCTGACAAGATCTTGCCAGGAAAGCGTATCGGACGACCAAGAATAGTCGAATCCTCTATCAGGCCGAAGCTTGAAACGGTTGTTGTATGCGGCTTCGATTGGAAGAGGGTAACTTTCGCCAGGAGGAATCTTGCAAACAGGTGCGGCCTGTTTGTTATTGGCGTCAATCAAAACGAGCTCCATTGGCAGATGCGTCATGTTCTCGACCTGGAACGCCGAACGGAAAGTAACGATCTTGACGTTGTCCTTCAACTTGACGTCGCAAACGACCCGATGTAGGACCTCTTGCACTCTGGGTTTCAGGACGTAGGATTGATCGCCCTCTCTATCGACCGAGACGTTTCGGACGCGCTCCCAAGGCATGTTCTCGAATTGGACACCGAAAGCATTATGACTGCTAGAGGAGAGATTTTCTCGCTGGCGCTTGTGATCCTGGAATCGCCACGGGATGGCCTCGTTGTCGGCCAATCTTCGAACTTGCACGGATTTGCCCTGACCAGAGCTGCGTAGTGACTTGTCCGAGTCTGCCCAAACTAAGAGGGTATAACCGGTCCGGTTTCGAACAACGAAAGGCGCATCAACTCCTCTCCCCTCGTGCTGTACTCGCTCGTGCTGCTGCGACCACACCGTCGCGCTTGTGATGGCGAGTTCGATGAACGCAGCCGTCATATTCATCTCGAGTCGTTGTCTCGAGGTGAACTTGACCGCCATGGTTCCGTTGTCACCGGTACCAGTAGTCTTGGCGACAGTAAGAGCGAATTCCCAGGGATCCATCAAGGGCTCCCAGTGAGAGTTCATCAGATTGTAGTAATTGATCGTTGTCGACATTGCAGTCTTGGCATGCAAGTCTGTTGACCAGTCGTTCACATTGAGCGAGAAGGGTTTGGTACTGAGATGGACTAGGGGAAGATCTTGCAGGTCTCCGATCAAGACCAGTTGGAAGCCTCCGATCCGAGTGTGTAATGTTTCTTTCGACACCACTACCTGAGGGTGATTCGTAACAGACTTTCGCCTGGACTGATTGGGCTTAGCAGACTGTTCATTGATCGGTAGAGCTACTTGACGATCCTGTCCTTCCCCGATCGCGGTCTCTGGCTTGCTGGTTGCGGCGCTAGCGAGCGCTGCAGCCTTGTTGACAACGTCCACGATCAACATGATCTCGGTATAAGATGCTCTGAAGATGACTGGCGTGATGTCGACATCTAGAATCATGCTTTGGTTTCCAGCGACGCCGCGCGTATCCATCGCGACAGTGATGTCCACATCGTCGAGGAATCTGACACGCTCACTTGGCTGATCCATCCTCCCGAAGGACATCCCGAGTTCGTGTACGGCCAGGGTCATTTTAGCCTGTTGGGCCACTACGACGTCTTTGATGCGCAATTCGATGGCCTGCGCCTTGGGATCCGTATCGCTTGCGAGAATCAAGACAGTTGAGTGCCGCACTTCAACCCGATAGGACAGGGAAGACTCGTTTGTCGACTTGTTCGTCGGTTCGTCTTGGGGCTTGTCATCGTTATCGCTGGACGGAACTTGCCTCGAGTCCTCCGATTTAAAGGGTGCCAGAGCGAATTCAGTGAGGGCATAAAGCGGGTCGACGGCGAGAACGACCTGAGGGCTATCAATGGTGACCAAGGCTTGCGCAGCTCCTTCTGGTTGAGCCGACACGGTATACTGCACAGTGAACTGATTGCCCCTTCTTTTGCCCTCCGGGATGAGATCGCGATAGATAGAGTTGCCCGGACGAGTATTTGACATGGCGATCGACTTGACGGTAACGTTGGCCTCGGAAGCGCCGTCGGCTTTACTCTCATACTGAACGTGGGAAGAGTTGATAGAGAACGCCGCGATGCTGTCCTCATGAAGGGTCTCCTTCGATGTTGCCTTGTTTCCGTAAAGCTCTAGCCTAACCACAGGCACACGGAAAGCGAAATCCATGTTGGCACCTTCAGCTGCAACGCTCGGCGATGGGTCTCGCCCGGTGACATCCGAGGACGCGGGATCCGGCGCTCTAGCGGGCGTTGGGAGCGTCTCGTCATCCGCCTTCAGGATTTTGGGAAGCGTCTTGGTGAGATTCATGATGAGAACGTATTGTTGCTGCGTTAGAGACATGTGTATGTCGTTGGACTCCCCATGGATCTTTTGCGTCTTGGGCTGATTGGAACTTGCGGCATAATCATCCACGTTGACCGACAAATCAACCCTATCAAGGATCTGCAGAATACCCAAGGGCCCTTCGGTGGTGATGTTAACTCCACTCAGCGATGCCACAATACTATCGGGAGAGTTTTCGCCCCTCCCGAAGCTGTTCTTCGCATTGACCTGACCAAGTCTGAGCACGAGCCGATTTTGACTGCCGAGGCCATCCTGTGGCAAGACCACGATAGGTGTCTTGATGATTACGTCGTAGTGCATCCTCGTCACTTCCGCTGCGCGTTGCATTGCAGCTTCCGAAGCTCGGTCGTAAACGGCCTTCAGGCGTGATAGATTGGAAAGGAACAGCATGATGTTCTTGAGAGGACCTTCCATGACGGTGAATACTAACGATCCAGTTCGCAATTTCACCGCAGAATTGTAGCCGGGGAACGTGGTCTCGTCTTCCGGGTTGAAGGTCTCGTAACTGAAGTCGGCCAACTCGTCTCCTTCGATAGTCAAGAGCTGCTTGAATGACGAGTCCGCCGTCTGGGTGGAGGTGTCATCCACGAAAGTGAGTTTCCCAAGAGTAGTGCTCAATCGCATGGTCCCTCCCCTCAACAGTAGAGCGACATCGGCGGACGACAACTTCAACGTGGCAAACTGCTCCTGACCATTGACCAATGAAACTGCTCGGCGGGCATGTTTGAATCAGCCACGTGCTTGTCAAGGGGTTACTATGTAATGCACTCACGTTCGATGCTTCTCAGCTTGACACGTATTCGAATCTTGTCCCCATTGTCGGCTTGCTGGTTTTGCGCATCGGCAAGTTGTGTTTGATCGCCTGGCGAGATATCTGGCGTCGTGTCGGAATTGTTGGGCACAAATGTCGTCATGATAAAGTCGTAGAGCGCCAACAGAGGTTCAGGTTTCGCATGAATCCTGAACGTCGTGAGGTCGACCGCAATACTCTGATCGGCACCGTCGAACACGCTCATGTACTCCGGAGACTCCTTCTGGACCTTGCGGTACGCTACCTTCATGAGATTCTCCGTTTGCGAATCTCCAGTATCGATGAGCGATTGGCGTTGAGCAGCATCCAGCATGTCCAATTCGAGCTTCCGGAGGCCGAGGTCGACGCTCATGTCGAACTTGCGCAAGGCAAAATCAAGGTCGAACCCCGTCAGTCGCGCCACAGCAAGGGCTTTCTCGATGCCTTGAGGAGTGCTACGCGACAGTTCAGCCTGCAATTCGCCCACCGCGAATCTAAATTCGAAAGTCTTCTGGTGCAGATCCTGTCGCTGGGCTTCGGTGGTTGCGTCCGCCGCATCGTAAAACTTGTCGGGCTCGGTGCTTTCGACCATGTCCCCTACGTCACGGTCCTCGATGATCGACTCATCATCGTCCAGCACGTACTCCTGGATAGCAGGCTGACTTCGGAAAGCGGTCTTTTTGCTGTTGGGCAGAATTGGCCGAGCCGTCTTGACCTCGGTGGCCGCCTCATCGCTGTGTGGAATAGCAACATCGATGATGCGCATCAACGATTCTGCAGAGGCAAAACAAAACGATTAACCTTAGCGCTGCGCCCTTTCGATGCCCACTCCTCCGCGACTTACTATATTTGACGTCGGAGAGGTTGACATGAAGACTTGGCAAGTTTCCCGAGACCTTGAATCGCGTGAGATTGGGCAAGTTCAACATGGCGTTCTGAACCACGAAAGTCATTCCGACTCGCTCGATGATGTGGAGGGCAGATGATTCCTGCTGCTGATGCAATGCATCGAGACACGCGTCCAGCTTGTAGCCAATGAGAAGCTGTATGGCCAAGTATCAGCGAATCGCTCTATGCCCATTGTAATGCCAATCACAACGCGCCTGCGTAGATTCGAGCTTGAGAGAGAACTCGTCATACATGAGGCCCTCTAGCTTGTGGAACTCGTCATCAGACAAGGCCTGACCTTTCTTGGCCTGCATGTCTCGAATCTCCGCTTTATCCGCAAGAGAGCTGTTCACTCCGATATGACCTGCATCCAGAATCATGTGCAAGCACTCCTTGGTATCGACACTATCGGATAAGGATAGAAGGTCAGGTTTCAGGCAGGAGAGTCCAGTTCGCGATCGGTATGGGTCGCTTACCGTTCCGGGACGATAATGATGGGAGCATTCATATCCACCTGCAAGTCGATGGTCTGCAGATCACACGATCATCGCGTCAGTCGTCATGATTTATGGAGAGCAAAGCGAGGAGACTAACCTTATGGTGCTCAAGCGCAAACTCAAGACCTGCTCGAGTTTCTCGTCTGATCCCGTCAAAGGTTTCACCAGCGGCGTCCTGCCGGCCACATGTACAAGAAACACCAGTTAGACGTTGTATTCAGCATTCAATCACAAGCATGCAAACTCACGATCAAAGCCGAGATCGACTCCAGTTGACTCGCTGGGGGAGTCAAGAATCTCATGACAGCCTCAACATATCCCCGATGATATACGATCTCGAGATGACGCATGCGGATAGCGACTCCAGTATCGGCTCGACGATCTAGTGGGTTCCGTTCGAAACGCAAGGTAAAGAACGGATCGACCTCGACTTCCTCGCCCGGAACGGAAGCGTTTCCTATCGCGGCGCCCTCCTTGACCCTAACGATCTTGTGATGCAGGGTGTTGAGGGTTGTGCCGTCGAACACACTGAAGTCGCCAAGCGAGATCCGGGCATCGAGAGATTGAGGCATCTGCGTAACGTCTGCCGCAAACGAGTCGAACACGAGGGAAATGAGATCTCGCTTCGCACCATGAGGATCCGTTCGTAGTGCTAGAGATCCCCGTTTCAAAGTCGTCGATACGCGCATCAGGAGGAAATCATCGGGAAGACTACCGCTCGTAGACGCTGCTGACGGATCATAATCAATGATCTCGTTCAGCTGCGCCTTGTCCGCTTCCGAGATAGTCATATCGTCATCCCCGGCGGTATCGTTCCCTGCGGTAGAGGATCCTCCCCAGACCCATCCTAGCCAGCCGCTAGACTTTTGCTGACCCTGAGACTTCTCCTTTTCGTGCTGTAACCGTTTCTTGAGATCCGCGTCCTTTTTGGCCTGAGCCTTGGCGACCGAGCGGAAGAATCGAATGTCCTCGTATGAGAGGTCTTGCTCGAGCTTTTCCAGTACAGAAGCGTCCTGAACGAGATATAATTTGGAAGCTCAGCATACGTTCCGATCCTTGAACGCGAGATGTATACTGACTTCAACTCCGAGCGCCGTGTTCCCCGACAAGGTCTTGACATATAGCTCGACGTATTGTTTTCGGTTATCGCGCCGCTCTTCAAAGTACTGCCAAGTCCACTTTCGATTCCGCTCGTGTATTTCGCTGAGAATCGCTTTCGTAGCAAACTTCCAACGGGCTTTGGCTGGCGATTCCGAGAATTCGCTGTCTGGAGGCCGATATCGATGGTACTGTGGAAAATGCGTATTAGCTAGGTGCGAGCGGTTCGAGACCGCATCAGTCTCCTCACCATGTGCGTCCGAGTATAGAAATGGAACAAGTCTAGCATCGACAACGCATCTCGATACTGGTCATCGTCGAGCACGAAACCGATCTCATCGAAGAAGACCTGAGCGTCCGTCTTGGCGACCTCTTTCGATAGCTTCTTCTTCATGGTAATTCTTGACTCTCCGCTGACAGGTTTCAGGATGTATTGATGCGGGACGTCGACTTCCTTACTCGCGATCTGTGGTAGCAATACTCGATGGATCAGCTTCGACCGATAAGCCTTTGTAGTTGACGAAAGCGGTACTCACAAGCGATTGGAAGCTCTTCATCATCTCGCCCCTTCGGTCGCCTTCCTGATAGATACTGCTAGCGTCCGTATCGAAGTAGAAAGCCAGACCGTCTAGCGAGGCGAGCTGTATCGTGGGACAAGATGTGGTCAGCAGGAAGCGATAAGGCTAATATGCACGGTGTTCTGCTTACCTTCCGAACTCCTTCAGAACTATTCTGGATGAACGCCTCGATCCAGTTCTCATCCGCAGAGACAGCCTTGAAGCTCGATAGCGTCACACCGGCGGCGAAAGGATGCTGTTCGAAACAGAGGTCCAGGTCAGACTAACGCTCGAACAGTACGACACGCAGAAGAGACTCACCTCGGGGGTACTGAGGTTGTCCTCATATCGCAGATGGATGTTCTCGATCGAGATCTGGACGTTGTCGACCAACTTCTGGGTGAAAGCTCCGATCCAGGTTTGTTTGGCTGTTTAGACCAGTCAAAGACGATAAATCCAACGTCAGCAAACGAGACCCTCGCAATAACCTTAGCTCTTCCCGCTTGCTCACCTTCGTCGCCCTGCCCAGCAGCTCCCTGACCAGCTGCAGCAGCCGCATCCAGACTCTCGGCATTCCGCAGCTTTTCCTGTTTCGCCTCTTGATCCTTCCGCTCGTCTTCCTGCGGGTCGACCGATTCTTGAGAGGTATCCCGCATCTTGACGAGCAGGAATACATCGGAGATTTGAATGTGGACGGGGTTGGTACGGAGGGAGAACCAGGGGATGGTTATATGCAAGTGACCGATGTGACCTGGAGGATTGCGGTCATGCGAAACAGATGTATGTGAGATCAGTGTAGGCTCGGTGATGAGCGACGGATAGAGTCTTCTCACCTTCGACCACTTCTACTGGCAAGTTGTACTTCTCGACGGCCGACTTTTTGAGATGCAGATTATGCAGCGTCAAATCGCCTGCAAGCTCAACCATAATTCAGTTTGGCATGCACACGCGAATTGCGCTAAGAATGAACGTACCGGCCATGATCGCCAGGTTCAAGTCATTTGCGTTGAGGTTGTCAACGTATGGCGAGATGAATTTGTTGATGAGCTACACGAGATGGCGATCGTGATGTCAGTTGTAGGTCAAACAGGAACGGATGAGGAAGCAGAGGTTCGCTTACGGATACCACGACCCCTCGGACATTCATCAGGCCACTCATTTTCAAGAGGCGTTCTCGACCGCAAAGGTCGAAGTATCTGAAAGACTACCAAGAGGAAGTGCTGGAGCTTAGCTTGAACGTCGTCGAATAGAAGGAAGAGGAATAGGATGGGTGGACGCTTCTAGTTTGCGAAGAGTTGGCTGTCGTCGCGCATGTCCGTCTCGAGAGGCGGTATGGCTAAAGGGTTGCTCGGAATAGCTCGTACGTCGGTGAAGATTTGGAATCTATCGCCAGTCAACCTGAACTAACAGAGTCGAATGCATGATCCATTGAGATTCGGAAGGATGATTGCTATAAGCTACAAGCTACGAGGACATGATCATGGCAATATGGACACTGCGTCATGGCTCTCCGATACTGGCTTACGTAATCTCCTTACGTCACGCCAAACAGCAGCAGCTGATTAGGATCGACTTCGGGCCTCGAAAGTTGTCGAAGTTGAAAGCTCACTTGTCATAAAATCGATCAAACGAGGAATTCGTAAGCTGTCAGTTACTCGAAGCTGACAGAAAGATCAATCCATCGTCGGCCACTTCTTCACTCGGCGATCGGCTCATCACTATTGGCACCAGAACCAAACACAAATCTCAGCACGGCGACAATAGCAACGATCCCCCCCTCGAATCTCCGGTCACGGCTCGGTCTGGCCCAGCCTCTTGGTTCAGACCAGCTCTCAAAGCCGATCTAAACCTCGAAGCAGACCAACTCGTTTCCAAATCATATTCACGGATCATATTACGACAAATAACGAACAGGTGAACACTGGAATAGAACAAGTTCACCTACGACAACATCAGCGCGAGAAAGATCGAAACAACGTATCATCGCCTCGTCGAACCGAACCGGTCAAATCGATCGATCGCACAACAAGCCATACCTTTGAGACTGTATCAGTTGTGAGTAGCAATAGCTTGATGACGCTGTTCACTCGCTCATCCTTCACCTGATCTCCTCAGACTTTCGCGGATACTTGCACATCGAACCGGTCGAATCGCCCTCAACCGTATTGCAAGCCATATCTCTGAATCTTTAAAGCTGTGAGTACCATCAGCCCGAATACGCTGTCTTCTTCTCTCGCTTATACTTTCCCCCCACTATCATCAGACTTTCGCGGACCCTTGCACTTCGTGCCAAACGGACCGATTCGATCAGGACCGACAGTCCTAGACATTGCTACATCCCGCCAAGCCGTGAGTATCAATATTTCAAGATGTACGAAGCTCTCCGCTCAGCTCAACCTTGCGGTGATTACAGAGCCTTATGAACCGTCAACGAAAAACATTAACGAAGTTAACGAAATCGAAACGTGACCGGAAACCCGTGAGTCTCATCCCGATCCCTTCCGATGTCACGCCGTCGACGTCGTATCCTAATAATATTCCATATTCAGGATCAGGAACAGGACGAAAACGTCGCCTTGATTATATTACACCGAAACAACACGCATCGCCGACGAATGCAGCCCTCGTCCTCATCCCGCCTGTTTGGCTCGTCACCGCTCTCGTCGCCTCCAGCGGGACCGATCCGAGCACTCTCTCCAGGACCATCTGGGACCATCCTCTCTCCCGGATCCTCTGAGAGCTCTCTCCCGTCGGAATCGTCCGGCAACCCTCCTTCGCAGTCGTCTGCGGGCGGATCCGACGATACCGTGCTGTGGGACTTCTGGCCCGAGTACACTCAGCATGGCGATTGGACCTTGCACGACGACATACAGTTTTATCTCCAAACACTCTTCTCTCACATCATCAGCCATCCTCTCGCGGGCGGTAACGAGACCTTCGGCTGTTACCCCGAGTTCGCCTATCGTACTCCTGTTGGTAACTTCCGCGGCAAACTGGACATCGGGTTGTGGAGGACCCCGGGCAAAACGATCCCCCGACGCCTGAACGCCAAGGATCTCTTGATGATCGCTGAGATCAAACCTGGACCAACCCTAAACTCAGGTCAAGTTAGAGAGGTTGATAAGCAGCTCAGACAAAGAGCTGCTGATTCAGCTATCAATGGAGTTCAGCAGCCCTTGCTTCTCCTGGGTTTTGTAGGTCCCTTCTTCCGGGCCTATTATTGGGATGGGGAGGATATGAGACCCAACAACTCTGATGAGTACCACAGCAGTCAAGTGATGACTGCTGTTTCTCTGGAAGGGTTTGTTGACATCAGAACCTCTGCTGGGCAAAGGAGGATGCAGAGGCTGCTGGAGGGCATGGTGGAGGGATATGATGATGAGGATGAGTTGGAGTCCGTCTTCGGGGAAGCAGGACTCGGAGCGGACTCGGCGACGCACCTGGTCGAGCCTCCGAGCGGGTCGCCGCAGTCTTCAGGAACCGCGAGCGTCTATGGTGATTAGTGGTATCCACTTCCTTTCGGGTCGTAGCGAGTTGTCGTATCGGTCGTATCGCATGTCGTGCATGTCGCAATAATATTCTCGAGTCGGCGAGTTGCGTTCGTTCTGGTTGCTCGTCGCGACCGTTGCCCGGACGGACTGGTTGCGCGGAGTCGTCAGCATACTGCTAAGTGTTCATCAGCCTGCCGTGTATAAGTATACATGCTACCTTCTATGCTTCCTGGTAAAGCGTAAAGCACTCTTCCGCAAATCAAAATAGTCACATCTTGACGACCTCGTTTCTTTTGTCCTTGGGAGCGGATCGTACAAGATGCCGGACCGCTAGAGACCGTAATCTCGCACCTTTCGTTCTCGATGCGTCCGTCCGCTCGTAGGAAACCGTCCCTGTGGGCTCTCGGATTGCTGGTAGCCGGCTCGATTCAGAACGTCGAAGCTGTAGGGAAGAAGGAGCAGCGTAGGCTACAAGAGGAGACTAGAGCGGTGAGTTGATCTTGACGCCAACACTCGATTTGAAGCTTATGCTGACAGCCGGAAACGTATGTAGCTGTGGAATCATGGATACACGAACTACATGGCTTTCGCTTATCCCGAAGTGAGTGGTCGAAATGCAATCCTCGACGGAGTGGAGGAAGGCTGATGATCTGTATCATAGGATGAGCTCAAACCTCTCTCTTGTCGAGGTCAAGGTCGGGATCATGCCAATCCGTAAATCAGAGTCGGTGACAGGGATCGAGCTGAACCGAGCTGAACAAACATCCCATTGTCTATATACAGAGGGAATTATGGAAGAAACGATGTCAACGGAGACTACTCCCTTACGTTTCTGGACCTCCTGTCCACCATGCCACTCATACGGGGAGAAGCCGAATTCGAAAAGGCCATCGACCGGGTCCTGAGCGATATCAAGAACTTTGACCGAGACGTCAAGGTACAGGTCTTTGAGGGTCAGGACCGATGATCCTACCGTTCTACGCGGTCTCAAATCGCTGACGACCTCGTTGTTCAGTCACGATCAGGATACTCGGATCGCTGTTGTCCAGCTACCAGCAGCTCGTTGAGATCGAAGAACGGCGATATCTCGCTCGACGGTCGTCGTCATCGCTGAACGGATGGAGAACGCCGTTACGTGTGCAGACCTCCGAGTTCTTGTCTTCCGTCATCGATGGATCACTCTTTTCGAGAAAGGCTCTATCCGCTGAGGAGGATGGTCGGAGTCCACAAGTCGAGTCGGACCATCACCAGATACCCAGGCGGCTGGCTTTAGCGGAATACGAACCCTCGAATCGGGCTCAAAGACTCTTGGCGTTGGCCAAAGATCTAGGCGATCGCCTGCTACCGGCTTTCGATTCACCGACGGGCCTGCCCTTTGCTCGGATCAACCTTCGTACAGGACTCGATCGAGATGAAACCGAAGAGACCTGCGCGGCGGCTACAGGATCTCTCACTTTGGAATTCACCGTGCTGAGCCGATTGACGGGGAATCCGGTTTACGAGCGCGTAGCCAGGGAGAGCTTCATGAATACCTGGTCGAGGAGGGCCCCTACGACTGGTCTGCTGGGAAACTCTATCGGCGTCAGGCATGGACACTGGATGATGCCGGGCGCCAGCGGCATTGGTGCTGGAATCGACAGCTTCTACGAATATGCACTCAAAGGTGCAATCTTGTTTGACGACGATGCCTACATGGGCGTATGGGATGATTCCTATCGTTCTGTGATGCAGCACGTTCGGTCTCCGGACTTACACCTGGTGAGAGCTACCGGCTTGGTTTAGACTATCGTATGCTAACGAATGTGCTCCCTGCTCCAGTTCAGAAACGTGTACATGGCGAACGGGCGACCAGTAGGCGCCTTACTCGATTCGCTATCTGCGTTCTGGCCTGGTCTCCAAGTGGTTGCCGGGGACGTTGAAAATGCCATCAAGAGTCATCTCCTGTATTGGCATTTGTGGCAAAAGCACTCGTCGTTGCCAGAAGGCTTCGACTATGTCAATAAGACGGTACTCTGGAGTGGATATCCTCTCAGACCGGAGTTCATAGAAAGCACCTACTGGCTGTACCGAGCGACAAAGGATTCTTTTTACCTCGAGGTCGGGAAGAGGATTCTGAAAGACCTGACGAAGCGCACGAAAGTCAGATGCGGATTCGCCGTGTTGCATAATCTTCATACCGGAGCCGTAAGTACCAACCGACCGAAAGCGTAGTTTTCATTCCATGCTAAGACTGGAAATCGATCATAGAAAGAAGATCGGATGGAGTCGTTCATGTTAAGGTGAGTGGCTGGCTCGTACCGTAAAGCTATGCCTTGCTGATTGTAAATCACCACCTCTACTCCCATAGCGAGACCCTCAAAGTGAGATCCCTGCTGTATCTGCTTGGCGCGTGTATGCTGGCTGACATGCTATGGGATCCCGGGTACAGTACCTCTACCTCTTGTTCGATGAGAAGAATCCGATCAATACTGGGTTGAAGGGAACCGTCTTCACGACCGAAGGTCACATACTGAAGCTGCCTCGGGCTTCTCGCGCTCAGGTTGCTCAGAATGAGTTAGCCGGACGACAATACGAGTTTGCCGGATCTAGTGCTACGTGCGATGTTCCAGCGACAGCCACCCTTGGTGGCTTGAGAGTCGGCATCAAGTCGAGAGAGGACTATGATTATGCTCGGACTTTGGTCGATATGCCGCTGATGGAGAAGGATTACTGGGATCTTTGGGGATTTTGTCGGGTGCCACAACCAGGCTTTCACGTAAGCCTATGGAACGCTATTGAAACGCCGTCGGAGTCGGGTTGACGAGCCTGGATGTTCTCACGATTAGCACTTTGAAATTGTTCTGACCGCAAACAACGAAAGCGCCCCAGCAACACCGAAGACCATATCAGACAAGGAAGCGGCGCAATCGAGATGGGACGCGCAGATAACGCGGTTCTCTGGGGATCTCGTCGTCAGCGACGCTAAAGACATCCGCGCTCTGCTCACCCGGACTTCGGACGGTGCAGCGTTCGAGGTGACAAGTGGTACGTCTTAGGGCTGGAGACGAGAGCGAGCTATCCCGACTGATATATCTGTTTTCCACAATTCTTCTCATTTACAGTGGGAAATCACCGCGTTCATCCGGGACAGTATGTGTACATTCAAGATCCACTCGTTTTCGCTTCGACAGCTCAGGAGGACGAGAATCCGAATACGGCTTCCGGATGGGAAGGTGGAGCTGGCGGACAGGATCGGTTCGCGGAGATTGGCGTGCGCCTATCTTCTCGCCCGATCGGCCGCGAGGTCGCCGAGGAAGAAGCTCATGTCATTTGGGAAGGTCTAGGAGCGACCGCGACATTCGGGCGACAGATTGTGGAGGAGCCGGCCTCAAAAGGCGAATCGCAGAGCAGCTTGCTAGGGGTCTCGTTGGAACCGCTCCCTTTGGCTGCTCCTCGACGCCATCATCTGGGCTGCACGTCTGATGCTTACAGTGGACAGGCAGCGCCGTTCGTAGCGTTTCCTCAGCGAGGGGTCTGCACGTTTCGAGAGAAGATGGTTGCGGCGCGTCAAGCTGGAGCGACGGGGGTGGTCGTATGGGGTAATGACGAAGATGCGCTCCTGATCAGGCCTGCGGACGATCTCGCCTACGAATCAGTCTATCCGAACTCGGACTTGGGAGACGCAGAGGACGAGATCGCCATGCTCTACGTACCGAAGCAGGCGGGTCTCGAGGTGGCTGCAGCAGAGTCTCGCGGAGAGGCCGTATATGTGGAGGTAACGGCGTACCCGGGAGAACTTCAGGACGTGGAGACGGCGATATCGGACGCTCTCGCGGGGGTGGGCGGGACAGTGAAGAGTATCATAGGCGATAACGAGGCCGATTGGCAGGACGTGATGTCTGCCCTCTCGGACATCTTTGGCGAAGCTGGTATTCGCCTGGATCAAGAGGGAGGCGGCGAAGGTGATCTGATAGGCAGAGAATTGCCTGTAGAAGCGACAAGACAGCTCGAAGGCAGAGAATCGAGAGGAGTAGCTGATCCACAGGAACCTCGACTCGGCGACGAACAAGATGCAGGGACGAGCCTCGGGTCGAGGAGAAGGAAACGAGTGCACGAACGCGACAGGTCCAGGCGGGATCAGGAACCGCCGCCACTTATGATTGCAGGACTGCCGATAAGGAACATGGTCTTGCAACAAGCCCCGTCAGGCTGATACACGCGGCCAGGTCATTGTACTTTGTAATTACCCACTATCATAGAATAATTATCTCTTGTTACCGAAAGCTCGAGCGTGGTAATCCGTCAGCTGGGATACTGGCACCAGTTGTTCGGCTGTCGCTGGGTGATGGACTGACCCGAAATGCGAATCAGGTCGACCAAGTAGTACGGGATAATAACCCTTTTACTTGAGACTTAGCGTCCGTTTGGCGAGGTGTATCCGCTAACGATAACTCCTCTGCTGATCGCTTGGTCTCCCACCAGAGACTTTCGCGCAGGACTTGACACAGGGGGTAGAACTAGGTACAGTAATGTTCAGCAAGCAGAGTCAGCATAGGTTGCACTCGAACTGACCTGCAGGACGATAGACCAAAGGTATTGCCATACGTGTCTCTTATTGTTCTTGAGATATGGTATGAACGAGAACTTAAAGCACTGGGAAGAATGAGCGGACACCGACAAGTCCGCCGCGTCCCAAGCAAGCGAGTCGCAGTGGTGCCGTCGGCCACAGGAATGTTGAAGTGCATGTTTGGGCGGCGGAAACTGACTAGCTCGTCGTGATTCGACAGAGGAATAAGAGCTGGGACAAGCTCTTGTAATCGAGATCCTTCTTCATTATCGTAGGTCCAACGGGAGCTCGATCATGATACCAATCACGGTCGGTCCTGAACTCCACGTCTTCAGTTCAGAGGCAGGATGGAAAACGGGGCCTTCCGGATGGACAGCCTGAACCTCGCTTTTCCGCCTGCTTCCGTTCCCCCAATCCACGCTCGCTCCTCGCAGCTAAAAGCAGAAGAGCAATACAAAGTTGTCGTATAGTCACCAGTCATCAAGAGCGAGAACCATCAAGCGTAGCGCATATATACACCGCGAGAACCGCACAACTTGGGTGTGGCTGCAAGCCGACAAATCTATGCAGAGGTGGAAGTTCCCGTAGGGTCCACTTCGACTGCCGCAGTGCTTGGTCTCCACCTTTACTCTTTCCCCCGTCGACCAGACTTGCGGTGATGGGAAACCTGACTTGATGTCTCGGACGAATATGAAACACGACGGACTGCCCTTTCGAAACGATCGTCCGTGCGCCTCCCCTTTCCCCCCTGAAACCCCGTGTGTGTGTGTGTGATGTCCGAAAAGAAGCGCGCCCCCGACCCGAATCACTCATCCAATCATCGCTTCACGCGGATGCAAATGTGTTCTCCCTCTGCCAAGCTGTCCCACCACACCACACCCCACGAACTACCTCACTGCGTTGATATCGACGACTTGCTCACTCTAACCATCCTCCCCAAAACCGCGAAAAGACTTGAAAAGTCTTACTTTCTAAAAAGATGGGCCAACGTTTCACTCTCAGAGGGAAATTATTAAACCCTCGGTTTCATATAGTCTAAAGGGAAAGTTATCGGTGCTGACCGTAATGTCGGCTGCCGGTGAGTCCAGGGGGAGGTGTGGTGGGGGATGGGGGTTGTTGAAGAGAGTGTTTGCTAAACTGTTCTCTCTGCTTGGTGAATTTGGTTTCGTTGTGGATGTTGCAGCTCCTCCTCCGGGGGTCACCGTCATGTAAGCCTCGACGAATTTCCCTCAGCTTTTACTTAAGTCGCGTTGAGTCATATCGTACTTACACCCCGCTTTCATATTTCGTCCACGTTCACAGCCTCGGTGCCCAATGGGGTGACGAAGGAAAAGGCAAACTCTCCGACATTCTCGCTGCCGAGGCCGACCTCTGCTGTCGTTCAGCCGGAGGGAACAATGCTGGGCACACAATCGTCGTCAGGGACGAAGCTACGGGAAAGAAGACCAGTTACGCGTTTCATACGTTGCCTTCAGGGTTGATCAACCCGAAGTGTGTGGCGTTTATTGGGAGTGGGCTGGTCATCAATATCCCGAGCATGTTTGAGGAGTTGGATAATATCGAGGCTCAGGGTGAGCCGTTCAGGGCGTTGTGCTTGTATGAGCGGAAAAGCTGATTCGACTTTCTCTCTTCAACCTATACTCGTCCTTCCGTCATTCCCTCAGGCCTCGACTGCACCAACCGTCTCTTCATCTCCGACCGAGCCCACCTCGTCATGGGTTTCCACCAGATCGTCGACGGGCTCAAAGAGATCGAACTCGGAGGTTCCAGTATCGGGACCACCAAGAAGGGGATCGGACCAGCTTATTCGTCTAAAGCTTCGAGGAGCGGATTACGGGTGCATCATCTGTACAGTCCGGATTTTGCCGAGAAGTTTAGGAAGTTGGTAGAGGGCAGGTTTAAGAGGTATGGGACGTTTGAGTATGATACGGAGGCTGAGATTCAGAAGTATTTGGTGAGTCGAAAACCCTTCAGACACTGCACATGTACATCTCAAGGGGGAACTGCATGACTGATCGACCAAAAACTTCCCTCCGGGTAGAAACTCGCCGAACGTCTCCGCCCGTACATCGTCGACGGCCCGGCCTTCCTGCACAAAGCCATCCAGCAGAACAAACGCATCCTCGTCGAAGGCGCCAACGCTCTCATGCTCGACCTCGATTATGGGACTTACCCTTACGTCACCTCGTCGGCCACCTCGATCGGAGGGGTTTGTACGGGGTTGGGTATCCCACCGACTATTATCAAGAAGGTTATTGGGGTCATCAAGGCGTACACGACGAGGGTTGGGGGTGGACCTTTCCCTACCGAGCAACTCAACGTGAGTCGGGTCGGGGCAGGACAGACATCTCTCTGGGATTGAAGCTGACTTGATCCTGCCATAACGCTCGCTCTTTTACAGGACATTGGCGTCCAGCTGCAAGAAGTCGGCGCCGAGTGGGGTGTCACGACCGGTCGAAGGAGGAGGACGGGTTGGCTCGACCTCGTCGTCATGCGTTATTCGACCATGATCAACGGGTACACCTCGCTCAACTTGACCAAGCTCGACGTGCTCGATGGGTTCAAGGAGATCAAGGTCGCCACCGGTTACAAGATTGATGGGAAGGAGATCGAAGGTTTCCCTGGTGAGTTTCAAACTTCTGGCCCTGGTCGCTGGTCTGCTTTACCTCGGCATTGACGCTTATGCGATCACCTGCGATTGCCTTGTTTTTCCCGTTTCGTAGCCGACCTTGACCTCCTCGCCAAGGTCGACGTCGAATACGCCACCTTCCCCGGGTGGGAATCCGATATCTCGGAATGCACCACTTTCGAATCCTTGCCGGATAACTGTCAGAAGTACGTCAAGTTCATCGAGGACTTCCTCGGGGTCAAGGTCGAATGGATCGGGGTCGGACCGGCTAGGCATTCGACCATCAAGTGTTTCTAGACTAGACTCAGCTTGTCGGAGTCGGGGTTTGGGTTAGATCACTTGAAATTTGCGGCTGGGGGGAAAGGCAAGAAGAGGTCTCGGTCCATCCGGTCGAAGGGGTATATAGCGATTTTAGACCTTCCTGGTATTTTGTAGATATCCAGGCTGGGATGGCCTCGTTGTATGTCGTTTGAACATTGGATGTCATCGAGATCCCGTCTATGTGTATGTGTTATTCGCTGCGGTTCGATTCACGGAGAGGTCTCCAAACGTTACATCTTGTACGACTACGACCGCTCACTCGCAGCCAAGGTCTCCCTCCGGCAGTCGAGCACCGGTTGCTTTCATCTCCGGCAGTCGGGCACACCTCCCTTTGCCCTCCAGCAGTCGAGCGCCGGTCGCTTCCACCTCCATACGAGCCCACCTCCCCTCGACCAGCATTGGAGGTGAGCCGGCCCGTCTGCTTCTTCCACCGGCAGGTACTGTAGTCACGTGGGAGGGAAGAATGAGATGTATGCGTTGTTTCAACAACAACTTCATCTGTCGCAGTAAACCGGGACTAGACGGCAAACCAAAACACCGTTGTTCATCCTGCAATAGCGTCGTCCAGCACTACCTCTACTTTTACCGACACTACCTCTACTCCTATTGATGAGGTGGAATTTGAATTGTAATGCCGCAGTGTATGCGAAAACGTCGAATGGGCCGGTACGCAGACGGTGTGGAAAGGGGAGCGGAATGAGCACTGGTAGTTATGCCTGCCCGCTTTTTTCACATAGGAATTTGAATAACACAGCCAGTGGAATGGGAAGTGAAAATGATGAACGCTCTGAGTATCTGATGGGGTGTATACTCTCAGGAACACAGCTCGCCTTTGATATGATCCAAGCGAAAATCGTATGAGTTCCCGCAGGCCGTTGTAGAGCGGATCTGGTTCAATGCCATCGACCCCCCTGTTCTTCATTGGATCGGCGGAAGAGCTCACACCCTCACCCCGAAAAAGGGTGAAACACGAAAAGTGCGAACCAATGCGATCATACAAATTGGATCTGAACTCTCAGACCAAGCGCGACTGCGGCCCAGCCACAACCTCTCGATCGCAAACACGACCTGACACCTCGCGCCGCTTCTTCAGTCGCAAGCGCATTCAAGCACAATATTACCGGACCCACCAGATCACTATATCCGCCAAACCTAATGCCCGATCTCAATGTGACCGAACGGGACCGAGACAGTCTCGTCAGCGCCCATAACGCCACACTTCTCTGACGCCACACTTTCGCAGACGCCCTGTCTGCTGACGTTCAATAAGTGGGAACATCTGGAGTCTCAAGACTGCGACCGATCGACAACGTCCAAGCCATACTTCCGAGGTCATACCCCTCCAACGCCCCTTGCCGCTGCAATCAACCTCTGGTCTTTACAAACAACGTCATATTGAAACATCTCAGCATCCTCAGGTCCTTCTCAGTATCGGTCTGACACCCCTATTGACTAGACAAGAAGAACAGTCTGAGTGCTATCATGTCTGCAATCGTATCTCTACAAGGCAGCACAGGACTTGTCAAGGCCTTGGCAGAAGATTTCCAGGCTCTGAGCAACGCACACGCAGCTCTACACCTCGAGCACTTTCGAGGGCTGAAAACGTATTCAGAACCAAGACTGCGATCGCCGCCGCCCTCAACGCCTACCGAGAGTTTCCGAGGGCCAACGATCTTCGTATCCCGTTAATGCAACGCAACGCAAAGCAGAGCGAAGCAAAGAACAACGTAGGCGGGGAGGTCCAGAACCGCCAATACCGGAGCCCGCACCCTGAGCTGCACAAAGCAAAGCACCGCACGCAAACGCCCGAGACCAGTGACCCATGACCCATAACCATGCAACGCAACGCCAGACCAAACGACTCAGAATCAAACCAGTACAGAGAAACGGTGTGGTGGGTCGGAGAATAATGACTCGTGAATCCAAGCGTACTCGACACACATTCGAGCCATGTATTACACGTAGAAAAAGGGAAGGGGTCGTGGTCCGTCGCGCGCGTCGCACAAGGGAGTCGTATGAGACGCGCTCCGAACCTGGGCGAAAGAGGAAAAAGGAAAGTATAGACGTTTTCAGGGTTGAAAAGGGAACGTTTACTCCTTGACCCTGCGAGACGAACGAACAAGAACGATCCACCCGGATCAGTATTCCGAAACCCCTGCAGATGACCTCAAGTTCGGTCGTAATGAAAAACGCGCTCGACTCACTCCTCGAGCTCGACGGCGTGCAAGCCAGCCCTCTTCTCGGCCAACCTGGCGGCCCTCCTCTCCCTCAACGCCTTGTTCTTGACACGCCTGGCCTCCATCTGCTCGGCCAAGTTCTTGGTTCGGGTCTTTTCGGCCTTGGCCTTGTGGATGTGCTCCATCAAGACTCGCTTGTTCTTGAAGGTGTTACCCTTGGCCTTGAGGTAGAGCGAGTGGTACCTGTGGAGGCGCACAACGTCCAATGAGATTCGGATCTCGAGTCAGTATGGGGCAAAAGGTCCTGAAGACGAGACGCCCGGGGGTGACCCTCACATGTGCTTGTCAATCTTGCCAGCCTCCCTGTACTTCCTCAAGAGCCTCCTGAGGACCCTCATCCTTCGCAACCACATGACCTTGGTAGGCATCCTCGCCTCGGCCGTACCCTTCCTCTTACCCGTCCCCGTGTGCCTTCCCTTCCTCTTGGCAGCCTGCATGTCCCTGACCCTAGCACGGGAGTGGATGACGGTAGGCTTGACAATGATGTGTCCATCCTTGAGGAGCTTTCGGACGCCGGATCGGGAGTTGGCGTTGCTAATCTCGGTGGCCTCCTGGGGGTCGAGCCAGACCTTCCTCTTGCCGACGCCGGCGATGTCGGCGGCCAATCTAGAGGTTGCGGGGGGGATGAAAGGGGAGATGTCAGTTTTGGATCTTTCTCGATAGGCGGGATATCCGTGTGGTATGGGAAGAGGTTCGGCAAGGCGGGCGAGGATCAAGGACGACGCTCTCGCAGCGAGATCGAGACGAGATCCCACAGGCAAGGCAAGACGAGGCGAGGCAAAGAAGACCATATCCTTTCATTTCCGTCGAGAAAGTCCATCGTATCGTATCATCGTCGGGTTCAACCCATTTTCTCCTGTTCATTTCCGTTCCAGACCGATGAAATTGATCCGATCCTATCTCTTCCTCTCTCTGCTCCGTGACGATTCAGAATCAAGATCGAGAGCTGGCATGTGTCGATAACAATGCGGTCGAGTGATAGAATCCAGTCGATCCAGTCGGACGATCATATGCGTTCCCAAGGTGAGGGACGTAAGCAGAAAGTCGAGGTTGTACGTTGTCGTCTGAATGTTCAATTGTCGGATTGCCCAGTTCATTTTGGTTGCAGTTGATCCTTGCCGCAGGGCATATTGTATCGTCGAGGAAAGTCGATTGTATCATCGAGTATTTGGTTGTTTCGTCGTGCATCGGTATGGCCGTGCTAAAGTCGATCTCCTCTTGCTCATCGCCGTAGTCGTGATCGTTCCAGTTGCTGAGATTCCTAGTTCCATCGTTTGCCTTGTCTTTGCCTCGCCTCGTCTCATCTCCTCTCTTCTCGATCGTCCTTCCCTCATCTCAACCTATTCCCTTCCCAACGTCCCTTTCTCTCCATCGACCCATCCTATCCTGCCTTTCACCTCGCCTCGCCTCTTGCCTTCCCAGAAAGACCACCCCCATCATCGCGCATACGTACCGCTTCTGGATCCTGAGGTTGACCATCTTGAATCACTATCTCTCTTTTGTGTCTTTTGAGTGTCTTGAGGGTGAGGTGGTGGTGAGGAGTCCTGAAAGAAGAGCCCTTCTTCGTCGAGATGGATGGGTCGATTGAGAATAGGATGTGAGGGGGAGGACGAGGTCGATCGGGGCGAACGAGCAGCGAGCGGGAGCGGGAGCACCGAGAGCAGGCAGAGAGCGAGAGGGAGAGGGAATTGTCGAATGGGCAAAGGGTTGATAGAGCTGAGACTCAAGGGGTGACCATCAACGATCACGCGCCCAAGTTCCTCTATCCCCTCTGAGGCGTGGGAAGGCGACGCGCGTACAGGAAACCCATTATTACGAGAGAAGGAGAGTTGATTCCGCGTCGGAGTTAACGAATCCCCCCTTCTCCTCAAGCTGCAAGAAGGAGGAAGAGGGGACGACCGAGGTCTTGTTTCCGCGCGTTTCACATCGAGCAAGAGCCAAGCGGGTGAAACCCCACACTACTTGCTACTTGGAGCTAGTGAGCTAGTCCCCCGAGCTCGAGAACATGAGCGAACCAATAAAGAACACTTCCCTTATAACAACATGTCCCGAGTTTCTTTATGATACCCTCTCATACAGTATGTGTTACAGGAGGCCTGAGGACGAGCAAGAGACATCTCAAGACCCACCCGAGCGCTGCATCACCGCCAGAGGCTCAACGCTAATCGCCACCCTTCGCTTTTAACCATCATAACAGCTCTTATTTGCGCTCTCACATAAAGTCGGTTCAGTTAGATATCGTGCATAAATGTTTCGCTAGCAGAAAACTGTATTTCGTAAGACCGTGTTCCGGTGCGAGGGGGGGTATGTACATAGTCTATTCTCAGATGATCCTACCTCGCCTCGATCTCGTAGTTCGTCTTCTATCGACGTAACGTAGCGTATCGTAGGACGACATCTCCGTGTTCCTGTTCCTGTTCCTATTCCTGCTCCTGATCGCATGACCGAGTCGACTTAAATCGGGTGGAGTCGACTCAAGTGACGATCGATCACCAGCCCCCCATGACCCCTCCCACGACCAGCCCGAAGGCAGTGCCCACCATCCACCCGCACCCACCACCCACCCCCAACCTCGAGGCGCTATTAGACCCCCCACTCCCGCTCGCGGTATTATCCCTCGCTCCACCCCCCGAGTTGCTCCCAACACCCTCCCCAAACACCCGACTGGCGACCCCTTCCCACTTCCTAACCGGCGCAAGGTAGTCCTCCAGCGTCAGACCAAACGTGCCGTTCGCCGTCAACGGGCGGTACTGGATAAACTGCCCCGGAGCTAGACGAGGGGAGAGGGAGCCGGACATGCTGAAACCCAATTCGGCGGTGGTCGTCAAGTTTGGACGGGACTCGGTCGAAGCGATGCCGAGGTCGGTGAGTTCTTGGTCGACGTAGCTGCAGGTGGGCGGGGGTATGTCTCGTCAGTTCTAGTATCGTAGAAGATGGAAAGATCGACGAGAACAGAGGGTTGTCTACTTACTACGAACTGACGGCGTTGCCCGACGTAAAGGCCGTGTATGTGATAGGCTCGCCAGGCTGAGCGGTACTGATAAACCCGGTCGTGTTGTAATACTCGGCTAAAAAGCTCGTAAAGCCACCACAAGCCGAGCCACACAGACTGCGCACGGTTCAAGACCGTACAAGTGTTCAGCGACGAGATCATGCATGACCCAGATCCTCTGCCACTCACCCATTCCCGGTAAAGATAATCTCCTCGCTCGTAAACGGCGGGATCGGGTCGACGCCCTCGATCTGCGCAAACGAGTTCTCTGTGGCAAACTGGACCCGGTTGCTCGCCGACAACACTGCCGACCCGACGGGGAAGTCAACTCCCGGATTCATCCAGTTGTCAGAGGCCCTCAACGGGTTGGCATCCGCGTCGAGGAATTGGATCGGGTTCCAGTCTGCAAAGTGAGGAAGGGTCGAAGTCAGCTTGGATACCTCAGCTGATCGTGGCAAAACGCTAGACGTCTACGACCCGACTCACAGCCCTGAACCTCAGTGGGGTTGTCGACGTACGCCTGGACGGCGGCTTCAGACAAGTCCGCCTTTCGGAATAAGACCTCAAAGTTGAGATCGGGTTCGTATTGTCCTCCAGCGAGAGCCAGCTGAAGGATTCCGGAGAGGTAGACGTAGCCTCCGCCATTGTTCTGTCACATCGTCCCGCGCGATCCACACAGATCAGTCGAGCCCTACGGCTTTCCATAGAGCCGTACCGACACTCACCGAAGTATCAACCAAGATACGCTCGACGCCGGACCGAGTAAAGTTTTGCAGACCGATCACGACGTCCAGGATGAAACGGTTGAAACACGTGACGGTCGCCGGTTGCGGGTCAAACGTAGTGACGTAGATGACACCGGTCTTGACACCCCCGGTACGCTCCTGATCGAGTGCAAAGAACTGAATGTCCCGGCCTCCCAGGTAGGAAGGGTCTCGGGTAGGGTCCACCGAGCTGCCGAACGGCCATACCGACAAGGTCGTGCGGGAAGGACATTGCTGATAAAGCGTACGCTGAGCCGACGAGCTGTTGGCAGAGATGAACGAATTGATCTCGGGAAGCTGTCGAGGAGGGGTCGTCTTGGCGATATGTCCAAGGCGTTCGTCCGAGACGGAAGAGCCCGATCGTCGACCGAATTCGGCCGACCTGATTCCTTGAGGTAACTTGCCCAGCTTGGAAGCGATCTCGGTCGAGTTGAGCGGGAGGGTCGAGTTGGTCGGGCTGTTCTCGGCGAGGTCAGAGGACCCAGAGGAACATCGTGCCGAAAAGCTACAAGGGGAGCGATTGAGCTCTTCGGTACATCGTCATCCAAGAGCGACGACTGCGACTCACAATTCCTCCCCACTGTCGTACGTAAACCTATACTGAGACGTCCAATAAGTCCTCCAAGGGACCTGTAGCCCAGACTCAGGAAACAGGTCAGCCTTTTTCAATTGTCAATCATAATACCTCGCCGGGGAGACTTGCCTCAATGTCCAACTCGTTGCTGGTTCCGTTGACAATGATTGTCATTCGCAGAGAATCGTTTTGGAACCCACGCTGGACCGCAAATCTACCTGGGTCGTGGTCCCTACCATTGCCCAACGACGCGCAGATCCACCTTGAGCACAACGCAGAAGACGAAACGAGCGTTTGGCCAGATTGGGACTCACCACCCGCCGTACTGCACCAACGGACTGGCGAACAACGAATTCAACCTCTGTTGTTTATCCTGATAAACCCCCGCCCTATCCGCAGCGCCATCCAAGTAATCCCATGCGTCCTGTCCTTCGATCTGGACGACCCTGGCGCCAGCGATCTCCTCGGTATCGAGCCCCCGATAAAAGTCCGGATCGATCTCACGGTATTCTCTGGCCAGGGCCCAGATGTCTGGAGCGATGTAGATGGAGCTCCGGTCGGTGCTCGTTGCGTCGGTGGAGAGGGCGACGAGGGGGACGCCGTGGGCGGTGGCGAAAAAGTCGTAGCAATTGGCTGCGAGGACATCGAGGCCACTATCAGCTTCAGGCCGACCGAGTTCTGTGTGCCAATATGTCGGACTCACTCCAATAATAATGCCCATCGTTCAAGGACCACACTATCACATCCCACACGTACCAACAGTCAGCACCAGTGTCCATTTCGCCCACCCGAACCACTCACTCAGATCAGAGACCTCGCTCTGAAACGCATAATCCGACGTATAGACCCTCGTCTCCATCTCGTCCAACCGAGCTCGGACGTCGACGTTCTGATCGAGGACCGAGCCTGTGGATTGTTTGTGGTTCTCTTCGAAGCTGGAGCGGGGGTATCCGATGCATTGTCGAGTCGACGCGTTTCGAGGCGAATTGAGGCGAGGTGATGTGAGATGAGATGGTAAAAGCATTATGATATCGAAATCAGTATATGCATATGTAATCCCTGGTCCAGAGTTCAAAAACAGAGCAGACGACCCCGACTCACACATCGAGAGTCAACATCCCCTTGATATAATCCAACGTGTTCGTCCTCACATTCTCCGAAAACGGGGTGGATTCCAAGCACGCCCGGACGGCCGAAGGTGAATAGGCTAAGAGATGTCGAAAGATTGGGTCATCACATCACATAGAGCGGGAGATTTCAGGTCAGTTATCACATCGACAAGAGAGATAGACGAGATTATTCCAGACGAGAAAACAAAGAGCAACGAGATACTGACTGAAATTCCAACTATCCGCCAAGGCCGCACATCCCACGGTCCCACTACCCGTGCCGGTTCCGAACTGTCTCGCCTCGAGATTGATAGCGGGAGAGGGAAAAGCAGAGGCTGGTGATCCCGTCAGAGAGCTGAGTGCCAGGAGGGAGATTAGTACAGAGGAGGATGTGGGGGTTGTTGGAGGCATGATGGGGATAGTTCGGAGTGGGTTGAAAGCTGTAGAGATGATGGGAAGTCAGGTCAGAATGTGGACGACGGACAGATATGGCTGCAGCCGGTGTAAGACTTACGCGGAGAGCTGAAAGAGGATCCCTTTACCTATCTAACTCTGCTCGATAGTCTGCTTGTTGGTGAGTTCCTCGATTTATCCTAGTAAAGAGTCGTCCTTGATTACTCGACGATACGACCTGACACTTCCACAATCTGTTGATGTCGTTTGATCCTTTGACCTGAAACGTCGATGCTGCGATCTCGTCAATAAGACTTGTAGGCGAAAGGAGGTGTGATCGAGGTGTCCAGTTAATGCTTGAATTGCTCCTACAGTTCCTCCTTTCGTGAGCAGGGCAGGTCCAAGATGGTTATATGCAGGTGCGCAGGTGCAAACGGTACGAACGTGCCCCCTTCCAAGATCCCGAGTAGGTAAGAGGATCAGCTCGAACGCGCGACCGCACTCTTGATCTCTTGATCAGGTGATGCTTTGATGTCCCGGATGTCGGTCAATTGATGAGTTGATGAGAAAGGAAAGGCGGGGTACTGTATCGACTGCGGGGTTGTGATGAAGGCGAAGCGGTGGATCGCTTCTCTCTAGCTCGAGCCGAATTTGACGCGGCATCGGCCATCATCCAACCCCCTCTCGGCATAACAACGAGGGCCAATCCACCCACGTCATGCCAAGACCAACTCCGTCGTTCCTAGCGCGCGAAGAGGGGGGGACGGAGTTGATCCGATCCGGCTGCGGCGTTGCCGCGTTTCAGAAATCTCGGCCCCGTGGTCTTTGCCGTTTGAAGCTCAACCTTGACGCTTATCGGGACCGAGCGCCATCAGAGTTCCAGGGGTAAGACTATATTCTGCTGTTCGGCTGCGCAGACCAGAGCTTCAGAGCTTCAGATCCACATGCATCACACGGATGTTGACCGTAAGCCGACCGTGCCCACTCGACTGCCGATCGGCAAGATCAAGGGCGTACTGCAACTTTAAGGATCGCGTGGCACGTAACCATCTTGCATCTTGCATCATGCAAGGCCCAGTAAATATCAGAATCAAACACCGCACTTGCATCGCGCACTGTCTTGCTCCATGGGACAGGCTCGCCGATGCGCCCCGTCTAAAGTCTAGGTCTTTCCACCCTTCTTTGATTCTGCACTCGTCGTTCAACATGAGACACTAAGCCCAGCGGCTCTTCGTGCATCCAGTGGCTGATCGCTTCACTGCACGGCTACGTCTTATCATTGAGGTCATCAATAAACAGGTATGTCTTCAGTATCGATAAATTAAGGTCTGATAAGACGACATGCAGATCCAGCAAGAATTCGCGCAATGTGTCGGCGTAGAGACCCTTGTGCGAAAGCCTCCGTTTGGACCTTTGGTCGCGGACCCGCCTCGCCGACTTTGCCTTGTCGTGCTGGCCTTCCGACTCCTGATCCGTCCACACACCGACCGGATCGAAAGCAGCCAATCTTTGACAAGCACCAGTACCAGCGACAGCGACAGCAGCAATACAGTGCCGACATTGACAAATCACTCACTTCTCCAAGATCTCACAGGAGTAAAGATTTCTGTGACCTTGCTGATCGCTCAAAATAGGCCTGGTGCCCACGGCGGCTATGCAGATTCGAGGTGTTTTGCATAGAATCGCGGAATTGCAAGGGTGCCAATGCTTTGCTCAAAGCTGTGACCGCCGTCTGAGTCAGGACCTGGAACGACATAGAAGAAGCGATCTCTACCGATATGTCTCGGTCAAAATCAAGATGACCTGGGGTTTTCAACATGTGGGAAATTTTATGACCGATCTTGCCTCGTATGATTGTCTTGTGAAGTGAGTAAGGACAGGCAAGCATTGACGGCCTATCTTATCCTCGGTTATGTCGTCAATCTGCGAATCAGATGGCGCTGCGTCGAACGGCACGGACAGTCTGGAAGACAGAACGGTTGCGTAATTCGAGGGTGGTTTCAGTCGTTCTGATGAATCAATAAACGTTATAAAGCACTGAATCGGTCAGAGGCTACAATTTCAGCGTGCGACGGCCGCAATCAGAGCCAAAGCCTTGTGGCCCCCTTCTCCTGGAAGCATGTCGAAACCCATCTCCACTTTGGTATAAGGAAGAAATGTAATAGCCTGGGGATCGGGCCCAGCGCTTAGACCATCACGTCGACAATGAGTCGTATCGCGGACCGTGTGGGCCTGTGCTTGCGATCCCGCTTGAGACTATCCGCTACAAGACGCAATAGAAGTTCTTGTCGTCCGTCTATCACGGGGGCGGCCCTGCCGCGAGAGCAGTTGTTGAAAGCTGCTTAGCCTCGGTCAATAAGGATTGGGGTCGATGTGAAAAAGGACTTACAGGTCTGTCTGCAGGTCGAGGTGATGCATCGGTGCGAGATGTTCATATGTCGAATGTCAACAGACAAATCCTATTCAAGCTGCGTCGATCGGACTGACGAGCCGCGCAGCTTTGTTATACGCCGTACTCCTGGGGAGCGGATCGGATCTCTTTCGATGGCCATGAAGAACGAGACAGTCGTGGAGTGGCTGCACAAGCGTGACAGTTAAGACGCATCTACAAGATGATGTTTATGCTCACTGGAGATCCAGGTCGTCGGCCTTACACCGATTTTGGCAAACAATTGCCTGAGATCTTCAAACAGGCTGCGGCGTCCATCAGAAAGAGCGCGGATGGGTTACTAGATCTGCGAGTCTACTACTTCGAAAGGCGTTTGAGCGGGGCTATAAGATCGAGAGGTTAGTTGGCAAGTTCAAATGTTTGATCAAGGTGCTGACCTCGATTTGTTACGGAAGTCAACAGATAGGTTTCGTTCCGCACTGGCGGGTGATGCATTGAATCGAGCTCAATGCTCAACTCACGGTCAACAAGTTCAAAAGATTGTGAAGGGTACTGTATGCGAGCTTTCCTAAAGCATCTCCGTTGGACATGTTCCAAGCACACCAGTAGAGCTAGCCCTGATATCCTAACGCTCTTTCCTGCCGGACCGGAAGACAGGCAGATCGTCAATTCAGGATCTCTCATGCCAGGCTCAAAATCAATAGCTCAGAAATGGTCAAAGTAGGTTCCGAAGCCAGTACAAGAGTTTGCCATTCTCTGTTCTGCCAGGAGGCACGGTAGAATGAGATGATCCTTTCGTACCGCGCTCTACATCACTTATAGTATTCTCTTGTTGTCTTAGAGAACAGAGTCCCATCATGAGGATTTCTCGTCGGTAATTGTTGCTGAGCAGCGTTCCAAAAGTGCTAGCATGCTGCTGGCCTACCTGTTCGCCAAGTACGGCACCTGGCTGCAGGGAACCGTCGTGGGCAAGGGATTGCGTGAATCCCCTCTGAATCAGCGACAAACGAAAGGAACACCTTTCAGGGAAGCAACAGCTTCAATGGGTCATGCGAGCTGCGATGGCGCAATATCACTCAAAATTTCGCACGGAAGATAACGCAAACGTCGTGCTTTTCATGCCGCCGTGGGAAGGAAACCCAGCCGCCATTTCGAGTGCCTTTGACATGAGCACAGAAGCCTTTCACAGATCTCCCAGGCACATCACAGTCAGGCTGCACACGCACGATCGATTTGCTTGAAGGTCTCACATCGCTGCGTTCATCTGTTTCATCGCTGACCCGTGATCCGCAAACTCGGTGACGGCGGCAACGCCTCGACGTTCTGGCATATGATACCCCATGAAATCTCGCGATATCGCCCGGACCGACTTTGCCGATCAGCAAGAACCGCTCCAAGTGGCTCGTTCAGCGCCCTCAGAATGAACCCCTTCCTTTCAAGACCAAAGCGTCATTTATCGTTTCGAGGTGGAGTCCGGCATGGCATTGCCGATCCGCCGATCCTCCGGGATGTCAGGACCCATGTCTCGAACCAAAGCTCTTTCTAGGGATCGCTGGCATACTCAAAACTTTCCCTCGTCAGGCTGCATATGCCGGGACCCAGATGACCCAGCGGCATGCCTTAAGATGATCACCGGTCCGGACGTGGTTTCAGCCTTGACGGCGGCCGCTTAGTGTCGGACGAGACAAAGGAGTTTCATTGGAGAAGCACCACAAGACCCGTCCGGCCTGCATGATTCTTGCTTCTTGCACAAATCTTGGCTGTTCATGACGTAGCAGGCATTCTGGGGGAGTATAAATTGCCAGACCAAATGTCCCGAGAAGATGACAGACGCATTGTCGCCTTACCATGTATCAAGGACCGTTTGAGACCCATGCTTTGAATTCATCCCGACACATCTTGTTCGACTTGAAGTCATGACTCTTCGAAAAGATATCACCACGGGAAATACCGCGAGCCCTAAGATCGAGGACAACGTTCATCTGCTCGTGCTGATTCACGGATTATGGGGTGAGTTATCGTTCTTCTGCAACGCGAAGTCAATAAAGAAGCCACGCGGAACCTGAATTGATGCCATGGTCTTCCCGCTGTATCACATGACCGCCTATCTTTCTCACGGCCATCAACCAAAATCCGCTTTCTAAATATCCGGTCTCCATCTACCTCACTCGAACTCTCCTCTGATCATATGAGTAGGTTCCCCTCAACACCTGGATGTGGCTCGTCAAGAGGTCATGCGCGTGCACGCCGAGTACGCTCGATGTCGTACGGATGCCAGCCGACTGCACGTCATCGTTCCTACCGCGAATAGGAGTACTCTGACGTATGATGGCATGGACGTATGCGCTGCAAGAACGATGATGGAAGTCAAGCAGGAAATCCAGAAGCTAGAAGGCGCCGGAAGCAAGGTCCGCGAGTTTAGCGTGATGGGTTATAGCCTAGGCGGATGTGAGTCGCATCGTCGTTGACCAGTCGCTCACGAAATTTGCTGAGCGATACTGCATCTCGGTCTTAAGTGGTGGCTCGATATTTTGTCGGTTTGCTGTATGCTTCCGAGCATGACTTCTTCCAGCGTCATCGCCCCGTCTCGTTCAGCACCCTCGCCACACCGCACCTTGGTATTCTCAGATACAAGAACCGGTTCTGGCAATGGGTCGCCGTGAAGTATGGGCATCGACTTCTAGGTCGATCAGGAGATCAACTCTACTACAAGGATCAATTCGACAATGAAGGCGGGGACACTGATGAACAGGGCCGCGAGCGCGATCGAAGGCCGTTGTTAGAGGTGATGGCGGACCCCGCTGGCATCTTCATCAAGGCGATCAACAAGTTCGAAAGCATTGCCATTTTTACCAACGCGTAAGTACCGTATGATCAAACGAATGAGCCAAGCATCACCTGAATTCTACTTTGTCAGCGTGCAAGACACCACAGTACCCTACCCTACCGGCGCCATCGATTCCGACGACCACTTTGTCTACGACCCAAACGACATAACTCGGGACGATGTCGTGATCGAAACCGACAGCGACCATTTAATTACCCGCTGGTATACCGTGCCTCGGGAAACCGATCAGCAATGTCCTCCACCCAACTACCGGGAGCTTTACGACGTGGAGAAGAACATACCGATCAACGTGCCTATCAACGCGGCGCACGAGAACTTTGTCTTACGGGTCGAAGCCATGACCGATACGCCAACAGCGCCAAGCTGTCAGATACCTTGGATGTCTCCGTACTTGCCGCCAGAGGATAAGCGTGACAGCCAGACGATCGCGCTAGGCGCGTCACCAAAGTACGCCTCTTTCAGGCTGGACGACCGACACTTTGCGGTCTCGATGATGCGTATCATCTTGGCCAATAAGACGAAACGCGCCAGCCCGTCCGTCCTGCCTCCATTTCTGAGGTTCAAGCGGCCTTTCAACTGGGTGAGTTGACAATCGAATTGCCAATATTCACCCCAGTTTGACTCGTCTGCACCTGAAGCTCTTCTGCGCCTCACTGCCAATGTTCATGCCCATTTTCATGGTACTTGTGTGAGACCCCATTCACGCGCTCACAGCGGTTTCAGCCATCACGCGCGCGACTCATCATCGACATCCTTTGCAGAGTGGCGGTCTTCCATCGTGACTCGTTCATCTCGTAGGTCAGAAAGTGAACTGACTCTCCGATAAATAGATGGCTGATCTCTTCTCCTATCATGAAAGTCGCCGACGAGTAAGACTGTTAGGTCAGCTGAAGACGGCTCTTGTGGACGGAATGTCATCGGCAACCCAATCTTCGGCGCTCAGGGTTCTGGCCGTCGCGGAACTCACTCGCCTGATTAGATCAGCCGAGACAAGCGTCTCTCGAGGGAAGCAAGCTGGTGATGCTCTGATGGATCTAAGTACCCAAGCAATTTGTGTGAACGTCGGAGAAGGCGCTATGGGTGGGTCTCACAGCCAACATGACGAGCAAGTGGAAAGGGGAAGCCCGCCATGTACCCCGGCCCCGTCTGTTAGTCGGCGATCGGATTCCATTTCTACTCTCAGTCGGATCGACATGGCTCTCGACACTGCGAGCACATCCTCAAATGGTTCCTCCGCTCTTCGCGACCTCAAACACGATGGGCAATACTTGTCTGGAGTCGCGCTAGGGGCCACCATAATCAACGGGGATCCTTTATCGCCTGGTCCCCGAGACTCGAAGCTGCAGATGACACCGATTCAGTTACGGGTCGCCGAGATGTTGAATCGCGGCCTTGATCCGCAAAAGACTCGAAAGTATCTCACTTGGTTCCCTAGCGTGCCGAATGCGCATGCGGCGATTGTCGTCAGGTAAGCACAGTGTCTGTGATATAAGTGGATGTTCGGGGTTATTTGAGGCTTTGCGATGCTGACGCTTCTTGAGATGTAATAGGGATGGACCTTTGTTCCCAGAACAAGAGATTGGGAGGGGAGTTCTTCGCCGATGGGCGAACTTGACCGTTGCTACATGAGGTTTCCGTTGTACATTCGAGAAATCTTGTGTGCATTTTTAGGCATCGTATTAGAGTTGTATATCTCATTATATTCCTTTCCCAGTCTTATCTCCTGCCAGATCGTTGTCGGTACCAGTCGATATGAGTTTGGAGGTGTATGCCGGTCTCGTTAAATCTCTTGTCCAATTCTGCTAGGAACAGCTTGCGCATCTGAGCGGAGAGCAGAACTTGGCCGACAAGAAGGACAGGAGTGTATTTTTCGGCACTTAACATCTCTTCATGAGTGTTGTCCCCCGGTCCGTTCTTGAGCCGGATCCAGACATTCTTCGAAGCTTTGATGGAGATTGAGGGGTTGCGGGATGTAGTCCGCAAGATAGTCCTCGTAATCGTCAGCAGAAAGGCAGAACTAGGAAGGACTTTCGTCTTTGAGGAGGATGACACCCGAAGTCAAGGGGGTGTCCGTTCTACATCTACGGGGCAAGGAGATGTCGATGATAGACCTAGGAAACGTCCCGGGAGTCTCGTCATCAAAGGGGATAGATATCAGATCGGTGGTGGTGCTGTTCGTGTGCATGGAGTGAACCGTAGTATAGTTAACGAATACAAGCGGACGCTCGGCGGCAAGAGGAGCTTTACCGAATCGCGCTTCGCAATATTTGTCGGCTTTTAAGGCATCTTGTAGACATCGGTGCTTTTCCAGCCAGTATGATGAGTTGTCGAAGAGTACGGCGGTTCTCGATGTCGTAATTACTTGACTGCGAGGATGTGCACGTCATCGTCCTCGTTATCGCTCGGATCCGGCCGGAGTGTGAGTTTCTCATACTTGCGCGCTAGCGCCACGACGCTCCCCGAGGTCGATCGAAGTCGCCGCATGGGCTCGACCGGCTCGCTGGAGGTCACATGGCTGTTGGCTGTCGAGCCGTGACTGTTCGACTTGGCACTGGCAAACGATGCTGTGCAGCCGAGTCACATGGTAGACGGGACGCCCTTGGGAACAAACGTATAAGACGTATGCGCGTATAGATGCCTCTCTGGCGGTCATGATACGCCACATACTAGATGCTCTTGCCCGCAACAGCCATAACAACGACTCTCCGAACTCGACCTTTGCAATCCAGTTCTGATGAGGGGTGACTTGAGCTCTCAAGACTTGCAAAAGGCCTGGCGATATGCCGTACAAACCGACTTTCACGGTCTGACTTCCGGGGAAAACGATCCGATAGAGACCGTCACTCTGACGTATGACTCGCACGAACGCTTCATCCCGTTTCAGCGCCGGAACGATCGAATGGAGCAAGCTTATGGCATCAGCTCGGATGAGCGATGGTTGGCCCACGGTGTCGATATGACGATCGACTTGTACGACCTGTCCACAGGCGAGCGCGTGACCACCCTGTCAGGACACACTGCTTCTATCGGGTCGCTCGCCTTTGCTCCCGACCACCCGACACGTTGGTATCGTCAGCGAGGTCTCGAGGTAACAGGGCAGAAGACGAACGAGCAGAGACCATCGTATGGAACCTGGAAGAGAAGTCGGAAGGACCGACTGAGATGGCACGTGCCGAGCCGGACGAGGTGGCTCGTGAGGCGGTCGAGCATATTCAAACCAGACTGGCAGCGGCTGCTCCACCCGTTAGCTTGGAGCCAGGCGAGACGGCCGAGTTGACGACCACCTTGGAAAAGCTTCTCAGCCGCTATATCAGCCGATCGAGCCTCCCATCAACGGCTCGTCGTCTGAGTGGCCGTCTGTGTACATCGTTCCAGTCTCCAGTGTTCAACAACGCAGGCACTGCCTTTACCGTCCTCCCAGCCCGATCCCCGCCGTCCAACGGAGATGCACAGTGGGATATCAGAGTACACGAACTGGTATCAGGCCGAGAGACCATCCTGACCGGTCATCGCGACTCGATCATGTGGATAGGGTTCTCTCCCGATGATTCCCTCATCGTCAGTGCGTGTTGGGATGGGACCTTCCGGGTCTGGCGGGCAAGTACCGGAGAGCAAGTCCATGTTTGGACCACGGATAAGCAGAACTGGACGGGATGTTTCGCCCCGGACGATGAACGCTTCCTGGGCACAGACGGCAATGGCATGATCCGCGTCTGGAGTCTATCCAGCGGCGAATTGCTCTGGTCTTACGAACAAGAGGAAGAGGGCTTTATGAGGCGCTGGCGCCGATTCGTCGACTGGTCAAGCGACGGGAAATACATCCTTGTCGGCGGGGAAGAACTCGGCGAGATCCTCTTGTTCGAGGTGCCGTCTGACAACAGTGTGGGTCCTTCCGAGGCTGCCCAGCGTCGAGTTTTAAGCCTCGAGAAGACCAGGATGGACGATGACGTCAAACGTATGGCAAGAGGATTTCTCAACGTGAACAGTCTCCGGTTCATATTCGATGTCGACGACAACGACGTTGCGTTCGGCGCCTCGACTTACATCGATGCCGGTATCGAGTTCGTCTCACTCGCCAGAGGCAAGAGATGGCGGATCATTCCCTTCGAAAGGACCGACGATGATGACGCCGATTACAAAAGGCTCGACCGGACTAAAGAAGGATGGCCCATCTACCCCCGGTGGTCGGCGTTGAAAGAGTCGAGACAGGTCGTCGTGATCAGCCCTGATGGAGCAAGGTTCTGGAAGTTGACCTGATGTCGAACGGTGATTATGGTCATGACAGTTTGTAACAATATATACAGATACCCACGGACAGCCGTAATCGTTCTATCGGACAGGGAAACGAGCCATGTGAGGATGTTTGATGTTATGACCCCTGATCGGTCTGCAACTCGACGAAAAGCGATTTCAAACCGAGGTTCAATCCCTCCTCGTTGCAAGTCCGTTAGGGAGGGATTGCACCTCGCTAACGTTTGCGGAATACAGCGAATGGAAGGGACATGTATTGAAACAGACGAACATATTCGCTATTGAACACACCATACATAAACACGGATATATATAGCATATATTGCGGAAGTCGACTCGTTCTTCGTCTTTCGCATAGAAATCTCCCTACTACCTTTCCCTCCATCATAGCGCTCAATTTCTTGGTTGTAAGAACATGCTCGCTCTCTCTTCAAGGTGTCAAGGAAGATGACTATTCACTAAACTTCCCTAGAGATCGATGGTGAGTATATCGAGACGAAGCATCACCAAGTTTCGAGTTTATTGGAGTGTTCCTTGAACCTAGCTCGAGCAGACGCTGAATAAAGTCGAGCGAACCTTCAGGTCATTGCCCTACAGTATAGCGAGGCTACGAAGATCTTTGCCCAGGAACCCATCGCCATCTTCGCTTTCGCTTTCAGGCTGACGGCAAATCACGCACACATTGTCCAAACCAAGGTCATCCTCTCCTTTATGGCTAGACTATGTTGCGATCTCTATGCCCTGAAAAAGAGACAGGCGGGATACCAGGTGGGCAAAGAGCCTACTTCAAAGCATCGTAGACTTCCAGTCGCAACAACAAGTCCCTCAGCAGCAATAGCATGAGCTGCAGCAACCGAACATCAGAGGGAATATACTATACTGCCTTTCTCAAGGGAATGAAGGTTTGTGTGAAATTGAAACGGCGGCAAGCGGCTCGGTCACGCCAAGGCGAGAAGTTGATCGTTCGATGTCCGACTAGCGGCCTGCATACAAATCAGCAGTCCGAGTTCGAACTTGACTAGTTGGATAACCTTTTGTGTCTTGCCTGTACCGGATGACTGCAGTAGGGAACACCCATTTGCATATTGTGTACGTTGTTAACGGCAGTCGGTCAGTTCGAGATATGTCCAAGTCAAAGACCTTGAATGGCGATTGTGCGATGCGCGATGAATTGTGGCTTGTACAGGGTTGACGATATTGACTTACGTAATCAAACACTCTCTCTAATTTCGGCAACCTCTCGCTCGCCGAACGACTGCGAGAATGGAATATGGTCACAACAACTTTACAAACAGCAACAGTGGCAGCATTCGTAGACTACCATCGCATAAAGTCAACGCATCATCTATCGGAAGGCTCCTAGCTACCACGTCTGGATCTCGGTACGATGCGGCATTTCACAAGAGCCGTCGTCGCGGCGTTCCTACTAGCCAGCTTGTGCACAGCCCAGCGGGTCGCAGAGGGCGGTCAATGCAGGTGAGCTATAGCTGGTCTCTTTTCCTCGAGCCCAAACACAGACCTCCTCTTCGATCGACTCTGACGACCAGATACTGTCTATTGCCTGTGGCTTGTTCTGCGTAGTCAAGCGAACAACAGATTGGACGGAGCGACAGGGAATTTCGTGACGGACTGTGATCATCAGACTTTTTGTGACGATACGGGGATTTGTAGGAACAAGACGTGTCGGCAGGACGAGGTCAGTTCATGCTCTACTTCCTTTCCTCTTACCACACAATACCACGCCTGGTGTGGTCTCTCACTCGTTGCTCTGTGTGTACCTGATCCCGGCAAATTGTTCGCTCATCTGACGTCCAACTGTTGTATCGATACTCCTTTTCTTTCCTCCTCTTTCCTCGATAACCCCTACACTCCTCCTCTGTTCCCCGGGCCACACCTCACACCTCACACCGGGAACGAAAACGCGAAAAACAGTACCCCCTAGGATACAACGAAGTCGCCTACGCCGACCTTCCCCCTCTATGCCCCCAGGGGCAATTCTGTCCGGATGAAGGGAGCGGGTGTATGCAACAGGTGGGGACGGGTCAGGGGTGTCAGTTGGATAGGGATAGTGAGTCGTCTTCCACCGCCTTCTTATTCCTTTTTATTTGCCTGTCCTAAACTTGGAAATCGGAAAACCGAAACTTGGTGGATTTGGAAACAAAGATCAATGCTCCCCGCCCCCAGCTGAACTTCGATTGGCTGGCGAGTTGAATACGAACGGGTCGATCTGTTTGAATTTCGTTTGTTAGTAAGTCCCTGTCCTCCTTCTGACCCTTTTCTATCTCTGGATCCCGGGCGTTTTGGGTTTGTAGTGGTATGACAGATGGCTGATACAATACCCTCCCCCTCCTCGCTTCTCGTCACGCCTACATTTTTCCCCTTTCTCTCTTCCGGAACCGGAACGAAATCGATCGATCCGCTACTAGCTGGTCGAACGTCACTTTGGGACAAGATTGCATCTTTGAGAATAAGGCGTACTCGGCGTTCGATAATGATGGGGGGTCGTTCGGATATGTGTTTTCTAGGGACAAGTGAGTCGAGTCGTCCCCTATTCACCTACCGCCTTGTGTGGTGGAAGAGACGGGCGGGAGGTCTTGTTAAGCCAGTCCTGACACTTAACATCTTTTGGTACGTGTGTGCCTACAGCTGCGCGAACGGGCTTTATTGTGATGGGACCACTTTGAAGTGTAATCACGACAAGAAGATCGGGGAAGCTTGTACCGGGAACAAAGAGTACGTTTCAAATTTCAGGCTCGCAAGTCTAAGGCTCGCAAGTCATGGCCTCAACCTCGGGCTTGTCGTGTTGGAGAAAACAATTTTGGGGCGAAGCTGTGCTGATTTCGTTCTGGGCTATGTGATCGGCTGTCGCTTGATAGGTGTCAATCGTATTGGTGTGTCGACAATAAGTGTCATAAAGCCGCTGGGGATCCTCGACGACCGGGAGTCTGGGTTTACCCCGTCGTCGCCATCTGTATCGCTTTGCGTGAGTTCCAAACTTATCAGTCGGTTGAGCCTTGACCAGGCGCTGATCGAGTTTGCGCACGGGCAGTTATGGTCGGGATCGGCGTTGGATTGTGGTTGTGGCACAAGAAGACTAGGGAGAAGAATAGGATCAAGTTGGAACAGTACGAGTCGGAGCAGGTAAATTTGATCGTACTCTAAGTTGGCTCAGAGTGAGACAGATCGGTGGCTGATCCTCAATATTTACGTTGGGGTCCGGTGATGGTAGACGGCTTATCGTCAGGCGTTGTTGTCGCTCAGCAACGCTCGAGAGTCTATCATGGCCTTGCCCAAGGATACTGTGAGTTCGATATCCCCGAGTCGCATCGTATGCCGTACCGAAGACTGACCGGGACTTTCTCGCCAGCCCGAATTTGTCGCTCGACAATCCCTCTACTCGCTCGACGGGTACCGTGATGCCAACCGAGGCGGATACGCTTCGTCCATCGTCACGGGTGAGAGCCCTCCCGGGAGCCGTCGACCGAGCAGCTTTGGGTACGAGGATAGGGGCAATGAGGATGACGTGCTCATCATCCCCAGTTCCAAAGCCCGGGGGTGATCGGGTCCATCCCGTCATGCCGCTTCGGACGCTTTGTTTGTTGTGGACTGGGCTTGCATCTGTATCAGTCGTTTTGATGTAGCCGCGATCGTTTTGTTCATGTTTAGTTCTTTCCCTTAGCATAGTTACGATATACAATGACATAGAGACTCGGATGGGATGGCACTGGATGCTGGATGTCAGACGATCCGCTTCGTCGAGCAGCTTGCTACCTGCTAGGTCTGCCAAGAATCGTGCGTGGTCATGGCGTAACAGGTAGCATTGGCGTTCCTTTGATCACGATGGTGACGCCATATTCGCCACTCGCAACAACGGCTGTAGCGGCCCTGACATAGCGCAATCACGAGAAGAATGCGACGACTCGACTTGGATCACGTCAGAGAAGCTACCGCATCGGATCAGGTCAATAACCGATGAGGGTAAACGATGTGATCGATTCGTCAAAGGGACAAAGGAGTAGTCGTCCAGGGAACTGGTATAGTACCCCTTGAAACCTGGTTAGGTCACTTGATATGGTCTGATTAGCACGTCACGGAAGCTGTAGCATTACATCATGTGATAAAATCCGGTCACCTGAGACAACGAAGTGGTGAAGCATTGAAGGAGCACACAAGGATGGTGTGGTGAAGCAATCGATCTCTCCTCTCGTGATCTGGTGGCAACCCTTCTTTTCAAGGTGGCCATCGTAGTGTGGATGTGCTGCCTCCTGCTGGAAAGCTACATTTATGGAGGTGGAAACTGATGCATCGATGATCGATCCGCTATGGCAGGAAGTCATCAAGGAGTCAAACTCACACCAGATAACATGTCCTCCAACGCCAAACTTCCCCAACGCGAGCGACCTGGACGATGGACTGATGCTGTCATGACGAAGGGCTGTGATTCATATGTGTACAAGGATTCTGATAAACACTTGGTCGAAACATTTCAAAGCCGCCAATGGTGGGCACTCGCCTGGCAAGATGCCGGAGATGTCTTTAAAAGTGGTGACGCCCAGTATCGTGAGTGGCAGTACTCGGTCAGTGAAGGGAAGTTCGTGGCCAGGACACCCCAAGTGAAAGGCGGGCAGCCGGATGTAGAGATCAACACATATCCTACGCAAACCTACCGTGACGTGTGCGAACTATGTGCTCGTAACCAGAATCCGATCCCCGTGTGGGTTCTTGAACTCATGGACACCTCTGAACAGCGTGTCGAATTGGCGATGAGAAACGCGCTCCTCAGGAGGTCGTACAGTCGGGTCCAGGTACGTCTGCGTTATACGATATCGTGTTGACATGAGACATCAATCATTAACATACAATTCTCACAACGATGTAGGCAGAACCGAAGGAACTTTGGGAAGGCAGACATGGAGTACAGAAGGAGCTCTCGACTTCCCTTGGGGAAGACATGACCGAACTTGACGGAACCGAAGGTGGAACTGATGGCGATAAGTCGAGCCGAACGCAAGGGCTTTTCTACAGCTTGCTCGCAGACAGTCAGTTTGGGCAACTGACTGCGAGAACAAGCGCTTCGTCGGCGGACTCTTCCAAGAAGTAGTCATGCTTGAGATTCAGGTTGTGCACGAAGCAATGACGGGATATCTGAAGTCTTGTCCAAGTCACGATACTTTCTTTGTATGAGATTCATAGACCGCATGAAATCGCGTGACAAGTTGAGTTACAGATGTACAGGAGTAGCTACACGATGGTAGGAGTATAAATATGTAATCAGTCATCGATGCACTACGGCTTTGCTGATTGCAGGCGAAGCGCTGCTTGTGCAACATGCGTTCTGGGAAGTTCTGTCCAACGTTCGATCTAACTTACTGAGGACTGGACCGACCAATGAGCACCGCATCACATCACAAGGACAGGACAGACATAGAGCGGTCAATCGAGACGCGGGCGGAGTGCGAGAAGCTCGACTTCGAGGAAACGGACAAGTATTGCGCCAGTTTTGGATTTGAATGCATCCGAAACAGGCGCATATCCGGGACGCCAGTAGGCCAGAATGGGAGGCAGCTTTTACCTACCAACTGAAGCTTGTACCTCGAATCTAGGAGGGTCTGTTCCACCTCGGATCGTATCGCGCGTCTGGAGGAATATGCAGTCCCAATCGCTGGCCGCTGGGCAGTAATACAGCCGCCAATCAAGCGGTATATGGAAAAGCTTTTATGGACATCTGCTCCAATTGCTTCCGCACTATAATCACATCATCTTAAGTACCCGATCGATCATATGACTTCAGGAGGCCAGGGATCATGAAAGCCAGAAGAGAAGCTGAAGAGATTCTGCCAAGAAATTGCTGCATCAGGAAAGGCTTAAAGGGAGAGCAAGGGTCGTGAGGCTATGTGGATGCTGTTGATCATGTGACGTGGTGGCAAACCTCCTTTCATCACGATGAGCATCATCTTGTATGCTTCTCCAGACTTGGCGGCTATATATACTGGGTCCGGAATCTCAAGGGTGATTAAACATGGGTATATAGCGGTTGTCCATTTCAGAGCATAAACCGCCGCTGTCCTTCATTCAGAGCAACAAAGATGTCTTCCGACACTACCCCTCAGATGCAGCCTCTACCCGGCGCCTGGACTGCAGTCATCAATCAGAGGCCATGGGGAAAGTGTTTGACTCTCCCTTGGTCTTACACGAATCAACATTTCATGGAATCAATCAAACAACGCCAATTTTGGTCCAGCGTTAATGGCTTTGCGCAGTATCGAGAATGGCAGTACGATGGCGCCTTGTTTGTGGCTCGGACTAGTCATGTTTGCGGTGATCCGCGATTATACCGACCTCATGAAATGGCCTATCCCCGCGGCTTGAGATATGATGATATCCGATGGCTGTTCAATTCCTTCCGGGAGCCGATACCACTGTGGGTCACTGATGTGTATTTTGCGAGGACAAGAGAATACATTGATAGCGTGCCAGTGAGTTCATCCGTACAGCCTGTGGCAAAATCGCTGGATCTCACCTGATTAAACTCGTGACAATAACAGTCGGAAACCAGTATGATGACAAAAGAAGACCTGAAGGATGGAAGCGAAAGTCCGGAAATACCTGTGACAGAGATCTCCGACAAGTCGGTCGCCTCGTCGGGCGGGGGTTTGAGGGATGCTACAAGTGGTACCGTGGACTGCAAAGCGAATCTGGTGTCGCTACCTGGAACATCGCAGGAGGTCCCGGATTTGTCAAAGCAGTCATTTAACAACAACGGGGCTGATCGGGAATGTTCAGGGCGAACCGACCGCTCCACTCAAGGTACAGGGGAGCAGTAGGACGGTATTTATTGTCTCCATGCTCATAGAGGCTTTTGATGGTTCTGTACGAACAATTAGCTTGCACTACGTAGCGATAATTCAGACTCTAGAGTGTAGGTTACATATTGATAGACGGAGCTGAAGAGACAAGCCCTCGACATCGATCGATGGCATCTTGATGAACACACGTGCCGAGGATCGATCGAAAAGCGGCAATCCTCAGAATAGGTCCCTAAACTCTACACCACCTTGAGCTACTTCACATTGGTCACGCCGTTCAGGAGCCTGACCTTTCAACTGGCTGTAGAATCGTCGATCTCTGGGTTGGTAAGCATGCGTCAAGTACAAGTTGTGGAGAGTTTGCGATTCAGAGCATTTGCAATATATATGTCAGCCGAGATGCTTGAAAGCGCTTTGGGTAGCGTCAGTTCTTTTGAGAACAACCCCACATTAGTGTTGCGTGATTTGAGATCAAGAGTTGATGCCGGAATTGTCACTGGGACTCAAGCGCAAGACGACATGGAGCTGATTCTGTCCTCCAGATTGGTACCAGGTTTTAGCATGCACTGCTGATTCGCACTATCGTTTCCTTTGTTCGATAAGTGCCGGATGAGTGCCGGATATACGCCATTTGTCACCGAGAGATCACACCACTACCAGCGCATCACCTGACGTCAATCGATCTCGTGCCATAAGCACATACCTTCCTTTCAAGAAAGATGGCACCATCTGGTGTAAGCTTCTCGATATCTAATAGCTATATATACGAGTCTACGTTTGCTGGGCCAGGTGGATGAATTCATGATTCGTCGTACCTTTCCCACTCACACGTCGCCTGAATCTTCCGAAATCAAGATAGCAAAGATGTCCACAAGTGCCACGCCTGTCAAGGAATCTCCACCTGGAACATGGACAACATACGTTCGGCCGGAGAGAGATGCACCTAGCCTTCAATGGTACAACACAGAGGGACATTGGATGGATGCTATTGAAAAACGTGTATATCGGCTAGCGAGCGAAAAGGAGAGCACGGCGTTGCCGAGACCGGAGTACCGTGAATGGCAATACAATCCTTTCTACGAGTACTTTATGGCGCGCTCGTCTGGGACGCCTCTTCCTGAACATTGCTATCCGGACTTCACTTACTCGGGGCTATGAGATCTGTTTCGAAGTCATAAGAGAGCGGTTCCTCAATGGGTCGTTGATCTGACGACAGAACAGCCTGGACCTTGGGTGTTGGAGACCTCGGAGGCAAAGGTGAGCTCCTAGATGCAAGGTGATTTTGAGAAGTCGAAGTTGATTTTAATTGTGCTTTGCTACTAGGTGGAGCCCAGCTTCTTGTCAAATGAAGATGCAACGGAGGAAATTGCCAGCTTGGAAACGACCGCTGGCGAGAGTCTCCACAAGATCTTTATCGGATTGAGCAACATGCCCGACAAGGAATCGGCGCTCAGATGGGCCCGCCAAATCGATACCTTTTTGGGCTCGTTCTCTCAAAATACCACAGACGCATCCGGACAATCCGAAGGGTCTGAGTTTTCTGTCTAGATCAGCGAGCAGAGATGAATGAGGCAGATTTTGGATCATGGATTTTTCGATCGACACATTGTAGTCAGTATCTAGGCCTTTTGCTGTTTGTACCATTATCATAGATGTCGTTGGAATAGGTAATCATCGCAGTGTTAATCCCGGACACAGGTAGAGCGCACGCGCAACCAGTGATTTCCTCAAGATGGTCTGGCTACCAAGAGCTCTCGGCCGTCAAGAGCCAGATCAAGTGCACCCAGCCTTTTGCCAATGAACACAGGGGGATCGAACCGACTCGGATAAGGTTTAGTGGTTTCTACCACTCTTACGAGAGTCCTGAACTGACTTGACTGGAATAGAGGCGGTGCTTCTTTCGGTCCATAGAGAAATGATACCAGCTTGATCCCGAAAACTTTTCAGTTCATGTCGGGCGTTGTTTTATCACTCATTCTTGCCGTTATGTGTCAATTGGATCTGCTGGTCGAAACGATTTTGTTGTAAAGTCCAAACGATAACCTTGATGCTCAGGCTGTCGAGATGGTTCCCAGCGAGGAGAAAGAGGTCTGCAACTTTGTGGTCTTCATTTTTTGAGGTAGGAAAAGCGGACTCTCAAATGGAGTTGATGCCCATGTAGCTGTTTCTATCTCTTTCCCGCCTCGAGTACTGGTCCGGTATCTCATGGCAAGTCAATGAAGTCATCTCACGCAAACATAGGACTCGGATATGCCGAGGCGGTATCTCCCTACGGCACCTTGACGATCGGACGCCGCGCTTCGATCATACAACCACTAAAAAGGCGCGATCGACGAGCGCATTATGTACTCCTTGCCTTCTGAGATGGCAGGCAGTCGTCGGGTCGACGACGATAGAACCGATGCGATGGAGAGCCAATCCATCTCACCCGTCCGCGTCAGACATTCTCGAAGCGCTCAAGTGGCGCCGCCTCTGAATGACATCACGTGACATGAACCTGACGTCAGCAGGCCCCACGACATCCGATATGTCTGAGTTGTAGTGATCGTAGTGACATGTTCAAGTGATTGCACAAGATAGTCCTAGTAACGCAGCCTATGATCCCTAGGCTCCTACGCAATAGCCGTAAAGAGATCCTCACTTGTTCGGTCGCACGAAGATCAATCGGAACGATCTATCGCTCGTCAATCAGCGCACGCAGAAATCAACACTATTCGTTGAGGACTGTTACTATGGCTTCGATCAACAAGTACCTGAGCGCCGAAGAGGCAGCCAAGGTCAGTAGCACTCGAATATTGACCGAAGGGACTCTCAAACCTGATGAAATCGTCTTCTTGGACGGTAGATCGACCAAGAACTCATGTCCGAAGAAGGCGCCTACACGCTCGACCAGGTACGTAGTCATAACCTTCAGAACTAGTCTCTAGTTACATCATCCGTCACGCTTGGAATACTAAAGCTAGCGAATTTGTATACTCATCATTCGCTATACACTTGGAATGGGATCTGACTATCCGGGGTAGTTGATGGAACTAGCAGGCCTAGCATGCGCTCAGACGCTAGCCAAGGCGTTCCCGAAAGACGAGTATGGGAAGGTGTTGGTCATCACCGGGCCTGGGAATCAGGTGAGTGACCCCGAGATCTTTTTGGATGTACTTGGTAAAAGCTTGGGGTTCCGAGGAAGCTGATTATCGAATTATCGTTGGGTGGGATGTCTGGTCTTATACGGTCGATTAGGGAGGAGATGGGCTTGTAGCAGCTCGACATCTCAGTAAGTCTTCTCTTTGCCATCTTGTTCCTATCAAAGACGGGTAGCATCTCTTCCAAGGAGGTAAATAGCTAATGTTATCGTCGAATGATGTCATATGCAGAGATGTTCGGGTACGAACCGACCGTCTACCAAGTCGCCGTAAGCCCCAGCCCGTTCATATTCCCCAACAGAGGCTGTTTGCTAACTATCTGGTCATTTACCGGTGGGTTCATTTGGATAGGAGCCGAAAAAGGAAATCTACACCCGCCTGACTAGGCAATGCAGGAACATGGACGTCCCTATCGTCAATACCGTTGAGGAGTTTAAAGAGGTTTATGAGAGGTCTAGTGTGGTCATGGATACGATTTTCGGTGAGCCTCGCACATCGGTCTTTTACGATCAGTAACAGTATTGAGAGACGGTCGCTAAGATCTTTTCGGTTCGAAAAATCCTGGATCTGGGCGGTCTTGTAGGTTTCTCCTTCCACCCGCCTGTCAGACCACCATACCACACCATCCTTAACCACCTCGCCTCCCCAGAAACAGAAAACTCGAGTCAGAAGAGACTTCCTATACTCAGCATCGACATCCCTTCAGGCTGGGACGTCGATTCCGGCCGACAACCTCTCAAGGACACAAATGGGGATGAAGTGGAGACTTTCGAGCCGGAGGTGCTTTTGAGCTTGACAGCGCCTAAAGAGGGGGTGAGGGGGTTTAGGGGGAGGCATTGGTTAGGTGGGAGGTTTATCCCGATGTGAGTCCTCGTTGTTTGCGTCTTCCTATCGCGGTCAAGGCAGCCGATGTCGAGTTCGATCGATACTCTTGAATGCAGAAGAGAAAGACTGATATAGAAATTGTGAACATTCATCTGCCACGTAACACAGGAAGGTACAGGAAAAATACAAGATGCAGCTCCCACCTTATCCAGGGACGGACCAGATCGTCGAGCTCGAAGCGAAGTTGTGACTAATACGTGACATGAGTCGGTTGATATCGGCATTGACATCGACATTGAATTCAGCAAGGCATTGAAGCGTTCTTCAGGGTTTGTTGTTCTATGTTCGTTGTATGTGGTGAATGTGAATACGGGGCAGTGTGTACATACATCAATTAGGATGAGAAGCGGATTCATATTACATGTTATGGTCATGTACGTATTCATATTCATGTTCATATGTATTTCCTGAGGAGTCAACTACGGGATCGAGATTTGCTTTACAACGGAATCGAGCGACGAGAAGAAGTGAAGGATATCCTGGGACCTATCACCGGTATGCCTTGACGTGACGACATTGCGGGGAGAGATGTCGAGATCGACGTGCTGGGTGTTTACTGGTTCAGAGAGGCAGCGGCAGCCTTGAGCTACGATACCCGAGGAAAACGTAATCAGGCGTCAGCGAACAGATTCTCTCCTTTAAACCACAAACCGGATAACCAGGCATGAGACTCGAGCGAAAAGACTAACCTCTTCCCGACTCTTGGGCTGTTCCAAGTTGTTGGCGGTCGCGTTGTCCAAGATCACAGGACCGGCCCCGGCCATGGCGTTCGGGTTGGACGCTCGGAGTCCGCCGGATTGCTCGGGGTCGTCTTGTTGCTGCAGACCGTTACCGTTGCCGGAGGTTGGGGTGGGGTGGTTGTCCTTGGCCGGGTGGGGCTGGATGGTGAAGGCTATCGAGGGAAAAAGGGGATCAAGTAGAGGGTTTGTAAGCGAGGGCCTTTGAAGGCGGATGATGCGGCGAATCCCGGGGGCTCACATTGCTCGTCGTTCTTCTTGTCTTCAGACATCGTGATAGGTCGTTTGAACTTGGTAAAGTATATAAGCTATAAGAAGTTGAGAAGAGAGTTGCTCAGTCGAACAAGGTTGCAAATCGACATGGTCGAAAGGTTGTTTGGACATGGAACGACGAGGTGGCGAGTCGCCCCGGTCATCACCGGTCAGGCCATTCCCCCTCTTCGGAAGCAAATTCAGTTGAGCGTCGGAAGCAAAATGACATCATCATCGCCTGATCATCGTCATCACGTGATCTACATCAGGAACCACACTGCCTCTGGGTATACTTCGACGGGATTTCTAGGACTTGTCGACGACCTTGATCAGACCTCTCACAGCTTGAGGTAACTTGGCGAGCTCGCTATGTGTCATCGGACGGAGCTCGTAGACCGGTACGTTCTTGCCCAACGAGAGCTGCATAAACAGAGAGAGTTCCGAGAAGGGTAGATCAGCATACGATTATCGAAGCGTGAAGTCTGCATCAGGCAGCCATGGGAAGTTGCAATGATATTTACCAAATCCAACCTCAACTTTCTCATCTTCTCCTCCTCTTCCTCACTCTTCAACCCATCCGCATCCAACCCCTCGCGTCGTTTAGAGGCCTCGACGAGCTGTTCCCCGACCGACTTGAGCGACTTTTCGTACCAAACCGCTCTTCCTGGGCCGGTATTCGGGGGCGGATTGGACGATCCGCCAGCGGCAAAGTCGTTGGGGGTAACCAGGAGACAGGCTAGGTCCAGCCCGGTGTGACGGGCAGAGTATTCTTCGAGCTCGAGTAAGATGGGGACGCGGTGGATGGACTCGCGGACTGCTTGGTAATACAGTTCCCGGATGATAGCTTCGACATCGACATCGAGCGAGTCCGCCTGGAGAACCTCTTCCAGTTCGAGTTTAGGTTTCTTGGCCCGGTGGACCGAATCTGGCTCTGCCTCGGCTTTAGCGTTGGAGTTGATGATCTCCCGGTACACTTCTTGAGTCCGCTTAACCGTTCCCCTGACCCCAGCGTTCAACCAGCCGTCCCTCCACTTGGTATTGACATAGTCTTCTAGCGGCATACCGAGGTCGAACCCGGAGGTATCATAATGGGCAGACGGTGCGGGTGTCGAGGTTGCCGGCGAGGAGTCGTCTTCAATTTTGGTTTCGACCTTGAGCGTCTCGTACGAGCCGTCGTCCATCTCGTCTCGTTTTCGTTTCCGACCCGCCCCCTCTACCTCGACCCCTGTGCCCTCCGCTCGCGCACCTGAAACGAACGCCTGGATACTACGGACGTACGCCTCGGAGGTGACTTCTTCCCCGAGACACATCTCCTTGACGATCCTCCCCGGCCTCTCCCTCCTATATAGATCCCTCGTACTCGTATCCCTGGAAAGTATACTAATAGGCTCATCGTCTTCGTCTTCAAGACTCCAAACGCTCTCCAAGTCGACAGTCAGGTCCCGGATGAATTTCCGGGGGTCGTATCGTTTGAACTCGGGGAAACCGTATGAACCGGCTAGGTTTTGGTATCGGCCCATATCGAGGTGATCGATTGGCCGGGTAGGGATCTGGGGGATGGGCTCGTCCACAACCACACCGGTTAAGGTAGGGGTGGGTTGCCAAGTCTCGCTAGCGTTCATGAGCTCGTCCTGCCAATCCACCGTACGGGGGAGACTGACTTTGAGGCCACTCGTCTGGAAGGTGAAGCCGTCCCGGAGCAGGTCTAGGACGTTGTCGGCTTCGCGGACGTTTCGATCGCCATCGACGTTCCACTCTCTCCACGTCCCGTCCCATTTCTCCTTGGCCCGTTGTTCTTTTTTCGTTCGAGGTCGTTTTCCTCCGGAGAGGTACCAGCCGACGCACCGAGCTACGTCCGAGTTGGGTGGGTAGTCGAGCATGCCCTCGGGGACGAGCTGACGCGGTAACAGTGTCGACACCGCCGACTTTTCTACCGTAAACGCGTCCTTGTCCTTGTACGTCGTCCCTGTCGGACTGACGCTCCGGTTCGAAGGCGTGGGACCGACCGACCCTCCCACTCGATCCCCTGGAGTCCTCAATCCGGACTGTTCACGTTCGGGACTAGGTTCCGGGGTCTTGACCAGCGATCTGAACCGATTGAACTGACGTTCGGCCAGCTGGGCCACCTTGGCGGCTTCACGATGGACGAGCGTGTCGTCCGGGTTGAATTTCTGGGCGGCGGTGATCATCTTTTCGACGTCGTTCTATACAGGGCGCTCGTCGATGTCAGCTCATACAGTCCCACCTTTCAGCGACGATGAACCAAGCGCGAACTGACCTCGAACTCGCTCATCTGCCTATACTCTCCCCTCCCGACCTTGTCCTCCATCGTCCCCAGATCCATAGCTTTATCCTCCCCTCCAATAACCTCAAAGTAATTGGGATACTCTTCCAAGCTCACCGGGTCGAAGAACAATCCATAGGCGTCTTTTCGCCGCAAGTTCCCGATGATGGTGGTCAAGAGGTGGCCAAGCGGTTTCTTGCGGAACGCAAAGGGCTTCTTGTTCCGCCCGCCGCCTTTTCCGCCGGGGATACGGTGCGGGTTTGGGTTGGGACGCGAGGTTCCAGAGGTGGGGGTTGAGGTGGGGTCGTCGACGTCGACGTCCATGGCCATCGAGTCTGCGTTGCGTTCGTCGTCGTCCTGGTCCTGGTAGTCATTATCTTCCTGGTCGTTGTCGTGGTCGTTGTCGTAATTGTTGTGCTGTTCATCATCCTTGTCGTGATCTGGATCTATGCCCCGTGCATCGTCCACCTTGTCCGCCTGTCCAGCCTGTCCCACGCCATCCTCCGACTCCCGCTTGACGCCGTGAACACGATCCTCATGCCCACCCATCCCTTCACTTCCCCCGCTCGTTTCCTGCTTGACCGCTCCGTCCACCGTCTCTCTCTCTTCCGCTTCCACCTTCATCTCCGAACCCACCCTGGCCTCCTTGTCTTTGCTTTCACTCTCGTCGGCATCCACACCTACATCTCCACCTACACCTACTTCCAGGTCCAGACCGACCTCTTGCCTCAACTTACTCTTCCCAACCCCAACCTTCTTCTTAGGAGGTCTACCCCCGGCTCTGGCGCCGTTCTTCACTCGGACGCTCTTTCCTGATGAAGGCGAGTTGTTAGGGGAGGTGGGGGTGAGGGCGTCGGGGAAGCTTAGTTTGGGCGAAGATGGAGATGGAGATTGAGATGAAGAGGTAGAGGTAGGATCGTCCAGTGTCAGTGTAGGGTTCTTCTGCGCAAGTTTGGGTGTGGGTTTGGGTTTGGTCTTGGTCTTGAGTTTAGATTCAGGCTTGCCCGTCGGAGTTTGCGGTATTTCCGACTTCGAATGCGACTGCGACTGTGACATCGAGTGCGACTCGATGTCCGGTACTGAAACCCGCGTGTCTTCATTTGCAGATCCCTCTGCCTCTTTGGGATCGGAGGTGGCGTTTGTGATCAGAGAGGATGAAGAGAGTTTGACCTTGATCCTCGGTCTCGTCGGCGTCGTCGTCGGTGTGCCCACGACCTTTTCCTTTCCCGTCTCTTTCTCCTTCTCTTTGCGTTTCCCAGCGTTCAACTTCAACCTCAAAGGCGTCGATATCGCCGTCGGATGTGTCTCTGTGTCTTCTTCTTCTTCCTCATCTTCTTTTTCCTTGTCTGATGCTTCGTCTGCCTCGTTAGGGTCTTGATCCTGATGAACGAGACCGCTCTCGACCGACTGTTGGACAGATAAAGGTGCAGATGCAGATGCAGATGCAGATGGAGGTCGTTTGAGGTTGAACTTGATCTTCGGCTTCTGGGTCGGCGTAGACGTTCCCGTTGTTATCAGTGCATCTGTATTAGCTGCGCTTTGAGCGGTTTTGCTCGGTTGCGGTTTCGGTTTCGGCGTGGACGTTGAAGTAGAACTTGAGCTCTTTTTCGAGTGCGAGGAAGAGAGGTTTAGCTTCAATTTGAGCCCCTTTGACCCAGAGACTCCCGGATTCGAATTTAGAATCGAAGTAGAAGTGGCAGAGCTCGGCCCGGCGACGTTCGACCTGTCCTCCTCGATCGATCGGAGGAGATCATCTTCGTCCCAATCATCGTCCGGGCCTGCATCCGAGGTACTGTTCTGGTTGTCGTGGTTAATAGACTTGCCGCTACCGCCGCCTACTTTGAGTTTGAGCTTGATAGGCTGTGGTGTGGATGGTTTGCCAGACATCCTTGATCGAGGAATATCGCTGGAGCTAGAGGCTGTGTGGAAGAGAGAGAGAGAGCGAGAGAGAGAGGGATGGCAACGTTCAGAGACGGTCTACGTTCTTGGACCCTCGACCGTGGTTGACATGGTCGATGTCCGAGAGAGATGAACCGAGCTGAATTATTTTATTTGGCGTAAAGCTAACACTTGAAATACACGTCATCGGCTGTCTAGCCCGACAACAGTCATGAGATTAATTGATAAGCCCCCTTTTTCCATCCGATTGCATCCGGAACCTCGGCTCTAGCTGGGACATTTCGTTATCTCCAAGTCGAGTCAAAGCGAAACTTGTTGCACTTTGGCGTATGTAATATAACTTCCCTTCTAGCCTCTAGTCGATAGAGCAGTCTAGAATAAAACTCTGGATAGAAAACAACAGCAAGATGCTCCGAACGCTGGTACAGAAATCTCGACCGGGTAGGCCGTCGTTGCTCCTCCGTGGGTATGCCACTAAGACGCCTCAGGTGAGTGTTTCTTCTTCTTCCATTCCCACCTCACTCATAGTATCTGGAATATATCTCCTTACTAACGCTCACACTGCCTTGCGTCTTGTAGCCGAACATGTCTTACCGCAAACCCACCCACCCAGATACGTGCTCCCCCTCGACGCAAGCTATGATAGAGGATCATTCGCAGTACCTCCTCAATACGTATGCGAGGCCGCCTTTGTTGTTCACTAGGGGGAAGGGGTGTAAGTTGTACGCTACTTCGCCCAAGAACCCTCGGTTCTCCGGTCCCACATCGACTTCATCTTCTTCTTCCACGGGAAAGAAAAAGGAAGACAAGGAGGTGGAATACCTAGATTTCACAGCAGGTATCGCCGTCAACGCCCTGGGCCACGCCGACCCCCAAATAGCCTCCCTCCTCGCCGAACAAGCGAACATGCTGAGTCATTCGAGTAATGTTTGTTGGAACGAGTGGGCAGGCGAGTTGGGGCGGTTGTTAGTTCACCAGACGAGGGAACATGGGGGGTTGGGCTTCAAAGCGGGCGCCAACAAGGATGGGAATAAGGAGGAGGGAGCGAAGGTCTTCTTTACGAACAGCGGGACGGAATCGAACGAAGGCGCACTGAAGTTCGCTAGGCTTATCGGCAAGACCCGTCAACCCGCCGATAGCAAGAAGTATAAAGAGAAGACGGCCCTGGTCTGCTTCAACAACGCTTTTCACGGTCGATCCATGGGTGCCCTAAGTGTCACCCCGAACCCGAAGTATCAAGCGCCGTTTTCACCCCTGATTCCTAATGTCCGAGTAGGACAACTCGGAGACCAAGAAAGTTTGGAGGAACTGGTTACAGGGGAAGTGTGTGGAGTGATCGTCGAGCCCATCCAGGGTGAAGGAGGGCTGAACGAGGCCAACAGGGAGTGGTTTGCGGCTTTGGGGAGGAGGTGTAGGGAGGTCGGGGCTGTGCTGATATATGATGAGATTCAGGTGAGTGGGGGGTTGAAGGGGAGAGTGGATGTTGAGGATGTGAACGCGGCGTCTTTGCGTTATTGCGAAAAGCGAGAAGCGAGAGGCGAAAAGCAAAGATCGCTACGTTCCGTCGTGTGGTACCATTATTTACTTGAGAGAAGCTGATACATTCCCCTTTCTCGCGTCTCACCTTGATCTATACCGTCCGTCTGTCGGTCATGACTGCCAACTCTTGGAACTCGCAGTGCGGTCTTTATCGGACGGGGACGATGTGGGCGCACAGCGATTTCCCGGCTGAAGCTCAGTGAGTCACGGACCATCGCCTTTTTTTCCGTCCTTCTACCGTCGTCCAAACTATCAAAACGGGTCATCATACCAACGTCATGGCCACCGATCGGTTTGCTAATCCAACCTTCCCCTTTCAACCGATCCACACTTCGTGGGTTGATATTACCAGGCCCGATATCGTGACGATGGCGAAACCGCTGGCGAACGGGTTCCCCATCGGGGCTATCCTTGTGAGGGACGAGATTGCGAAGCAGGTCGGGATTGGTAAGTCTATCAGTCTATAACAGGGGTCGGGAGATGGGAAGAGTGTGGTTATTGATAACATTATTCTTCGTTCGATCTCCGTCCTACCAATCAAATTCGGTCCGCTTGCTACGTTGTCTACACCGTCGACTATCGCTGCTCCCGCTCCGCTTGATTCGCTTGTCGCTTGCACTCGCGCTCACAGGCATGCACGGCACGACATTCGGCGGCCAACCCCTAGCCACCCGGATCGGACACCACGTCATCACCCGTCTCTCCTCGCCCGACTTTCTCAGCAACATGCGATCCACAGCGTCGCACTTTGACGAGCTCCTCTCCCGCCTGCCGGAGATGTTCCCAGAGCTCATCCCCTCGCCCATCCGAGGAAGGGGGCTCATGCGGGGGATCCCGTTTTCTCACCCTCAAGCTCCGGGGGAACTGGTCAAGCTCGCCAGGCATCGAGGGGTTCTTTTGTTGACCGCCGGGTCGGACGCGGTGAGGCTCGTACCGAGTTTGAACGTGACCAAGGAGGAATGCGAGCATGCCGTCGGGGTGATCGAGAGTTGTTTGGGGTTGATGCAGGAGGAAGGCAAGTGGGGTAGCGTCGGCGATGCGTAAGGGTGTCATGCCACATGGATCATATGGATATGGGATGCGATACCTTCTTTTTCCACTTTCACGCGTTTTCGGCCGTCGACCGCCGATATTGGAAACGAAACGGATAGTCTCGAGCGGGTCTGCAGAGGGGATTCTGAGAGGTCTTTCGAGCGGGGTCTCACGAAGCGAATCAATGAAGCAGTAGAACGAGTTGAAAGCTCTACGGTGGGTCGTCCCCACTCCACATCGTGATCGAGCGAGCTCATCTACCTGGAAGCATATCGGTATTTCGAGCGGTGTGGTAGGTAGGGACTAGGCGTTCGACCCGCGAGTCGTCTTGTGATGAGCGTCATGAGAACGAGCTCAGCGGCTGTCGGGACGATCGAGAGCGACCTTGCGACACCCGACGAGTAGCGACATCACGGACGAGTCGGAATAATCCTGATCGCTCCGGCTCGGAAGCGAGGCCATGCGTATTCGAGGAAATGTTCAATGTTCGGGACGGGGCTCCAGGATGGCTTTAGAAGAGGGATGGGATGTGCTTGGCAAGCGATGTGATCGAGGCTGCTAGTGCCGTATACCGTTGTGGTGGTCTGCATGCTTGTAGCATGTGCAGCGCTGGTATCACCTGACGGATGTTCATCTCACACGAATGCACCCTGCACCCTGGAGATGTATGGGAATGTCTTGGCAAGCTAGCGAAAAGGAAACCTTGTTCTCTCGGAGGCTACTACCCTCCTGAGCCGGCGCCATCCATTGCTCGATCGCTCTCAAGCGGGTGGAGCGGAAGTAAAAAGGATCCGGGAACCGCCCATACACAAGCGCGCGACAGGGAACAATATTCGTTTCAAGTCTCTCGCGAGAACCCATCTCATCTCGACAGCCGGCGGGTACGATCGTCATGGACCCAGACACTATTACCACGGTTCGTCTAGGTCGGACGAGGTTAATGAACTCGGTCGCTTTTCTCTATGGCAAGCTCCCGCTATTTACCGCGCTCGAATTCTTCACATGGATATGTCTGTCGGTCTCCATGATGGACCTAGAACGTTGACCCTCGATCGATTCGACGGATATCAATTTCGCACACGACATCATTCAATTACTAATTACTCCTGCCTCCGAGTGAATGAGTGGGCGGGCTCTAGACGTTATGATCTGGAGGGTCTAATGTCAATTTGGAGCGCCGAGGACTTGGACACTGCACCTGACCTCTTGCACGTCCGTTTGCACAGTGATCTGGTCACTTGGAGCTGCTCGACGAGCGTTCAGGATGAGGATATAAGGAGAGCGAGAAAGGACGATTGAGAAGACGATTTCCCTCTCGACCTCAGACTTTTCTTCATCACAAACATCTCTACACAATCCACACTACCGACACATAACAACAACAACGACGACACTAGCAATGACTCGACTCGCCAAACTCCTGGCTCTCGGTCTCGCCCTCGCCGGCCTTTCCACGAACACCAACGCCTCGCCCATCGAGACGGAGTCTCACGAACTCGCCCGGAGGACCACCTCGCTCAAGTGCGGGTGGGCGAAGAAGAACGGGGTCGACCTCGGATGTATGTGCGATATCCCCGGATTGAGCATCGACCTCGATATCGATTTTGGGGGGTTCCCGGTCTTGGACTTGTTTTTGGGGTCTAAGCAGTACCCGCCGGGTTGTAGGCCTACTTGCGATGTGAGTTTCCCTTTCTTCTTCTTCTTCTTCTTCTTCTTCTTCTTCTTCTTCGACTCTACTTTACCGCCCGGTACGATGGCTGATACGTTCCACCTTTCGATCATACAGGACAAGGTCTACGAATGCCCCTACGGATCGAACGGAAAGGGAGGCTGTAACGAACCGGTCAAATGCCCTCCCAATCAGTGCGAGAGTTACGGGAAATGTAAGTGATACCGGTCGGATTTCGCGAGGATCTGGTGGAAACGGGAGACTGACGATTCGATCTTGGCGCTCGCTCGCCTTGATAGGCTGCCCGTACGGAACCCAGAACACCGGTGGTATCTGGTAAGTCCTCTTCACACGCCTGATTCCGCGCCGTTTACTTCGATCGACGCTGATCTCGACCTGCTCTCTCGATATAGCTGCCCTAAGAACTGTGTCAACAAGGATGGCAAATGTCACATTCCCAAGCCCGAGCCGCCCAAGAAGCCCGAATGCAAGAAGGAGAATGAGGAGCTTAACAAGTGGACCAACAAGTGTCAGTGCAAGGACAAGTACGTAGAACCCCGTCTTGAGCTCATATGACCGGCAGTCGGGGCGGCGGAAAGCTGATCGTGGGGTTTCGATCGACTCTTAGCTACGAATACTTTGGAGACAAGTGCGTCATGAAGTGCCCCAAGGATCAGAAGAGGAACCATGAGGGTCATTGTATGTGCATCAACGAGCAGTAAGTCGGGTCGAGCCCTATCAATGGCTGTACAAGAAGCTGACGTGCCCGTGCTACCTCCCATCGCGATAGCTTCAAGCCAGACCACGAGAACGTCTGCCGACCTCAGTGCGGACATGAAGAGATTCTCGACAAGTACAAGAACGTCTGCGTCAAATGCGAGTACGGGGTCGAGCACGGAAAGTGCAAGCCCAAGCCGCCCCCTACCTGTTCTCACGAAGAGGTACTCAACAAGGAGAAGACCAAGTGCATTAAATGCGACTACGGAGTCGAGAACGGAATGTGCAAGCCCAAGCCTCCTACTTGCCCTCACCCCAAGGAGTTTAACGAACACGAAAAGAAATGCGTCTGCCCCGAGCATATGAAGACCGACAAGTATGGAAACTGCTTCACCCCTCCCGAGTGCCACGATCCTATGGTCCTCTCCAAGGACATGAAGTCGTGCGTCTGCAAGGAAGGAACGGTAGCCGACCACTACGCCCCGGGAGGTTGCAAGCCCAAGCCTCCTACTTGCCCTTACGGATGGGACGAGCACGGCAACTGCAAGCCCAAGCCCGAATGCCCTAACGGATGGGATGAGCACGGTAACTGCAAGCCCAAGCCTACGACCTGCCCTAACGGATGGGACCAGTACGGGAACTGCAAGCCCAAGTGTCCTGAAGGGTGAGTGTCGGCCTTGCTAGACAACTGAGGGTCTTAGACCGCGCGCTGACCTAGGTCTCGATGTTCTGGCGGGGTTGTTAGAACGAAGCCGGGCCTTCTCGGTGGTTGCTCCAAGCTCGGACTCTTGGGTATCAACCTCTGATCGAGAGCGATTACACTGGCCTCGAACCAGTCGCTTGAAGGTGGAGCGAGGATGACAGACGGATGAGATGAGACGGGAGGTCAGGAGTGGCCTCGGAGGATACGATATGGACTTTCTAATCAATATCGAAAAAATCCCATAAAACCCACAAAAAAAGCGAACGAACGGACTTTCAGGATAGCAATAAGCGAATCGAAAATCGAATAATCAAATGTAACAGTCAGATCGAAATAACTTGTCGAACTCGGAAATGAAACAAACGTATCAAATGCCTATTGGACCCATCTTCTGAGTTCTCATGAAGTGGCATTCAGGTCCACGAGTTGAGATTGCTATTGCATCGACACCAATCTGGGCTGTCGAAGCCTGTTTTGTTTAAATACTTGCGCTTCTTGCGCGATGAGAAACTTGACCGTGGATACGTCGAGTGACGAGTATGACCGCCGCTTCATAACTCTATCTTCCAGTCCCGTGTGAAAACGGTAGCCTGGTCGGCTTTGACGTGTCACAATGTATCACGATGCACCTGACTGAGGTGAAACGGGGTACAGCATTTCGGTCGGCCGAGCACGCTTTAACAACCTGTCGGATTCGGACGATCGGTATGATACGATGAGTAGGTGATAACTGAACAAAACAGAGGAGGTTGTTCTGTAGAACCACCGATTCGAAAAAGACGCCTACATTACATAATTGATGGTCGGCTTGAGCCGAATCTTGTTACGGCGGGACCGGGAAGGTCGACGCTTGATAACAAGCGAAAAATGAAACAGTATATAGGGCACGAGCAAATCATCGTGTATCAAACTATCAGAAATATACAGGGGGTAGATCGAACATATATCAGATCGATCGATAAGCAAGAGGCTGGAATTGTAGTTCATGACCGTTGATAGCACGACTGACTACCGCTTGCATGTTTTGCTCTTCGCGGAAGGTCAGATGGAAAAGTGATCAGGGGGATAACCGGCCGAGGTTGTAACGTGTCGACGTCGCAGTTAAATAGATTGTCGATGCTGTTGGGATCTCGTACGTTCGTCTTAGGTATCTCTGCGTCTTGGGGATAAGAAGTGACGATGAATCGGCCTGGCTCATCGTTTCGCATCGACCCCGGCCTCGAGGTCTGGCGCCGACTTGACGACGGCAAGCGGGACAGCCTCAGGCTGACGCTGAGGTCTTCCCAAGTGATATTTCACCTTTCTTTCCTTCGATCCGATCTCGTCACACAGAACTTGGGGAAGAAAGGCATCGCCGGTAAGATCAGTAGAGCCTTCGTTTTCAGTCGGGTGTTCAGACTCACAGATGAAGGCGAAAAGCGGACCGATCATATGGAACATGCCTGTATAAAAGGCGATGCACGTCTGTGTTTCACCATGAGTGCCCGACCAGGTTCCGTCTTGACAGCAGAGCGAAGCGACCAGTACGAATCCCGAACAGAGGATGACTCCGGTGAGGTAGATCATTCGATTCTTGACGATCTCCAGCGCTCTGATCGCTGCGTTGGTGTCTTTGTCATATTCAGGTTGCATGGTGCCGGATCCCATCAAAAATTTCACGATAGGAAGGTTGTAATAGAGGAGTGGGACCTCCAGAGCCAGTAGGATACAGAACGTCAGCCAGGGTTGGGGTGGCAACGGGACCCCGATGGTGTACGCGATCAAGGTGTAGACCGCGGGAACAGTGAGACAGATGAGCGGTTGACGCATGATATTTGGGAGAGAGGATTTAGGCTTCAGATTTGGAGACTAGGTGATTCGGGGGTCCTGGATGATCAGTCGAGATCGAGTAGTTGCTTAGTTGGAGGAGTACTCGTAGATAGTGTATGAGCTGATTCGACTCGTTAAGCGCGCGAGGAACAGCGGACATCGGGATTCGGGAGGAAGAGATGAAAAACCATCTAATGTCCGTCCCTGTCCCTCCCTGACGATGTCACCGGATCACCGGTCGACATCAACCAAGATGGGATGAATCGATCAATGTAAAGCGACGTTGCCTAGCTTCCTGGCTCTCGTAAGGAATACGATCAACAGCCTCTCTACTACGTAACGCATCCACTCATCAGTCTTACCATGCGTCATGGTGCAACTATCCTCGCCATAATCGCCCTGTACGGCGTGATCGCCTACCTGCTCGGCATACCGTTACCGCCTCAGCCGTGGCGATCCTACTTCGGGCTCGCTGCGCTGGAAGCTTTTTTACTCTGCTACAACTCCCCTGTTGTCGAGCGTATGAACGGAGCCAGGACTGTGGACGGATATACCGATGAGCAGAACGCACTCGTCAGGTCGATCGAGGTCGAAAAGACGCGACGGGTGTACATGACGCTCGTCATGGTCTGTTCGGTCTTGGGTGAAACTGCTGTACTCTGTTGTCATGATGGCGCTTGGATAGGTCCACAGACCGACATCCAGAAGTTCACAGCAATAATTACCGGTATGCTGCACGGAATCGCTTGTCTCGGGCCCTCCATCGGTAAGTCTTCCGATCAAACTACGTTGCTCAGAGAATTGGTCACCCAAGGCTGATGACGGCGAATCGCAGCTATCTCAGAGGATAGGATACAGCCGCTCGAAGCAGCCTTGGCCGAGTCCTTGTCGCCCACAGCCCCCGTCGAACCTATCACCACTTCCGCTCAACCGGACCTCGAGGCCGGACTCGTCGAGAAGCAATAAGGGTACATCATCGACGAGCAAAACGCGTGATATCTGTACCTCGTAAAAGACCTTGTTGTTCGAACATCACCTTTACTTCACCCAAAGTTCTTTCTTGACGGATCTGTCGACTTCAATTTCATGTATCTGTATACCACGATCCTCTCTGATTGTTCACATGAACCGAATCGACCAAAGCAAAGCGTCACAAGATAGGGGTAGGAACTCCGATGCTCTACGCGATTACGACGTAAAACGACGGAAATGGTTACACAGATGAGTGGTTGACGTAATGTGGGAAGAGTATGTTACCGGGCGTAGACATCGATAGTGTGGCTTGTGGTTGCAGACCGTAGAAGAGGTAGGTTGGGGTTGTTCAGATGATTGAAGGTCGGTCGAGATCGAGTGGTTAGAGGACAAGTTGGATGATTCGAATCGATGAGAGAACCAGCGGACATCGACTTGTTAGCTTGTCAAAGGAGAAAACAGTCTGATGTCCGTGGGCATCTCGGACGAGGAAGTACGTCAACGACCACGACGATATCAACGATTCAATTCGACCAATCGATCCATCAGGTCATCAGTCACGAAACGCTACTTATCCTCTTGGCTCTTCGGAGATACACCGAAACTCTTCACGATGCGTCAAGCTCTCGCCATCTTCGCTCTGATCGCCATGTACGGCATTATCGCCTACAGCATAGGTATCCCACTTCCTTCCCCATTGTGGCGATGGTTCTTCGCCCTGGTCGCCCTCGAAGGCGTGCTGCTGTATCACGGAGAGCGCGTCTGTGATCACCTGGTCGGCCCGGTCACCAAACCCGGCTACACAGCCGAGCAGAACGCTCTGCTTAAGCGGATCGAGAACGGAAGGATGGGGCGGATGTTCGTCCTGCTCGTAACGATCGGGTCGGGGTTCAGCATGACCGCCCTGTTCTCCCTGCCACGACTCTGTCTGGTCGGGACCTCAGGACGGGGCGCAGATGTTCGGTCTCATCCTGGTCGGTGGGCTCCACATTTTACTGGTCATGGCGGTGGCTATAGGTGAGCGGCATCAGCGGCGAGGTGTGTACAAGGTATACAGTAGAGCAAAGGCTGAGGTACGGTATGTATCCCCCCCGACCGTTGTCTTCAACTTCTTCAGGGTTCACGGAAGGGATCCAGAAGTCGGAAAAGGCCCTGGCCGAGTCCTTGTCGCCATCAGCGACCGTCGAAGGTGGTACCGTCGAATCCGGTGCTGTCGAACCGGATCTCGAAGCCGGGCTCGATTCGAAGCAATGAGCGGGGCGGGGCAGGCAAAGGCGAAGACCGAAGCCCGCAAGAATACCGTGCTGTGCTGTAATGTAATATCATCGTCACAATTTGTCTGATCCTTAACTTGCAACTTGTACGATAACCAGCTCTCTGGAGAACGCTGTCGACTCTATCTCCATGTACCTGTATACTACGATCTCGCACACGTTACTGGCCACTGGGCGGGGCGATCGGACCGGAGCTACGAGCAGGACCTCGAGGTCAAGAAGTCGGAAGCGGCGGGGCACCTACAGCGTCGATGACTTGATCGCTTGGGATCGCTTGTGCTTGGTTGATTTATACCTCAACATGCAACATGCGTGGAGCAACCGCAGCAGTCACTGAGCTACCCTATCAAACGCTCTTCGCCGCCCGAAGGTCGAAGTAGATCCTTCGAGATCCGCCAATCGGAGGTGATGAGGATGATGAGGATCACTCCGAAGCATGTGAGGTTGAAGACCCGGGCATATTGGGGGTTGCCGTTCTCGCCCGATGGTTAGATAAGTAGTGCTCGCATCCCATCCTTATATTTGGGTTCCCGGTACTGTACTTTATCAATCAGTCCGTTGGAATCTTCCGGCATCTACACACGCTCAAAAGTACAATAATGTCGGACAAGGACCGAGTGGTCATAGTCGGTGCAGGAATCGTCGGTAGCAGTCTGGCGAAATACCTCTCATTGCTGCATGTACCCGTCACGCTGCTCGACCGCTCGTTATCGACCACACTACCCGATTCGACAGGTCTCCCACCCGGGTTCGTCGGGCACGTCAACGAGTTGCCCACTTTGACCGAATTGGCTAAACGGTCCGTTGAGGATTACAAGAATATTCCGGTAGGGTTCAAGTCGGAGGGCTCGAGGTGGCTTATACCCCTGAATTGAAGTCTTAAGGCATCGGTTGGACCTAGCGAACAAGTATGGGCTCCCAGCTAGATTTCGGGGGAAGAGGCACGGGGGCTCAATCCGGCTTTTCGTCAAGAGGGACGTGTTGGCGGCCCTGTTATTCGAGAACGATGGGACGGCGGCGGCTCCGACTATCGCTTTGTACGATAGGTCCGTCGCCTCATCTCTTGGAGCGAGGATGGTCGAGGGGGACGTGAAAGAGCTGGTCATTGAGCACGGAAGGGTGATAGGGGTAAAAACGACAGCGGACTTTATTCCTGCGAACAGGGTCATCGTGACGACCGGTATCTGGACCCGACAGTTACTCCCCGACCTCCCTGTCCACCCTGTCGGACACCCGTACTCGCACTCGGCAGAAAGGCCACCCCGTCAGAAGTCTTCGCCTTTCGTCCGATGGCCGGAAAATCACGTTTATGGTCGTGATCATGGGACGTACGATGGGATCGGGTCTTACGACCACCCAGCTGTATCGGTAGATGCCAGCGAGTTGAGTGAGAGTGCTCGGGGGGGGGATGGCAAGGGGGCTTTGATGACGTCTTGAGGAAGGCGTATGATCACTGTCCTCCTACAGCTTCGGGGGAGGGTGGTGTCGATTGGAAAGACGCTAAACCGTTCAACGGCTTGTTCTCGATGACCCCGGATAACCTCCCTTTCGTCGGCCGAGTCCATGGGGATGATCGTGATCCGTCTTCGGGGGTCTGGTGTGCCGTGGCCGTCTGGGTGACTTCGGCAGGAGGAGTAGCCCAGCTCTTGGCCAAGGCGATGGTCGAAGGGGAAGAGGGGATGACAGAGGTCGAGCGAGGGATGTTGAGGGATCTCGATCCGAGGCGGTTTGAAGGGCAAGATCAGGGGGCGCTTAAGGCGACTTCGTTGCGAGCCTACAATAATATTTATAATAGTGACGACTAGTTATGGAGAGAAAGGTACGGGACCTTGTAATCCACTTCAGACGAACAGGGACGTTCCTACGGTCCGTGATTAGAAACCAACGAACTCGGTCTACGAGGATATGAGGACGTGTATCAACTACAGGTGCAACGTTCTGCAATAGGCTAGGCAGGGCTTGTCAGGGAGGAATGGACGCCCTCCCTGATTCGAGTCGAAATACAAACACTTGCCTCTCGCTGTCGGCCGTTCAAAAGGATCCAATCGTACAAAAAGAGTCCTCGGAAACTGGGTGGCAACAAATCGGTTGAAGGTCTCAGCCAGCGCGACCCCCTGAAGACGCGAGATGACGTCTCGTTCAGCCACTTGAAGACCTTCTTCTTCTCGGGGATCTGGCGGGCAGATCATGTCCTACCAATGATATGTTTGGAATGCTAGGCTTGGCCGTGGTGAGACTCTGTCGTCGGAATGGTAAGTGGGATCAAGTTTACCCCCTTATGATGATGTCGAAGCGCTCAGATAGCGAGCAATATGATGACATGAGCTGCAGGAGGTACAATAGGAATCGGTACGATCGATGGCTAAGCTAAACCTCAGACGAATTTCTAGTCGAACCGCTGAGTATAGACCGAATCCGAGCCAGACCCCGGGTCTCGCAGCTAAGCGCTTCTTTTCCCACACTCGCTACATTAGCTCCTCAATACCTGTTCCTGCCAGCTCGGACAGTCTTTGTGACAGTCTTAGTGACCGTCGCGGTTCGGATCTGAGTCTCAGTGATCGTTTCGGTCTGCATCGCCGTTTCAGTAGTCGGTGAGGCACAGAAGAATGAGCTAGTCGGCGAGCTTGCCATGGTAGTTGCATCGGTGGTGAAAGCGTCGGTGGTGAGAGCGTCGGCGGTGAAAGCGTCGGTCGGAAAGAGGTCGCTGGTGGCAGCATCGCTAGTGGACACGCTGGTTGTTGTCGCTTCGGTAGTGAGACTGGTACTGGTAGACGCATCCGTAGAGCTAGGAGCCTCCTCGGTTGCGACATAGCCTATGATCCCATGATCTCCCCGAGGACTATTCTTCTGCATAGCAGGGATAGTGATAATCCCGATCGTCCAAATTGAACCATCCTCATTCGCGGTGAAGTCGGAAAACGAAGCGTCACCTCCCGCGCCAACTGTATTGCCGTATGACATGTCGCCAGATTCGAGGACGATCTTGGTGTCATAGTAATAGTGGGTGTCGATGGTCGCCTCGCAATCGGCTTGGCATTCGGTCGCCGTGCCCCAGCTGAAGAAGAAAGGATAATAAGCGTACTGATTCGCTATGTCTTGAGAGACCAGCCAATATCGGCTCACCCTCGCATGCTTCCGGAAACGGAAACCAAGCTGGAGATATACTCTCCAGTCACCTCATTCGTAATCACCTGCGTCCAATCCCACTCATAGCCGTTCTCCTTGACGGCCCCGCGAATATACTCGATCTTGATCCTGTCGGTGGCGCTCACCGCCTTCATGGGACCGTTGATCTGACGAGCGTTGCCGTTGGCATCGTTCCCGAAGAGAGAACCCATGGCACACCATTGATCGGCGGTCGCGCCGCAATCTTCGACGCTTATCTGGGTGGAGTCTAGAGTGCTTTGGATGAGATCTCCGGTGCCGTTGGAGATCCCAGGCCAGATTGTAAGGAATCCGCTCTGCTTGTTCCCGGGGTTCCGACCGGGGACCATGACGGTGGAAGTATAGATAATGTCTGCCTGAGACGGGCCGGTGTAGACGGCTGGGCCAAAGTAGTCGCGTTTGAAGATGTTGGGGGCAGCAGAGGCGACCAGCGCGCTCGACAGAAGGGCGATCAGATGATGGGCTTGCATGGTGATCGGATGCATGTTGGACGAAGATGAATAAAGGAAGGTGTCGATGAGGGATAGTAGAGTTGGCTGTTGCGATACAAGAGATCGAGCGATACAAGAAATCAATCCGAGTATCGCAACGATCAGGGAAGAAACAGAAACAGGCCGCTATATATACGAAACGGATCATGGTTCCTCTCGCGATCGGTCCGGGAAGATGGGTATCCTACCGATCACGAAACGACGACCTTGTTTTGACCATTCCTTCATCCGGCCTAGCTCGAAGCGATAATTCGTGTAGCGCATTGAGTCCGCCTGTGCGCCCGAAGAAACAGGTTTGAGGCAGGTCGTCGATAATGAAACAGAAGCTGTGCGCTCAGGCACATGCAGGATCAAGGAACGCAAGGCGCACGTGAAGTTGATAAAGAGAGAAGGGCCGCCCTCTCGACCTTGTTTCAAGCCATCTTAGCGGATCCAGTTCCCGGACCGGAAACCGACAAGTTCCGTGTACAGATTCGATCGCCTTCAAGTGAGCGCTTAACCAACCATGCAGGTGTGCCTATGCAGGTAGCGTGCTGTACGCTGCGGGATCCCGATATCAATAGCTAACGAAGGATGTCTCAAATGTTCTTACGCGCTGTGGTGGCTTTTCATTCCAGGTTCCGTCGAGCGACTCGCTATTCCTCACACGTATGATCGGTTGCTTCTGCGGTCCCGATTCTCTTGCTGCATCCGACAGAACAGTCCCTGCGAGAAACGATCCTCAGGGCGCAGGCAACATCCAAGGCGGGAGAAGATCGATGGCGCTCGAGATGCTTCATCCTACCGATCATGTCATGCATCTGGCCGGAATCGTTGAAATGTACGTTGAGGTTGCTGAACTAATACCATGTCCTGAATGCACTCGATAGTACAATAATCCTTCTCTCACAGAGATACCTTCACCCGACCCGACTTCAAGCTCGTCCAACGTCCTCGTTACCGTACTCGCCGGTACATTCGGTCTTGGAGAACCGGCGAGCGGGAATCCGGCGATAGAAGAGTTCGTCCAACATGGCGAACGTACGGCCAGTGTAGTCGGGTACGAAGAGATAGATGATGACGATACAAACGGCCCCAAGACCGGCGAAGAGGAAGGCCGTCTTGACGCCCCATTTGGCGCCAGAGTCTGCGCTCAGTAGGTACGGCAAGACTGATCGATGGACAGGAGTGAGATCAGCAAGACCACGCTCGACATTGAACAAGAGCGCCAGCGAGACTTACCACTGGTCATGATCAAGCCCACAATTGCGTTCCCGACCGTCCTTTTTTCAGTAGAGAAAAACCAAAGAGGTGAGCAACTCACGGTACTAATCATTCGCAAATCCTCGAGGCTTACCCTAACGTTGTAGTTTTGGCTCTCAATCTTGATGACCCGGATTCTCCAGTATAGGCCCAGCCGGCGACTCCCGGTCCGATGGTAGATGCGGCGAGGAAGATCGAAACCAGGGCGACGAGAACGGACCCTTGAGCTTGGCTGAAGTCGGATTTCGCGACCACGTCGGTGATACCAAGCCCAAGCATGCAGAGGGTCATGACGATGATACCGACGAATAGCAGCATCCATCGCCCGATCCTCTTATTCTCGATCAAAAAGAATGAGATGAAGTTGGATGCGAGACCGACGGAGGTGGTAATCACGCTCGAGATGAGGGGGTCGCTTTGTTTGGCGATGACGAAGAAGTCTGCGTGGGAAGGGGTCAGATTTGAGCACTCACCTTGACGTGAAAGCTCTGGGAGATGTAACTCACAAGTGGCGTAAGTGCCGACCAAGTTCTGACCGGTAAGGTTCTGAGAGATCGGCGGGAAGACGGCGCAGAAGGTTCGTCGCAGATCCACTCCCTTGAAGCAATCCAGGTAGGTCGTGTTTCGGTGCTGCCCATCGGACAAGGGTAGCTGATGAGCGTTCAAACAGTTCCATATCGGAAAACATCCCCGCAATTACCTGCTCGTTGGCCTCTGCCTCCTTCTCCAACGTGTATTCGAGAACGGCCACCGCGCGATCGAGATCCACCTCCGAGGACTTGGGGTTGATAAAAGCCAAAGCTTTACGAGCTTGCTCCTTTCGTCCCTTCATCATGAGCCAGTAAGGCGACTCTACCAAAAGGAAGACTTCGGCAATGAGGGTCAAGACGGGAGCGGCGAGGGCGACGTAGAGGGGGACCCGGAACGATCGAAGGTCGTCCTCGCCGGGCCAGCGTTTGTTGGTAGCCCAAGGGATGACGGTCGCAGCCAGCCCGCCAATGTTCACTAGGCGGAAGTCGATGGATCCGCATGAGTGGCCTCATCAAGGTGACAGAAAGAACACGTGGTACTCACTGGCCATATTGAAGAACGACAACATGATACCTCGAATCTCTCGGGGACTGACTTCGGTCACATAACAAGGCACGGTGGCTTGCATGATCCCGGTGGCGAAACCGATCACGATCTGTTGCGAGTTAGAAGACATCACCGTCAGTCTCGCATGGCCGGCGAGCATGGTTTGTGATGGTATTCACCTTGCTCCCGAGCCACATCTGCCAAGTCGTGGCGATCACTTCTAGCATGACGCCAATCATGGTGAAGAAGATGACCGAGTAAAGGGTCAGGCGTCGACCGAAGCGATCGTTGCATTCTCCGCCGGTGAATTGACCGAGAACCTGAAACGTGGCGAATAGGGCACCCCAGCTGCGATAGCCAACAACATTCGAGGGGTCAGCGGCCAGAGCGAGAGAGGGGCGATCTTGAACAGGCGACATACATGGTCAGAACTTTGGCTTCGACGGCATATTTGCCGTCTGTCTCGGACCAGACTCCGAACAGCTTATTGAAGGCGGTGATACCTAGCAGGTTGCCAGGAAGGGAGAACTCGACCCCGACAATGATCGCGTTCGACTGTGATGCGGCGAGGGTATGTCAGATCATCATTGAGACCAATCGCTTCTGTTCAGGCGTATCAACTTACCTGCACTGCCATGATCAAGGCCAACGCTTTAGGGTTCTCGAGCAAGACCTTCCATGGGTTCCTCCCCTCGCTCAACGTGTCCAGTCCTCCTTGCTGTAAAGCGGTAGGTTCGACATCGGTGACGATCTTGCCATCCTCGACGTGGTGTAGCTCTTCCTTTTCGTCGTGTCCTTGATACTTCTCCATGGGCTCCATTGTGGCGATCTTGTTGAAAACGGGGAGAGAGGCGGGCGCAACGAATGATCAGCTTAAAGAAAGGGGACCCGGATTTCGATCATCGCGTTTTCTTCTGCGACAGGTTTATATGGACGAGCACAGGGAGACCCCATGGGACAACTCACAATTTCGAGACTTTGAGATGTGGTATCTTTGTACCGAACTGCGCATAAAAGCTGTCGGTACGAACAACTTCGGTCCATCTCGCCATGCCTGTGGCGTTCTCACAAAGAAGCGCAACGTGCCAGTGCCGCACTCGCGGTCTCTACCCGCAGACCTCGGGCGTTTTCTCAGGTCGATCACGGCCCCCTTGGCGATGCGGCATTAGCCTCGCTTAAGTCGGTTTCGATCACCTGAGCGAATGCGGCACGATGATACCCCTTGGATGTGAACTTTCAAGGTCTGGCAGGATCACTGTCGTCCGTCGACAACGTCGAATTTGGTTTGAACAAGCGGGGACAGTATGGAGACGATCGCTGAAAGACCCTCGTTGCATGTTCTTCCCGTCGGTGCAGGAAGGGTCGAACGGCACGTCGTAAAGATATAGCGAATTGCCACACGGCGGTGGTCGGTTATTCTATTCTCGTATCGGCAGTGACTGCAAGGGGGCTCAAAGTCAGGCCAGACAAGCACCTAGCATCCGAAATCAGAGCTCGACCTGAGAATGGCATAATATTTCCAGGAATAGTCTAGGCCTGCGAAGCTTTCTTTCGCGCGAACCCATTTCAGTGCAACGACCTCTATTGGTAACGGCCCGAGTCGCTGTAACAAGCTGGCATGTTGGATTGCTTCTGTGAGGAGCGAGTCTGGATGTCGCTATCTGACGACATATTCTGATGTGATCCGTAGGACCGTACTATTGCGGCATGATCCTATACGGTATCGCGTGTTCTTCTTCATCTTGATTCGTTTGACAGACACCGTCTTCTGGATCCGACACGCCCTTGCCGAAAAGCCTACACCTCAATTCGCCCGACCCAACAATCCCCCAACCTCTCGTTCTGATCGTTCAATCCGCCATGGACAACGACCTTGCCGCCCTGACCCTCCACCTCGCTCCACCCAGCTGCGAACCAGCCTCTTGCCAGGGGAACCTTTTCTGCATCCCCCTCACCCGTCTGTTCAAGCTCTTCGAACCCGAGTCCGAATGGGTTCTCCTTTGAGACGAGGTCGTCCCGACGAATCAGGGCCCAGGCGTCTTGATGGAATTGTCCTGCACCGGCGTGACCCAAGTGAGCTGGGGCGGGTCCTCGTTCTCCGAACAACATCAGCGCGAGGATCTTCTTCCCTTGTCCACCCGCAATCTGGACGGGCGAGGTGACGGGTACCAAAGCGTGCACGCTCCGAGCTAAAGGATGCCCCTCTTCTCCCTCCCTGTTCGGCATCCCGATCGAGGTCCATTCGTCGATGTCGACATGGAAGATGTCGAGCTGAGAACCGAGTTCGTGTCCGGCGAACCCGCCGTACCGGACGAGCACCTCCTTGTCGTCGAGGTTGAGGGGGCAGAGGACGGTACCTCCTCGACCGGGTCCGGGGGCGGTAGGGTGGTTGTTCCACTCGAGAGACGAGGTCGTGATCGAGGTCGAGTTCGAGGTGATGGGCAACGAGTCTAGGTTGGCGGATCGGCCTACGGCAGGACACCCGGCGTGGACTGTAGGTTCCGAGAGATAATACGATACGACCCAGCACGATTCGAATCAGCCTTCCGGAGCCAGGCTGACAAAAGGGAGACCTCCGAGATGATAGCTAGAAGACCACAAGCAAGATCAAGACTCACTGTATAGCATATCGCCTGAGACGGCCATGGCGTGATAACTCCTCTCTTCAACACTCTTGCAGCCGCCCGCGCCCTCGACGTCCTTATCCTTGTTGTCATTGGTGACAGTACGACACTCCCAACCAGCCTCGGTAGCGGCGGTATCGTATACCCAGAGGTCGGCGTTACAAGCTGTCATCTCTTTCGACTCCCTGCCTCCCCAGAGGAACAACTTCGGGCCTGAAGCTGTGAGGGCTGATCCGACCCGGGCGGACGGTCTGAGTTTCGTTGAAGCTGTTTGGACATCCCCGGCTGTTCGGCAGACAAGTACCCAAAGTTCTGAATTAGCTGTGCGGTCAAGACGAGTCGAGACACCGATATTATCCGCACGTGCGTGATAAAAGATGACGAGAACTCACTGTCCAGGTCGACGACCCAAAGCTCGTCATCCACCGGTTCCCTCGGTTTAGCCTCTCCTCCGTAGACGTACGCCTTGTTCCCTACGACGGCGAGATTGTTGGACGATCGTTTCAAGGCTTTCTGGGCGGTGGGGTTGTTAGAAGCCAGAGGGAGTTGTTTCCATACGAGACGCATGTTGTAGGCCTAGTAGTATCTTTCGGGCGGTTGGACGATCGGGTTGGAAAGTGACTTGGGATCTGGGTTGTTGTTCTTGTTCGCTCGTCCTCGGAGTAGTATGAAAAGCAGTAGCAGCAAGAGTAGGTAAGGTGATACCGATGCAGGTTTCCGATTCCCTGTTGCCGACATCGTCGTCCGTTGTAGCTTCAAGTACTACTGATACTGATTCGACGGGACCAACACTTCTTGTACTTGGCAAAGGTCGACGAGATTCCGTTCCCGCCTCGGTGACCTTTCCAGTCCTCTCTCCGAAACGAGTCTTGCTGGGTGGCACGATGGTTGATCCTCCGATACTCAGAAATGAGCCACGTACCATAGATTGTACGAAAGGTTTCCGTTGCATCTTACGATACATATGCGCCGTGAACACGACGAAAACCCGCGGCAAGCACCGCGACCACTCTGGATCGAATTATATATGCATACACGTATATATGGACATGGAGACTGGCTATGCTGGCTATACAGACTTGACGGGAACGGCATTCTCTTTGCTAATTGCTAACGATGTTGAGGAGATGATTATAATCAAAAGTATGGAAAAGGTCATGGGCCCTCTTGTATGGGAGCCGCGGCGAGCCGTCCCGGGAGATCGGAAATGTTGATAGTCAATGACGATAAAGGTGCGCAATCCACGGGCGTGTGTAATGGATGCGTCGATGCGAGTGAGCGGACAAGACGAGCGTGATGCTGTGCGACGTCGAGGCAGTGATGATGCTGATGAGGCCGATGATGTTGTTGTTGATGGTTTGTCGACGACGATGCCGATATGCGTTCCCGCCGTCCGAGCTCTTGCCTTAGTGAACACCGATGTAACGGCTGACGAGCTCCCGCTGCATGGTCGCCCTCTGTATAGGGGTCAGGGCTTGGATCTCAGCCCTGCCGACTTCATGCCCGACTTCGCCCCCGCCTTCGACCTCGCCAGCAGTTTCGACCGGTTCTAAACCGAATCTGGCCGCCCAAGTTGCCAACGCGACTTGGCTGGCATCTGTGACCTCCGATGCCCATCGGATATTGACAAATATCCCTTCTTTATCTAGAAGTGGTACTAGAGGTATAATACCTCCTCCAGGATGGGTTCCAACGAGTCTCTAGCGGGTCTTATTGATGGCTTTTGCCCGGACATTGTAGGCCATCTTGTCGAAAGCCTCTGTCAGATCTTGGATGTTCAAGGCGAGGTCATCGACACCGTCTTTCGTGGCTAGGTTCTCAACTCCTTGTTTGATCAGCTCTTTGACGCTAGCCTTCGTCGCTAGGTCCTTCACCGCTTCTTTGACGCTGTCCTGAGGAGGTTTTCGGGTCGGGTCGGGCCTCAAGGTCAGGATCGGACCCCTTAAATGATAAAGACACTTCACAGCTCACCTTGACAGTCGCTTCGACACTGGCCTTTGTAGCCAGCTCTTTGAGGTCATCCTTCGTCGCGAGGTCTTTGATCGAGTCGGCTAGCCGAGTGAGTGTATCGTTCATCGCCAGGTATTCGGCCCGGGTTGGACCTCTCGCCACGATGTAGACCCCGAGAAGGTCGTCGACGGTGGGTAGGACGGGCTGTACCGGAACAGGAGGGACGGGCTGTACCGGAACAGGAGGGACCGGAGGCTCAGCCATGGTATGGTCGTGATAGGATATCGATCGAGGGTTGTCCTTTGATGAGGTGTCGCTCCGAGAGGTGTCGATGAAGAAGGTGTCGCTCCGAGAGGTGGCTTCAAAGGAGGTGTCGCTGTGAGGGGTGTCGCTAAAAGCTGAAAGAGATATCGCTGAAAGAGCTGTCCGCGATCCGAGGTACGATACTCGAGGGGGCAACCGCGGTTGAAGCTTCGATATGGACGGGTGAGGGAAAGGTGTGGTAGTCGGACGATGAATCAGCTCAGATCAGATCAGATGGTGTGGGTCTGTGTCGTTGTTGATGTTGGTCGTTCGTCGAGTGTCGTCACAATAACGAATATGCGATTTCAAGAGAAAAGACCCCTCGACCTCAACATCAACGCCGTCGTCGGAAATGCGTTCATCAATCATCGATGATGATACGACGGTTGCTCCACCTCCGCAACACAAAACTATTACTACAAACACCCCATTGTGTCCATCTGAGGGATGTTGATTCGCCGATGCCGAGACACCCCGACGTCCCCATAGAACCGGCCGCGAACCGATTGCTTCGGAGGTCGAGGACGGGTTGTCTGACTTGGTAAGAGTCGCTTTGCGAGCTGTAATGTATCTCCCTAGTCATGTTTGCTGATTTGGGTCCATTCGAAACTTCTTGCTCTGTAGTCGGAGGAGAAAGTATGTAGCACCTGAATATGACAGGGGTTCATCAGTCGTCGTGGTCAGGAGCTGATACGAATTGACATCCTTTCGGCTTGCAGGAAGAAGTGCCCGGAACAAGTACGTCCCGCTCCATCCTCCAGCTCGCTGCGAGCTCAATTTTCGACTACATGACCTTGGGCTGACACAATCTACCGATTATCTTTCAGTACGACGATTCGGGCGATTGCGAACGTTGCAAAGAAGGAGGTTGGCGGTGCATCAGACCGGGACAGGTCGACTGTAACACAAGATCAAGAACAACAATAACATCGTCATCAACGCCGATACCGACCAACGGCTCGGTCCAACCTCTTAACGCTCCCTGGACTCCCTTTACGCATACACATACACCTGCATCAGAACTAGCTTCCTCTCACGATTACACGACGGAGCTTACGAGCACGACCATGACCACGGATATCCCGTTCCCAGTACCCACAGCCGCACCTGAAAATGTCGACTGGACCGCCTTTTTCGACGATCTGATTGGGAATGGCACACAGCGGGTTGTAGCGGGTCCGAGTGGGCTCAACGGGAACGCCGATTTTGACGATGGTGATAGAAAAGTGAATGGTGAGACAGTCACGCAGACGCTGCTAAGACCTCTGGGAATACCGACTTCGACTTCGATTTCGACTTCGGCTTCAACGCCGACGCCGACGCCGACAACGATGCCTTTGCCTTTCGACCCGGCTCGGATGGGGTCGATAATGACGGATACGCATACGGGTCCTTTGCATTTCGGCAAGCTTTCTGAATGGATACTACAATCCGGACAGGTGGAGGGTGAGCTGTTCAGAGTTCCGTCTAGTGATCGGTTACTGTGATGACTGACCCTACAAAGTTTGGCTCGACAACGGTAGATACAGCGGCCGGTTTACCAGAGCCGGATCTTTTCTCTCAATACCTGGCCCCTCTTGATGACAATAGCGATAATACGGCATCGATCTCTCTACTTCCTGATCACAACTCGATACATCAGAATCCCGGCTGGTCAACAAACGTGCTTTCGGGAATAGCTCTGGAAGAGAACGTGAACGTCTGGACGATGGGCTCGAAAATAATACCGTTCCAGCAACATGCTCAGGCCGATGATGATCTTTCGGAACGATACGAAGCTTTGCTCGTCGAATTCTGTGAGTCATCAAGAAGTCCTGACAACAGATACCAGCCTTGTCCGCATGTTGAACCTGGAAACCTCGTCTGACCGAACCCTTGTTTGTGATCTCGTCACATAGACGCCAACTATGTGATACCCGCGTGGACCGTCACGTACACTCGGCAGGCTCGAGCTGGATTGGCAGAAAGTTGTATGAAGATGACTTCGTCGTGTCCCGTTACACGGACAGCTAGGAGGGCCGTCTCTGCGACCTGTAAGTACATGTCGATTGCTGTACTAGAGAGCTATTCGCCGACTGATCCCGCTGCCCTCGATGCTAGTCCTTCAGATCTACAAGGAACGCAAGACGCAATGGCCGATGGGAAGTTCGTCCCGCCAGGCCGCTCTGGACGCTCTTCCTCCGCATTACCTGGTCCCTACGATCGACCCCAAGCCGATCTTGAAAGCGGGTCTGGCTTTGGTATATCAATCAGGGTGAGCGCTGTACGACCAGGTCTTCCGATTAGATGTCGTTGTTGAAGGTGTCTTATTTCGCCAAGCAGTCACGAAACGGATCCTTCTGCTTTGCTGTGGGCACTCTCGGATCTGAATGTGAGAATCGTTGTTCGTCCCGTATAGCGTTCCACCTGACGGCTGACTCTTGTGCATCCGATCGACAGATGGCAGCCCACGCTCTTTCCGACGCCGACAACTTTCACATCACCAACCGCCTCGCGAATGACATGATCAAGGACGCGCTGGCGAAACCGGGGATGTTCGAGATCAATTTCCCTGACTGGGATTCTTTTGCCTTGCGAGTCGCCAGCATGGTGGATCTCAATGTCTGCTTGACGAATCGACAACGGACGGTGTTTGACTATTCAAGTGTGGCGACCCGGGCGTGGCCGAGAGACATGTCGCTGATCTGTGACAAGGAGACGACTGTGAGTACGCTCATCCAAGGACGGCGGTGTGTCTGGGCGAGACCGACAGGCTGACGTGGTCTTCTACGCTCAGTGGTTCGGTCTTCCTCCGGGCCTATCCTTGTTGCTTCTCCGGGTCGCCAATATTACGGCCGACGGTCACGCCGCTTCACAGCTCGGTCTCGCTCCGTCTCCAAGCTTGATCGAACAAGCGAATCGACTCGAAACCGAGTTGATCGAATACCAGCCGAGGCTACAGGAACCTGCCCCGCAAGGATCGACCGAGCCGTTTGAGGTCTCTTCGGCGGAAAGAGCGGTCGAGATGGACATCTGGAAGACTACCGGACTAGTTCTACTTGACCGGCTAGTGAGAGGCCGCGCCGTTCTCGAGCCCGTCTTACAAGAACGTCTCGAAGATATGCAAGCCATGTTGCAGGCGCTCATGCTACTTTGTCGAGCCCGGGAACGCAAGAGTAAGAACTTCATAGACTTCTGGACCTCGTATTACAGCGGACCGGCGTTCCTCGTCGGCAGCCTAGCGGTTCATGAAGCCGATCGTCAGTTCTACCGCCGGTTTCTGCGCGAGGTCGGTCCGGAGAAAGCGCTGGGTAGCCTGTTGGACTTGCTGGAAAAGACGTGGACTGCCAGTGACGCAGCTGGTCATGTCTGCGACTGGTTCGATATGGTCGCTCAGTCCAATACACGGCCGCTGTTCTTCTGAAGACCCGGCATATGATAAGGAATTGATTGATACGATCGTTTTCGACCTCGTGGCGCCTCTGCGCGAATGCTCGGATAAACGGTGAATCCACCCAATTTGCCGCTGTGCCTCCGAGCCGATATGCACGGGGAACGGAGATCGCCGACGTCGTCACGCTCGGCGACATCATATATAGGCACACAAGGCCGGCGCCCCTTCAGTCTAGCAGCTCGCCTTGGCAGAAATTCCCCCCTTCCGCCAATATGGGAAACCAGCTTGACCTCGACCTAGAAGACGTCAAGCAGTATGTCCCGCCCGATTATCCGGCTTCGACGCAACAGCAACCAGAATGTCTCATCGGTCCCGTACATACCTTGCCCCGACGGATCGAGATCAAGTGGTTCATTGCTATCTACCTAGCATTGTTCACCGCAGGCAAGTTCGCGCCTCATGTCGTTGCGCTCGAATATCGAGCTAATCACCACCTCTTACACGCAGGCTGGAGTGATGCTAGTACTGGACCCTTGCTGCTGCGCATTCAGGATCATTATTCGGTCTCCTACACCGTCGTCTCGGTCATCTTCATCTGCAACTTTAGCGGATTTTTGCTGGCCGCCTTGACCAACGTGTGGTTCTCGGATCGATTCGGTATGGGCAAGACCACGCTGCTCGGTGCTGTGGTTCACGTGAGTGTTCACGAAAGTCGCTAGCATACACTCAATCCTGACCGTCCGACTCCGACGACGCCCGACAGCTGGCTGGAGGCGCGCTCATGGCCGGGGCACCTCCGTTCCCGCTCTTTGTTATCGCGTTCTGCATCAACGGCTTCGGTCTCGGCTTGCAAGACGCCCAAATCAATGGGTTCATCACACGACTCCCAAACGCCGGGTCGAGAATGTCAATCGCCCACGCGATCTACGGCTTGGGCGCGCTGGTGTCGCCTCTGATCGCCACCCAGTTCGCTCGTTCAACCTTCAAGCACTGGAACTTGCACTACGTGTGTTCGGTTGCGATCATGGCCGCCAACTCGGCTACTCTTGGATACGTCTTCAGGCTCAAGCGGGACGACGATCTCTTTGCCATCTACAACTATGTCCCGCAGGCTCAAGCTCATATCCATGGTCCAGTCGTCGTGACCGACAGCACGACAGAGGTGTGTTTCTACTTCGATCGGTCTGATGCAGTGCACAAGATGGGCCGTTGAACCAGGGATTCTTTCCACGACTTAGCATCCCTCAAGTCAACCCGATCCGCCTCAGACGGAAGGTGGCAATAAAGTGTCCCCATCGCATGGTACTGGGGAAAAGATGATGGCCATCGCCAAGACGCCCTTCGTCCACCTGGGCGGCCTTTTGGCGTTCATCTACGTCGGAATCGAGTTTACGATCGGAAGCTGGGCCGTCACCTACATCGTGGAGGTACGAGGTGGAGGTGACGATAGCGGATACGTCAGCTCTGGATTTTTCGGCGGTTTGATGGTCGGGCGCGTTCTGCACGTCTTTGTCAGCTGGGTGATCAGCGAGCAGAACGCGGTACTCGTTTACATGGTGGTCGCTCTCGGACTTCAGGTCGTAAGTCGCCCTGTTCTGGATGGCGATGCTACTGCACGTTCTGATCTTCGGGACACCTTCCAGCTCGTCTGGCAAGTCGACAGTATCCTCGGCAACGCCCTGGCATACTCGATGATAGGCATAGTCCTCGGACCGATGTGGGTCTCGATCGCTGTGGCCACCTCGAGCTCTGAGACTCATCTCAATTTGTCCAGCTTCCCCGTCTTGCTGAACGGCACGGCCGCCATGCTCGATTCGGAAATGTCTGTCGGGGCCATTGGCTACATCGCTGCCTTGGGACAATGCGGTTCTGCCTTGTTCCCTTTCGTCACGGGAACGCTCTCCGGGAGATTCGGGGTTGAAGCACTTCAGCCCTTGTCGGTCGCGTTGATCGGCGTCATGTCGTGTCTCTGGGCGGCGCTGCTCTGGCTCACTCGCAAGAGGTGGGCGAGAGCGCATAGGTTCTGATCTCGATGGCCTTGTGCTCTGGGTCATGCAAGACATATCGTCGCTATATCCAAGAGGCATACTTCCGACGCACCCAGGTGTCTCGACGTCAAAAGGCCCAGTCTAGCGATGACAATACATGATAGATCTCGATCGAAGGTATCTCATAATCATCGTCATCATCGAGTTCGACATGCCAAACATCCCCGTTACGCTCCTTCCGATCTACTACAACCCCAACATCTTCCTCCTCTTCTCCGCCTCCGTCTCCTCGCCCTCCTTTTTGATCGGAAGCGTCCTGATCACCCTAGCCGGGTTGCCTACGACGACGGACCGGGGAGGTACCGATTTCGTAACCACGCTGCCTGCTCCTACAAGTGCAAGTGTAAGTGCTCGACCAGACAAGACAGGGATAACAGTTGTTTGTGTTAGTGTTAGATTGCCAATACGGAGTGGGATTGAGGATCGAGAAGCTAAGAGCCGTCTATTCGCTTACCTACGGTCGAACCGTGGCCGATCGTCACTCCGCCGAGTACGGTGACGTTCCCTCCTAACCAGACATCGTGCTCTGCACAAATCGAAAGCGAAGTAAGGATCCACCAGAGCCGATAAGGGACAACAAAACCGCGGTCAGCGTTATAATCCCTTCCAAACAGGTTGAGGCAGGATCGAAACCTCGAAACCTCGAAACCTCAGACGGTACGGCACTCACCCAGCGTAATCGGGGTCGCCCATTCGACGTACGTCCGGCGTTCTTCCGGATCCACCGGATGGCCCTAAGCAAGCCCCAAACCCAAACCCAAACCCAAACCCAAACCCAAACCCAAGCCGAGGTCAGTCCGATGAAGGTGTTCACGAAACATTTAGAGAAAGATCAAAGCCTCGAAGCGTCGAAAGAAGAGATGACAAGAGATGGCTGGGCGGTGGGTGGACGTACCGGAGTGTAGAAGTGACACGAGGGTCCGATTTGGCATCCGTCCCCGATCTTGACTAGATGATGGATAGTGGACGCGATGACGGTTGTGCGTTGCGTAGGGAGAGAGTGAGTGAGCAGGAAAGATGGGTCAGCCCGATTAGCTGACGACATAGGACAGTGAGTAGATCAAGAAGCAGAGAGAAAGCTCACTGGGAGTGACGTCCAGAAACGTATTCCCTGGCCCGATGTAAACGTCATCTCCGATCGTCAAGTTGAAGACCTACCACAAAAAGATAGTCGAGGTGCAGGACCATCAGCCGCCTCTCCGGCCTTGTCAACTCAGTTACCCCTATCCGTGTCCAACTCACGTATTCGCAAAAGAACGGCAAAGCCACATAACAATTCCCCTTTCCTCCCAAATTCGCCCACTTCTTAAACAACTCCATCCGTCTCTTCCCATCCTTCTCCTCGTTGATCGCTTGGACCTTGTCTCGACCGACCTGAGCTTGATATTGGACGTGCTCGTCGCTAGCCTGGTAAGGGCCACCGGCGAGCATGGTCTTGAATACGGTTGGGTCGGCTTCGGCCATGCTGCCGATTCGTCTGGAAGAGAGATTTGTATAGGATCTGAGGGTAGCTACGGCGAGAGTTCAGCTCCTTTGGAATCTTGAATAGACATCCAAGCTGTCCCGTCGTGGTTTATATATCAGAAGGTTGCCATCATCGACCTGACCATCTTCGACTCGGGCTCCTGCGCGGCTCGGCGGGTAATCGATCTCTTGACCCTCTCTCTCTCGGATCATCTTCGGGGGAGAGAGAGACGAGCAATATTACGTCAGTCAATCCGGACATCGATGGTCGATGCATGGTACGCACAGGGGATCAGCGCGCGCCGGTTAAGATTTTTTGGGGTCGGATAAGGGTAGGATAAGAAGCGACGGTTAAGCATTTAGCTTAACGGGCTCTTATCCGACCCCCATGGATTTGGACGCGGGGGTCTTTTGCCTTCGTGGCGCCTGTCTGTAATATGATCAAGTCGATCATCACTTCTTACCCCTATTTCGCTGCAAGCCCGTATGCTAGTTGATAGTTAGTGGTACGATAAGACTACCATCATATTACCGTTCCAGATGTCGGTATCCGCCTTTCCAACTCCTCCCGATTACTCCAGCCGCAGTATCGCTATGCTTGAGGCCCAGGTGGTGAGCGAATTATCAGTCCCTTAACCGACTCTTATCCTTGCTCCTCAACAGCCCCTCAACAGACTAGGACTCTGCCTATGCAGCCACTGTTCCCGCCGAGGCAGGGTTATTACTGGAAGAAAATATCTGGCTCATATCCGGCGCTTAGCAGGAGAGGCAGAAGAGCGGCAGTACCTACTTAATGAAATACAGAACAGCCAACTCCCCCCCGCCGTACCACCTGATCTCGACATCCCCTCCTCACCAACTCAGCCCTATCACCCCCCTACTGAACCACTTGGTGGTACGTTAAGCCCCTCGCAATACGGCCCTTTTGATACCCCCTTCGATGGTATTTCGCTAGACGATCCCGGCCACCTTAATCAATCACCGACATCCGAAAACGACCCACAACGCACCCTTAACCCTCCAGATAACCCCCCCGATCTGCCCCCCCCTGAGCCAGCTCTACCTTATATCCCCGAGCTCCATGATTACCTGGACGATTGGCCCTACGACATACCTTCGGTCTTAGTCAATCCTTGGGATACCGAGCCCTTGTCGGACTACATAGGCCTCGACCAAGTCCAGGACAGCACAACCTTCATGGAACGCTTGATTTACACCTACGCTATTCTCATCGAAGCTGCGGGCGCAGCCAGAACCCTAATTCACTTCTTTCTCAGGGGGGCCCTTAACCTGGTCGATAGCACCCGGTTAATGGTCAACAGTGATGCACCCTCCCTACTCAGCGACTCGCCGGCACAAACCCTTCGGACTGTTCATCGGAAAACCGGCACCTATGTGCCCAATATCGTACACCCTGTGTGTCCGAATATGCTCTGCCATGAGGTTCTGTACGACGTCACATCACCAGTTTCATATTCAGCCGTTGGCTCAGCCCGACTACCGGCCAACCTGCCTCTTAACTGCCCCGCATGTGGCCAGGTAATGGACGGAGAGAAAGGCAACGTCCCCCTGGACTTTTCACGTATACCCTTACGCTATCAGCTTGAACGAGTTCTGGCTCATCCAGGTATGGAAGACCTAGCGTTTAACTGGCAGGATAGGCGTCAGTTAGCAGTCCGCTGGGACGAGGCCACTTGTCCCGCCGAGTCGATCTTGCATGACCAATGGGATGGTGAAGTACTTGAGCGAATCCTAGGACCGGACGGTAACCCACTCTTACACGACCCCCCTAGGCCTGGAGATGTCCCCGTTATCTACTTGAATCTCTACCTGGATTGGGTCAACCGTTCATCATCGATGATGTCGACGCCGTACTCTGTTGGACATATCTCACTCCAAATCGTCAATTTCCCGCAAGGTTTGAGGTCAGTTCAGAGTATGATAATGCCTATTGGCATTATTCCCGGTATGTATCTTTGCGCTCATTGCAACTTGTTCGATCTGCCAACATAAAATTTCTAACTGGCCCTTATCTTGCTGTCTATAGGTCCGCGAGAGCCCCGACACGTCAATTACCATAAATTCCTTATGCCGCTGGTAATGGAGTTACGCCAGGCTTGGTTTCAGCCAGTTTCGATTCGGACTCCCAAGTTTCCTAACGGACGGTTATGTCACCTTGCACTGGCCGCCGTGTGCGCCGATAGGCCTGCTGCTATCGGCCTGATAGGAGCTTCGTCACAAGCTCGTAAATCTGATGTGTGCACTCGCTGCCATGCCACACACGATCGTCTGGCCTTTACACAGGGTAAGTCTGACCAGACAGGGGTAGGATAGTTGTTGGATAATTTTAACGGCATGGACCTTAGATTTTCCCCTTCGCGATTCGCATCATCACTGCCAGGGTATCTTATTCGGAGAAGAAGCCGGCTTATCTGCCATACGACAGGCCCGTCAAGAGCACGATAACGAGCAGGCTGCTCTTTCCAACCAAGCCGAGGCTAAACGAAACGACTGGGCTCAGTTACCCCGAACTACTAGGGGACCCAAACCACCCCCTTATCGGCCCATCAAATTCACTTCAACCATGGCTAAAGAGGCCCTCAATCGGTCCCCTTATGCGGATGTTAAGGGTCACCTATCGGCCCTTATGTTGCTGCCGTATTTCGACAAGTTCAGGTGTACCGTCTTCGATGCCATGCATAACCTGCTTCAAGGCAACGACAAAACCTACCTCTGGAAGTGCCTTTGTGTGGGCAAATACGGGACCGTTAACGAGCCGGACAACGACGACGACTCTGAAGTCGATTCGACTGACGGGGAGCTATTCCCTGAGCCCATCGTCAGGCCGACATTTAACCCACCCTTATCGAGCACCATAGCACCTGCATTATCCCCCGCTGTTCTGGACGACTCAATGACCCTGGAGGAGGCCATGGCTGCATCGCAGGCATCCGCTGAACCGTCGACCTCCATGGCGCCTCCCAGACCACCCTCTAACCCACCCTTATCACGTCCGACAAGGGTCAACCCAACCAGACGGGCAAAAGAGGTCTTGAAGCCGGTCTTTACCCCTGCAAACCTTGTCGCCATAAGTAAAGCCATTCGTCAGGTATGGGATCCTTAATGGCGCCTTGTCTCGTCATACAAGAGGCTGATAAGCGTACGTGACAAGGTGGTGCTTCCTACAGGCATATATGAAGCAATCCCCTCAGGCTTCCTTGACATCAAGGGCGGAACCAAGACGTCTGCCCAGTGGAGAACCTGGACGGAGGTTTATGTGCCCCTTATCTGGCCAGATATCTGGCAGATGAACAGAAACATACCGCCTGGCCACCGAGATCATAACCCGGCTTTGACGGACAGCGAACTGCGGTGCTCCCTGCTCTTATCGGAGGTTAATGTGGTCGCATTGAGGCCCAATATCAGTCGAACACAGGTGGCCGTATTGCGGACTTTGATCCGGCAGTGGCAAGACCTCGTCTTCCTCCTACATCCAGGAATACAACGGACCCGTAACTGGCATCAAATCGCCCATATAGTGGACGACATACTGCTACATGGACCTGTGTATTCGACTTGGGTCTTTGCTGCAGAGCGCCTCGGCAAATTACTCAAGCAGATTAACACCAATGGTAAACAGATCGAAACTACCCTGTTACAGGCCCAATATCGGTCCGCTACGGCTGCTCTGCTCCATGCATTGTTAGTGGCCGGTGCAACAACTCCTGCGGAACGCTTAGCTGCCGCCAATCTGACCCGTATCAGGGAGGATACAACAGAACGGGGTACAGCAGCCGCAGAGTTTCTCGACCAAATGATCACCGATCTAGACGAACTCGAAACTGGGGTTAATCTGGCGTTCTCAGCGCCCAGTAACGCTACGTTAAAGCCCACACATGGAACCGCCCAAGCCATATCAGCTCGCGCATGGCCTGCAATACAGAAACGGCTCAAACTAGAAGATCCTGATCACGATTACTTATTAGAGGGTGATCCTGCCATTAACCGGCTGTCAGCCCGTCAGTTAATTGTCCGTCAAAAGTCGACCCGCTACACCGGACTCAAAGGCCCCACAAAGCGATTCCGAGTGTGGAATGACAAATCAGGCGATTATCGGACCTGTAACCTGGCAGAATACAGGGATACTCTCTTCCACTTTCAACAAATGGCATCGGTCTACGACCCTGTGAAAGTCGCTTCAGGTGACGATCTCTGTCTTATCGCAGGACTATACGACGTCGAGGTGACCAACCATGAGGCCGTTATCCAACAGCGCTTGTGGCTCATCTTCCGGCAAGCTGTCAGTTATGCGATGCCTCCCACTGCCGGCAATCCCTATCAATGTCTTATCGATCAGTGAGGAAACCCTTAACTGCCCCCTCAACGGATCGATAGCTGATGGTTAGCATACACAGCTCTCGCTTGGAGGTACGGTTGTACCAATCTAGAACATTTCGGCAATCTCTTGAGGCGATCCCCTTGGACGCCTTCATAATGGCAGGATTACGCCCTGTATCTCTGACCGAATTGAGGCCCGATAAAGGCCCGATAACGCATTCCTCGTCGCCCCCTATCTGGGCTGTTCAAGCGTGTACAAGAGTCTGAAGTCAAGGGACAATATTGATGGTATGGTCAAGGAGACAAACCGGACCGTTAACAAGCCTCTATCGGTCGCTATTTACAACCGACATCTGCCTGTCTAGATTAGTGCCCTTCCTCCTCGCCAACTTGTTGTCAATCGGGTATTAAAACCATCGGCCCTGCATAACAGCCTTGTATGTGGCTTGTAACTCACCCCTAACCTTGTCGTTTTGTATTTTCCTTTTTTTTGTAGTTTTTTTTTTTTTTTTGCGTAAGTCGATTCCCCGCTGTCGTAAGAATATAACGGGCCTTTACCCATCTCAAACCCACCCCCATAGACCATCGATCGAGCCTGGTTAAGCGGCCAGAGCTCCGGTCAACGCCTCCGCTTGAGCCTCCAGCGCGGCCGCATCAGCTACGGCGTACTCGACGGCCAGGGCCAAGATCTCGGCATTAGTCTTATCGGGCACTTGACAGGCCCTTAACTGGGTGGATCTCGCCCAGGTCTGCTTGTGCTCAGCGAGCGCGTTTGGACCGTTCACCAACTCCTCGAGCGTCGGTCGCTCTGCGTGACTTGCCGGTACAGGAGGATCCGGGTATATCAACGCCCACAAAGCGGGCTTTTGGGCCGCCCATATCGCGGCGGTTTGGGGTCGGACCATCGACCGATAAACAATCGCACCGGTAGCAGCGGGATCCGGCCTGGTTGGGTCGCCAGCCAAAGGTGCCCTTAACTCCTCCGTTTTGGGGTCGGTTTGAGGCCACATACGCCTTGGAGAGACCCATCGTGTGCGGTACAGGGGCTGGTTCCTGTTCTTCTCCTCAGACATTGCGTCGAGATAGGAAGCCGCAGCGATGCACTGTTATAGGAGACATATGCGGCAGGTTAAGCGTCGGTTTATGGCCAGTTAAGTAATGATTCGACTTACCTCGTCAGAGAGCCAATACGGCCAGTTCAGCTCATAACAACCGTCGGCCAGGGCTGCATTGCCACCGAAGGAGTATCGGCGCCATACCTTCCAGCTATCCGTCTCGATAAGGGCCGGTTGATTGGCCGGCTGTTGAAGGACGGGGAACCTTCGGTTCTGGCGGTCATCGCACTGCCACAACGTCGGCGAGAACAGCGGTGCCCTTAACAGAGCGTAAACTGGGGCCTTTCGACACAGGTTGGGAGGGGACTGAGGCCAGATCTTGTACCTGTCATCGGATATCTGTGAGGAAGTAACGGAGAGAGACAACAAGAACGACGGTAAGCCTGCATGATAACCGACCCTAAACCCACGTCTATCGTGTCTGTTAAAGGACTCACATGACCTCGCTTGCGATTCACCAGACGCGCGAGATGGACGCCTCCTTCTTCAGCACTCGTGGGACGGACGCCAGACCGGTTCTTGCAGTACTTGATAATGAGCGGTTTAAGGTCATTTACCGTGGGCCTGTCCCCGTTGGTCATCTTCCAGGTGTTGACGACGCGAGCGGCGACCTCGTTGACAAAGGGAGACCACCTGATCGAACGTTTATCTCGATGGTTAGTGGTAGGATAAAGGCATGATAAGTGATGTGCTGCTGACCGTTCTTCTCCGATCTTCTTCCACTCAGGCCTCCAAACGCTCCTTGTCCCACCCATAGCCAGTTCGACATCGATCTGTTGAGGGCCCGGTAAGCCAGTGTCCTCGTCGTCTTCCTCGTGCGAGGGCCATTCTCCATCCGGGAGATAACCTGGCTCGCTGATAGAATCACCGTCCCAGGTACCTCTCATCCCGATTAGTTCCTTGACAGCATAATGGCAAGCGTACTGTTGACAAGGTGTTAGCGGACCAGATAAGCGGTGGATAAGGCAAGTGTTAGCGGACCAGATAAGCGGTAGATAAGGCTACGCTATACTCACCGACCACTTGGTGTTGGTACGGGTGCGCGATCGCTTGTCTGGGGAGACGTGGGACGAGTGAGTGGGAGCCGGGGGATTAGCCGACTGGTTAGAGGTCCCCGAAGGGCCGGCTACAGGGCCGCTGTTGTTCAAGTTCGTGGGGTCGTTGAAGATCCCAAGCACAATCGCACGCAGCTCGGCATCGGTCTTGAGGGCGGACTTCAAACCGGACAGATTGATGCCTCTTGACGAGGGAGTTTGAGGTCCGCTAGAGGTCGGATTGGCATTGGCGGTGGACCCTAACGCAGGGTTATCGGACCCTTGGTTGAGGGCGCGTAAGCGGCGTCCAGTGTCGTCGACGTGATTGTGGAGTTGAGCCTCGATATCGTTGATCTTCGTCTCAAACTCCTCCCTGTCTAGAAGTCGACCTCTCGACTGGACCTGCTGCAGCATCGAAAGAACCTTAACCGACCTAAAACCGGCCACTAACTCCCCCGATAAGGCCACCAATTCGTCTAGGACGCCTTCGAGGGAATGGACGACCGACGATAGCTTCTGGGTGTTGGGAGTGGGGCCGACAGGTACGACCTTGTCTCGACGCTCAATAACCGCCGCGTAACGGGCCTCAAACAGCCTGATTTGGGCTTGGAGACTTTGGACGATGTCCTTAGGGGTGACAGTCGAACCGGTGATGTGGGGAAACCGACCCATATCCTGAGGTTATGGAGCACGTTAAGAGGTAGTTAGTACCCATCTAATTTCCTTCACCGAAGGAATCTGCTTACAGTGTCGGTTCGCGGCTGAGAGAGAGGCGACAGTGAGAGGGTGAGTTAGCAGTCATATAAGCCATTGTTAACCCCTAAGCTGACATACGACTTTGAAATTGGCTGCCCGAAGATCGTCGGTGGTTGCCTTGCGCTTCAAATTCTAAACCAAGCGTGAAGATGCCACAGTGTTATCAGAGTGGTTAAGCGTGTGATAGGAGATAGGTAGGAACATACGTTTTGCTGAACCGCCTTTATTGCTAGTCTGGCTGCCTTTCGTTCGGCCTTGGCTTTCTTCTTCGCTAGCCTCTTTGCGCCAGCCTATACGACACCGAACGGGGGAGTAAGCCACCAGATAAGAGTGCTATAAGACCGGCCTATGGGCTTACCTGTTCGACAGTCAATAGCTCGTCGGCGGATATGTCACTACTATCGGCCGGGTTTGTAGTCGCATCGGAGTCGGTTAACTCATCCACCTCGACGGTGGGGTTGTCGAGGTTGGGATCGATGCCCTCTTCTTCAAGCTCTTCACCTGTAGGTCGGACTGTAGACAGGTAGCGGCAGGATATACGGTCAGCTAAGGGAACGATATGGGTTAGTTAGAGAGCGTGATATGGTTCTGAACTGACCCGGCTGCTTCCCCTTCTCAACACGAATGACACCCGTGTTGGGAGCACCACCACCTATCGGAGCAATAACTGACCGTAAGCGACCTGGCCAAGAGACAGTTTCGGGTAGCTTTTTACTTACCTGCAGCAGGGTTCTCTTCTAGATGAACATGATGAGGGCAAACGTGGTTGTTAATGTGAGTCGATACGGGTGGTATAAGTGTTTGTTAAGGTACTGACGGGTTCCATCATTCTGACCGACATGAGACCACCCCGAGGACATCAGTCAGAGTCTAAAGCGACTGGATAGATGCAAGGTAAGGGGTACATACAGCAGACATCGTTTGCAGTGGGCTTATACTTGTTTTTTGGCTTCTTCGTGATTTTTAGGCTTCTTCGAGGTTCTTGGTGAGTTTTGGGCGTAAACGGACTGTTGTTGGAGTGAAAACGGGGTCGTGAGGGGTTCGTAAGGGGGTCGTTAGGTCGTACACAGGATTAGGAGAGGTAGGGGGGACTAGAGATGTCTATAGGCGTGTTTTACTTATTACTGAGTATTGTAGTAAGTATTTTAGCTTCTCGAGTCGATTGTTGCTTATGTGGGGCTCGACGCGCTTGCGATGACGCGTCAAACGCGTGAGCCAAACAGAAGCGCGTGTACGTACGCGTATAGAGGGCTGGCTAGCGCCATTTAAGGGGGTCGGCAAAGGGGTACGTTAAGACATTTCTTAACCGGCCAGTTAAGAGACGTCCTTATCGGACCCTTAACCGTGACGCGTGACCCGCTGTGACGAGCACCGTATGGCTCATAGATCTGGCAGGGTTTCAAGTTCAGTCATTCGAAACTCAGTGTACCAATGCAAGGACTCGGCTCCGACGTCGAGGAATAAATCGAGTGGATGATCGTTCGAGTCATGCGAGTCACGAGTAACGCCGTCGACTGGGTCCGAGCGATGGGATGCTGTGGTGGCTGTGCCTCGATCGCAAGGTATATATACATATATACATGTAGGCCAAAGTAAGGTCATTTATCGTCGGATTCGATGGCTCATACCGGAGGCATACTCACTTTCCCAGTCGACCTCTCTTCCAAATCTTAGTCCGAGACGGGGCGAGATGCACCTAGATCATCAGCTCCCCTGGAACGCCCTCGCTCGGCACATCACCCTGAGCCGATCAAAACGGGACTCGGCGTTCGACCTGGATCTACGTGTTCAACGATCACCAGCGCAAGTCAAGGCGTATGCGCACTTTGTACACGTGTTGTCGAAGACAATAGCCGACTTTGCTAGGACGTTCCAGGATACGGGCGAGGATCACGTCGAGGCAGGTCAGAATGGAGATTTGCTCTCCAGTGATCTGGTGGAATACCCGGAAAAATTCGGCCTAGGCCCGTATATGACCAACTCCTTACGCTCGAACCCGCTTTGCGAGGAATACCGTCATATCGAATACTGGATCCAACGAGCCCGATCCCCGCAAGGAGAAGATGGAGAAGAGCCGTCGACGTACACCACGGCCGATGCCGATCTTGCCGACGCTGTCAAGATGCTCTTGACCATCGCAGCCCGGGCGGGCGTTGACGAGAACGCAGAGGACGAAGAATCGGAAACGATGGCCAGGGAGGCGACAAGGGCTTTATTACGTCTCGCTCGACACCGGGATGTACCTCTCATGTACCTCGCCGGTCTACACTGGGGTCACGGGTTCGGGTTCGACCTGGCCCCATTGACGGCTTTGGAGATCTACTTGTTGATCAACACGATCGAGAGGACGATCATCAACCGCAAACCCCCTGTGGTCAGAACCTCGGCTGGGGAGAAGGTCGTCCTGCCCAAAATCGGGGAAGAGATCTTGACTCGAACACAAGCCTTCGAGCGGTTCATCGGGAACGCCATGTGCGACTATGATTATCCGGCCCAGAACGTCATGCACGAGGCGTTCTGGCGAGAACTGGGATGGGATCGGGACGAGAAGAGCCGAACGGACCCGCTCGTACAGGTGCCAGGCTCGTTACAGCCGTACTTGCGAGCCTGTTTTCGGTTACTTTGTGTGTATCACTTGATGCGGACGAACGCCGAGCCGAGCGTCGATATGGACGCTGTCTGGAAGGAGATGGTAGATGGGGTCTTTGTATGGTGGGGTAGCGCGATGATATATTAGATGAGGCACTCTCGTAATTGACAAGCGTCGGGGTCGTCCTCCCGGTTCGTGAGGCTTTCATAACAAAGTGACAAAGGGGAAGTGTGCGAGCAGAATACGTAAGGTGGTCGTGGGGGGAGGGGCGTAATTGTTCGTAAGGGGAGAGCAGGAGATTCGTAAGTGGCGGAGGAAGGGCATTCGTAAAGAGGTTATGGGAAACGGTTCGTTGTGCAAGTTGCTGGTTTGGCGGGAGCCAGCGAAAACGATGCGAAAGATTGTTAGTAGCTGTGAGTCCAGGAGCAAGGTCGAGGTCATGAGCATAGAGGATGCAGTCTGGTTCGAGCTTGATCCTCACGCGTGTGCATCATTTGTCCATGGGCGAGGGCGTCTCCATTTGCTGTTCGGCCTTTGGTTGCCTAAGGATGGAAAACCATGATGAGTCGATCTGGCCAACAGTATCGGCTCGGGAACTTACTGAGCCACTAGCTGGACGGCCCGCGCCTCTTCCAGCTCGCGCCGGCGGTTGTCTCGGGATTCCTTGGAGACATGCTTGTAAGTGGCTTTGCAGAGCCGCTCGAGAATTCGCTGGTAGCGATCCTGGGGTTCGGTAGTCTTGGCGTTCAGGCTATCGATGAGGTCCAAGAGGGATATCAGTTCATCGAAGTCCAGCGCGCCATCCCCTTCGTTCTCGATCTCGTCGCGGATCCACATGCTCAGAAGAACAGCTTCGATCCCAATCGAATTCCACTTCGTATCTAGCATCCATCGCCAGGTGCTGAAATGTCGACTGATGAATGTCAAAGCGTGAGACAATGCAGGACCGCTCAAGAATTGCAAGTTGGGACTGACCTAAAGGTGACGGAAGGCTCGATGGAATAGATGGTGAGCGATGTATTGGGCTTTGTGGCACTGCAAGATGGATTGCAATCAGTACGTCGGGTCAGTAACACAATGCGGAACACGTTTGCGGACTCACAGCCGATGACCCTGTTTCAGGACGATCATTCGTATGTTCTTCTTGTCGTCTTCGATGAAACATAACAATTTGCCGGTGATGACCAAGAGCTCTCGGGCCAAGGGCGAGGGTGGGTGAATGGAGAAGTGACCGGCAGTGCGTACAGTCTTTCGCGACCCAAGGCTGATGAGGGGCAGGTCTGTCAGATACGCCGGTAGAAGAAAAAGAGCTAGGCGGGACTTACAGCTCGAGTTCGGCAACCATACCGTCGTCTTCCTCAATCTCGAATCGGTAAGCATCGCTTGTGAACATCACTCGTTCGTAGCACCAATGATCCGTATGAGGTAAGTCGATCATAGAGGTTTCCTCCAGAAGTTCGAGCATGACCGAATCGCCATATGTCCAGGGAGGGCCAGGGATATGCCTCGACGGTATCCATTTCTGCCAAGCCGTTTCGAACCAGTCTTCAGCCAGCGTCTCGTCGACGTAAGAGACCGCACTGTGTGATTCGAGGAGTGGCTCCTTGCTATAATAATCATGTCGGACGATAAGCTAGATTGCGGCTTGCGACCTCGACAGTACTCACGTAAATGTCTCCCATGATACATCAGCGCTAATGCTCGGCTTCCAGTGAGCACAGCCGATCAACTCGACCAGTGCTTCCCGATGTCCTTCTGCGGCTTCTGGCATCCGAATGAACCACCCTGGACCAGCAATGAGATGGCCAGGGAGTCCTGGCCGGACGAGACGGGTTGCATCGAAGAATAGATCGTAGCCGTCCCATTTTAACTGGGGCTTGATCACGAGAGCTTGATCCTTCTCGGGTCGAATAGGGGACTTCTCAGTGGTATCAGATTGACAGTGTTTCTGGTCGCCATCACATGAGGAAGTGGTACGATTCGAGCTGGAAGGAGAATGAACAGCGGTACTATCATCGATTGTGACCGGATTTTGTAAGGTCTGTTTATTGTGGTTTTTGGCGGAAGATCGGGTTGAGTCGATAATATCGGTTTGTCTTCGTTCTCCCGCCAGTGTGAAGGATGTACTCTGATTGAGGTCAATGTTGTGGTGGCTGTGGGTTTTGGTAAATTGATGGTTCGAGCAGAGTTGGTAGCGTGACCTTTCTCCCAGGCGATCAATGTCGGATCGATCTCGTTCGTCCAGGTCTTGATCGGGGGCAGCAGCAATTCCTCGGCAAATGTAGCAGTCGTAAGTGTTCGTGAATGTCGCAGGCGGAGAAGAAGGGATGGATGGAATTGGGGAAAGGGTAGTCGTCAAACCGGTGCCAAACCCGGAAATTGTCAGGGAGAAACTAAACATGATTGAGAGCCAGCTGAAACCAGCTGTTGGCGGCTTCGTCGTCTATCTCGATATAATTCTAATATTAATCGATCAGTCCGCACCGTCTTGCGGAGAGCTTGGTCGATGTGATCGGCCTGATCTCAACCTTGAGCAGGTCAAGGGATAGTAGGACCGTCGAGATAGAAGTAAAACATGAAATATGGTCAAAGTCGCAGGATCTTGCTTATGTAATCTTGGACATGGGTGTTGGCCGTTGAGAATAGGGCAAATTCGATGTGGAGATCGTCCGAGAGTACATACGAACACAGCAAGGCGGTCATTCGCAAGTTGCAGCGAAACCAAAGATACAACGGGGACCGAGGACCCGGAAAGACAAACGGATCATCGCGGTACTTCGGATTGACATTCCCGAAGTCGACATCGATACCCAAGACACAACCCGGGTGTCTACCCTACCTGCCTGTTGTTTCATGTCGACGATCACGGTTTGTAATCTCTGAATACGTTCGTCTCGTTTGCCGTCGCCCGACACAGGTGTCCGTCTTCAGGAAGAATCCCACGTTCAAAGTAATCGGTCAAGACCCCCGACCAGCACCTCTGCGGCCAGGCGAGGTAAGAGTGGCCGAACGATTCCGTGACGACATGACGAGACATGTTGCCGTACAAGGCGGACATCTTCTCGCCAGAGATCGAGGGGGTGATGGGGTCGTAGACGTTGGACATGATCAAGACCGGGTTCGCGAGGGTGGTATTCCACGGGCCTTCGAACCTCTCGGCGGGCTTGTCGCTTTGAGGCCAGAACTGGCAGCCGCCGTGTTGTTCCATCATGGCCACGGTAGCTCCAAAGGTAGGCGAAGTTTCCCTTCTGATCCTCTCCAGCCGACTAGCCATCCCCTCTGGGGTGGGCAACTTTTCGTTCTCTCGGTATCTCGGCGCGTCTGCACAGCTGACTGCCAATCGGCTGAGGTCGCTCTGACCCGTCTGGCCGAGTCTGACCTGGTTCAACACGGACGTCGGAGGCAGCAAGAAGTCCCGGAGGGCCGTCGACTTGGAGTTGTACATCGCGTCGGATAGGGCCGAGGCGAACGGTTTCCAGAGCGACGGCAGTTGCAGCGTCTGGAAGAGCGATTCTGCAAGGTTGCGGGTAGCGTACGTCGTCAGCAGCAGTACCTTTGGAGTATCGACCTGATTCGCCCAACTTTCACCGTCACTCACGTCGGATATATCCACTGGTAACCAAACCGGGTCTACGAGCCTCCCACGCAGCCAACGGCGCATGGTAGACGTCCTCGAGGAACCCGTCCACCCTCCTCTGTATGTCCCTCCAACTGTGATCTCGTGACCGGACGAGCGGACAGTCGGTCTGTCCAGCGTCGTAACATGCCCGGTAGAATGCTTCGAGCGATTTCTCGGCGTCCGTCAAGAGTACGTCGAGGAGGTCGTAGGATTCGTAGTGTTCTGTCGCCCACCTGATGGTCGAGATGGCGTAATAGTATATCGGTCAGGGTTAGGAGGCAAGGACGGGTAAGGTGAACAAGGTACAAGGGAGTCAGCGAATCCTTCCGCTTTATCGCATCCCAGAAAACCCTCCTTCTGATCACGGCCTGACTGAACGCCTATCGAGACTCACATGACGGGATCGGCCACTCCATGAGCGACGACCTTGCCCACTTTCCCAGGCAACATTCCTAACAGGTAAGCCGCCCAGATCGTCCCGTAACTCCCACCTATCCCGTTGATCATGGCCTCGGGGCCTTCGAGCACGGCGTTGATACGTTCGGTATCCTTGATCAAGGTCGTCGTCCCCAGGTGTTTCAACATTTCGGCATTGGAAGTGTTCGAAGAGGCACAGCGGGATGCTTGGAGTTTGTTTTGGGCGAGGAAACGTTCGAGTTGGAACGTCAGGATCGGGTCCGGGCTGGAGGACGATGAGGAGGAGGAGTCGTTGTGGTGAAGCTGGAGCCGGGGGAGGACCTCCAAGCCTAACTCTTCGGGCATGTTTGCCTTGACGACCGATGCTTCCAATTCCCCGCCCCAACAATCCACTACGGGCCTCGTCCGACCGATCCCTCGAGGGTCCCAGGAGATGACGTCGAACTTGCCTCCGATCGAGCGGTGGATGTTTTTGCCGAACGTGAAGGACGAGGTGTAGCCAGAGACGCCTGGGCCGCCGTAGTTGATGAGGACCGAGCCGAGAGAACGTTCAGGGTGGGATGGTGATGAAGAGGACGACGAGAGGGAGGAAGGGATCTTGGTCATCGCCAGGTGGGTCAGGCCGGCAGTAGGGTCCGAGTAGTCAGTCGGGACGCTGTGCTCGATGGGACGGGACGAATACCGGTAGAGGGAGACCGCATTGGGGTGGTAAAAAATGATGGGCTATGTCAGTCTCGAGTGCTGGTTCTTTCCTTGTCTCGACCAGAATCTCGCCGAGGAAGGATCACTTACGTAAAGACGGTACAGAACATCGAGTCATCTTCCTCGCAACGAGTCCACTTGAGGTTCTCGGCCGTGGTGATCTCGGGTGTCTCTTCTTCGCTGGACCGTTCCAATCGTCCGCTCGATCGAGTTCCGATGAAGGAGAGTGCAGCCAACAAGCTACCTAAGATCAGGGTCGAGGCGAGCAAGGCCAATTTCTTGCCCGGCGATGTTAATCGCCATGTTCTTCGTCGAAGACGTACATCGCCAGGAGGGATCAGGAGGCTAGAACTCTCCGTCTTCATCGTATCGTGTGCCCGTAAAAAAACGGATGCGAGCGTGGCTGTGGTGATAGCTGAGTGAGGCGAGCTTCATGATGTCGTACAGTCAAGCTAGGGATATATACCATATGTCATGGCGATCGAGGACGATGGCGAGAGTGACGAGTCGAATGTCGACCGCATGGGTCCTATCTGCGGCTCATCGGCCAACCCCGAATCGACCTTGGACGGCGGCGAGCATGTTGTCCGAGTTGCGTTGAAGTCGTTGCAGCTATTCACAGAGGCCAGAGGCGGAGTCGTGGTCACGTAGTCAAGGTCGAAGACAAGCTTGCTCAAGGTCTTTGTCGAATCGACCGGCCGAACCTGACAACTGCTCGGTACATGCCGCGTGTCAAGGAGCCGATCTTCAAAAGTTCATTCAGGTCGGGGTCGACGTCAGATAGGCTTGTGACATGCATAATATTCGTATATTGACACGGGTCGGTCGTAGAGCGACATAGCATAAGCCGGTCGTAAAGTGGCATTCTATCAACTAGGCGTAAGGGGGTGTCGTAGATCCGTAAAGTAGCATAATATTTCGTCGTAAAATCCTTCCTAGGCTTTGTCGTCATCGTCGGCGTCGTCGTCGTCGCCGATGAGAGAAACGGCTAGGTCAATGATCGCCCGAGCCAATCTGACCGCCGCCACGTTATCCTCGAGGCCCTCATGTCGTACCCGTGGATCTATGAAGCGGATCCACCGGCGAGACCAGACCGGTTCCGAGAGTTTCTGGGTACAGCGGGTGATGTCGAGGATGGCCTGAGGAGTCAGGGGCTTTGATAAGAGTGCTTGGATTCGGCGCTCCAGCTGTTCCCGTCCATGAGGCAGGTCAGGCCATCGCAGGGGCAGGTCCGAGTTGTTTGACGGGGGAAGCACGAAGCCGTGCAGGTCGATCTCGACGTCGCCTAGGTCGCCGTCGGGTCCACCACCCTGGTCCCACACGGCCAGGATCTGTAGTATTGAAGCTCGAGAGAGGCAGGGATCACCCGAGTGTCGAGCAGCTTCAATCCTCGCTTCTAGCCGGGCATGTACAATGTCCTTGCCGGCCAACTCCTTGTTCTTCTCGGCCAGCTCGTTCCTCAGCTCCTGTTCCCGGACCTCCCAAGCTTTGCGTGCTCGCTCGGCCTCGTCCCTCAACGCCCGCTCCAGGTCTCCCGAAGCCTTGCGAGATTGCTCCGCCTCGTCTCTCAACGTTCGCTCCCTCCCTCCTGCCTCTTTGACTTCGGACTCCAGCGTTTGCACCCTTTTCTCGTACGCTCGCTCCCTCTCTTCTGCCCGTTGCAACTCTCGCTCGCGGTCTTCGGATCGAATGGGGAAAGATGGCGGCGGCTCTAGGGTGCGTAAGGAAGTAGGGCTGCTTGTGGCCAAGGCCGTTGGGGTCGGGGAGAAGGATGCGGAGGTTGTCGAGCCGATAGGAGCGGCAGGAGTGGTCGAACTGGAAGGAGCGGCCGGGACCCTCGAGCTAATAGGTGCAGCTGAGGTCGTCGTCGAACTGGAAGGTACGGCGGGAGTGGTCGAAGATGATGGGACCGAGGCCGAGTTCCAGGCCGGGCTCCACAGAAGACGTTGACGCTGAGCGATCTTTGCCGCATCCCCGCCTTCTACACAGGGAGGAACGTCTCCAGCGAGCCTGATTAGAGAGGAGATTCCTTTGAGATTCATCGGTCGATATCTAGAGTATGTTGCACGAGAAGCTCAGTCTTGTTCCCCCCCGGCTCGGAACATCGTCCTGCTCACCTCAGATCACTGTAGAGCGCCCTCAACCTGACTACCTTCGGAGTATTCACCTGATGATAGGCCTGCCTCATCTTGAGCTCCATCTCCGACACCACTGCGGACCCCGCCACCGTATGAATCCCGGCAGGATGCTTGATAAACCCACATCCTTCACACACAGCCCAGTTGTTGTCAGGACCTGCTTCTTCTAGGTGAGGTCTAGAGGGGTGGATAGGGAAGCGTTGGTGGTACAGGGCATATTGGAGGGCATCAAATCCGGGGGGCTTCTTCGTCCACCAGTCCTCGACCTCGTGCTCGTACGCTCGGATGCCCTTTGGCGTGTTGGTGTTTATCTTATCCAGGGGGGCTAGCGGCATTGCGTGGGACCTGTGTGGTTTTGTATGTGTCTATATGTGTAGCATGTGCGGACTATACATCGCTATAAAGAAGACTCTCGGGGGTCGATCGAGAGTTGATATCGAAAGCTGGGTCGCGAGGTCGATATCTCGACGCGCTTCTCACCACCCGGCCTCGATCGATTCTTGGCAAATTCTTGCTAAGTCCCGCCAATTCTGGAAAAAAAATGCGATAGTTTCCCCCGTATTTTTACATTTTGGCTACGCTAATACGGTCGGTAAACCTCATAAACACACTTGAACCTGCAACTACGCAAGACTTGGATCAACCGAGGGCCATGTCGATTCGACGGCGGCGGGATCCGATGCTTACGATCGGGGCCTAGTCTACATAGGCGGGTTGCGCCATGTACCGACTGTGCTTCTGCAAGCGGTATTCGGTCCGAGTCGTAACTGGAGACGAGCCAGGGCCAAAATCGAATCAGTCTGGGTGATTTACGGGCGCGCACCACCTCGTTCCGGCGGTACAGACCTGTCGGTGACATCCCATTGTCTCGGCCGCATCGACCGGAACGTTTGCCAGCGATGTGAAGAGTCGGGAGGGCCGAACGTGAAGAGTTGGGAGGGCTGGATGTATGCCAGGCAGGTACACGGCACCGGTATGAGCTGACTGGCTGGCTGCAAACATAAGAATCTCGGTCGGACGTTGACTCACGATGTGATCATTCTCTCTTCCCACATATCCTCCGCCGTCCCACCCGGCTACCAGTCGGCAACGACCTGTCATACCCAATTCGCAGATCAGCACGAGAAGATCGTGACGTAGCCGAGATCGACGTACCTCCATATTGTACTACCAGACCCGTCCTTCTCGCCCGGTTTCCGCGGCAGTCGATGGGACCTGTCATCCCCAGCAACAAACGTCAGCTTGCAAACGCGAGGCCTGTCCCCTGCCAGTGGTCCCACGCTGGACGTACCTATCCACAAGTCTTGCATGGATATCCGCCCTCCATTCCTCGCCCTCGAGATACCCGATCCGTCCGACACATAGTCAGGCCCGACCTGGTGAAAATGGGGAAAAAGGCAGCAGGTCGAGACGTGAGATCGTGACGGTGCCGAGGGAGTCGTCAAGAGGATGCTTACCAGCGCGGGTGTCCCAAGTCATCCCCATAGGCCGATCACTTGGCGAGATCCAAGGTTCCGAGCACAGCCTGACCACCGACGTCCCTAGCGAGATCCTAGAACGAGTCGGTTGTCGCAACAAAAAGTCGTGTCGTCAGCACGACGGACTCGAGGACGTTGTGCTGTGGCCTGGGCACAACTCACACTTCCGAAAACGTCGACAATACCCGCCCGGGCTCCAAAGGCCGTCCTACAAATGCGTAGATCCGTCAAGTCAAGCCCGGCAATCTCTGACTAACCAATTCGATATGCCCCTGCATGCTATCAACCGTTCCTATGGCGATCAGATCGGATAGCAAGTATGTTAGCGTGATCTGGACCCGCAACACGATCCGAAAACTCACGCACCAATTTCCTTTCCGTCACTTGTCACCTGTCACCATTCGAAGCCGATAATCCGAGTGGCTCGTCCCGTCTGGTTTCGTTCCAACCTGTCAAGAGCTTACCGTTCCTGCCTATCGAGAGCTTGCCGTTCCTACCCGTCAAGAGCTCGATCAGTCACGGAGCCCGTCCAGTTTTGGCCGGTAAGACGCCTCGGAAACTCACAGTCATCGAAAGCGCGTTAACCCCCATTCGATACCTGTCAATCAACTAGTCGCCGAGAACAGGGTCAGCAACGATAATTGTCGAGCGAGGACGACAACGAAGGTACTCTTGCTGTATACGTCTTGAACCTGGACCTGCGGAAACACTTTGACCGAGCGAAAAAGTCAGCCGGCGGTCTGGCGAGCGGTAGAAAGCAGGAAACGGTACTCTTGCTGGATACATCTTGGACCTCGACCTGCGAAAACACTCGGCAAGCGGACAAGTCAGCTCTGGTTTCATCAAACGGACGAAAGGGGAAAGGTACTCTTGCTGGATACATCTTGGACCTGAACCTGCGGGAACACTCGGCAATCGAAACGTCAGCTCTGGTGTCTCTGTTACGGAGCGAGGAGGGAGGTACTCTTGCTGGATACGTCTTGGACCTGAACCTGCAGGCAACACTTGGCAAGCGGGGCGATGTCAGCTCGATTCAACAGGATACGACGATAGAAAAGGCGAAAGGTACTCTTGCTGGATACGTCTTTGACCTGGCCTGTGATCACTCGTAAGGTGGCGAGAAGACGTCAGCTCTGCCCATATCTGAACGGGAACGAAAGGAAACGGTTCTCTTGCTGCATACGTCCTTGACCTTGCATCCTCGAATACCACATACAGTCTCCTGGCCGCTCTTCTCGGGGTCTTCTATCGATGCTCTCTTGACGTTGATCTCGCTTGCGATGCCCGTTTCCAATATACTCGATGCTACCCGTGACCCGTGCTCGCTCCCGTTGGCCTCTTCGCTGGCGCCTCTTGAACGTTTGATCGCACCATCGCTCGCCATCGCTGTCGCTATCGTCGGAAGAACGGGACGCCTGACGCGCTCCAAGGAAAGAGTCTGGGCAGACCTGTCTCGCCGGTGCCCCGCCGGCACGATCTTCTAGAGTGACAGCCACCACTGACCATCGCGAGAGAGTGGAGGAGGAGGAGGCTCTTGAAAGAGGAAAGCTTCGCCATCGTGGCCGCCGTTTGGTCTTGGGAGATCAGGTCCGCTTCGAGACCCTAATCCCGACTGGCAGGTTCAAGTCCGAGACCCGATCTTCTCGCTTTGCGCAAACAGCGGTCCTGTCAAAGTGCTCACCATGGCGGCCACCGCTCGTCTCGGAGGTTCAGGTGCACGTTTCAGACCCTAATCCCGACTCGCAGGTTCAAGTCCGAGAGACCCAAACCCCTCTCTTGAGCGGCGGCTCTGGTAGAGAGATCGCTCCCCTCTCCTCTCGGCGCGCTCCTCCTGCCTGTTCCTGCCTCACTTGGCGCTCAGAGGCCGTCACGTCGTGTCTTGCCAGCAGGGTCGGTGGGGTCGAGATCGCCGTTTGCTCTTTCCTCTTCTGGCTTTGGATCCCATCCTCTCTCTTTCGTAGCCCGGGATGTCGATCGTCGGTCCGTGCGAGGCCGTGGTATCTTGGTGGGTTTTCGTCGGTATTCTTCCGTGTTTCGTATGTAATTTCAAGTTCTGTCTTCGGTGCATCCTGCTCCCATCGATCTCGCTCTCGTCCGACCTCGCCGCCGTCTTGAAAGGGTCCGTACATGGTCCTCTTGCTAAGCGTCTTGTATATCCTCCCCGCGGTCTCGTCTCCTCGTATCCTGTCCTTGTCCTCGTTTCTTTCCTCAAAGCCCACACCGACCATCCCATCTTTATCCCCGTTCCTGCCCAGCCTAACCCTTCGTGTTTCCGTGTTTGCTTATACTAGATCGATGGTCCCGCCGCTACGTCTATCACCTTGCCGCTATGTCTATACTCTTGCTGCTACGTCTATCTTGCGGTCTTATTCGTTACCGATGCCGCTGTCTGTTCTTGTGAAAGAAGAAGAGGGAGAGGAAAAGAGCGAAAAGATCAAGTATATCGAGGTCGTCATTTTGTTTTGATCAAGGTGGTGGGAGGATATGTTCGTCGCGCTCGGAAGCAAATTCGGAGGCAACGATGGATGACGTGTACGTACGTACGTGGGGATAGCGGACTGAACCACCCAGCAGCATGCGATGACCATGAACGACAAGTAGGCTTTACAAACGGTGCGGACCAGGCGCTCTACAAGGGATTAGACTGGGTACATCCTGACGAGCTACTTCTCCCCCGAAGGAACCTCCCGTAATGGCGGCGAGTACGAGCGGCGGTCATGTCGACCTGACGCTCGCACGGAATTCCTCTTGTAAAAATCCTGTACGCCCAGCCTGTAGATCGACCAGCGTAGACAGCATCTGGGCAATGTCATAGAGGTTCCTATTGTATACCAGAACGGTGATCTTGCGCAGGGACCGACCTCGAGGACGCGAGGACGGTCTTGCGTGTTGGCGGATGCGAGGCGGTTCAGCGGTATTCGTGATCTGATCGATGTCTTTGACCGATGTCGGATCATTGTCCACCCCCAAGACTTCTCCAAAAGTGCCGAGCGAGCCGAACCGTGGACATGGTGCAGAGAGATCGCTCGCAACCGGGCATATCGAAAGGTGATATCGTGGTGTGCTCGTCTGTAAGCGTTGCCTTTTTCGTGGGTGGGATTCCTCGCACGTCATGCATGGCCCGCCGTATCGCAAGAGCTAGGGCGAGGATGGAAATAGGGTCAGCAAGGAACGACGACCCGAGATCGATAGCACGACCAACACCGATCTCTCGGCATCGTAGACGTACTTTGCCATCGAGCTGAATGGCCCCAGGTCAATCCCCTCGGTACACCGATCGATCCAGCCAGTTCTTGCTCGGTATCCGCACATGTTGATCGCCCGTCCGCGTCTTTTTCCGGCTTTGCTTCTGAGGTCGGTCCAGGTTAATCCGAAGCAAGCTCGAAATGACTCCCCATCGAGCTGCCCGACTGGTCTTGCAAGGCTGGTCTCGCAGATCTTGTGCCTGCCCACGATCGATTCGCCCGGGGAATAGGCTCGATAGCCATCGAATGACCCAGGAGCGAGGGGGTCAAGAACATGCTAGCCCTGGCGATGATCGACCGATCGATTGCCTTTGCGTCGATGCTGTGCTGTCCACCATAGCGACGACCGATTCCTCTTCGTTCCGAGTTCCGAGCGAGCTGATGAGAGATCCGATCCTCCGGTCCGGCCATCGAAGAGAGTAGCGGCTCGGCCTCTTCGTTTGCATGCCAATGTTCTGCGTTCACGAGTGCAAGGTAGACGGTCAGCGTTCCTTGTATATGCACCCGCGATATCGAATCCGGACTTGCCATATCGTGCGGTTCTTCCCAGCGAGACCTGGATGGCAGCGTCGCCAGATGAGATCCGGCAAATAGTCTGCAGTGTCCCACCACCATGTACGCGCTTTATCAAGCTACGAGAACAGGTGCACGCCCGTGTCAGCCCGAGGAAGATCGATGAGACCTGCTTACGATCGTCATGGCGGTACCGGCCTGGTACTCGCTCTTGTCCAGGGGTTATCCGATGTCTGGCCACTTCCGCAAGGTCTTTCCGACTCGTCGAAGTGCCCAGGTAGATAGCGTGTCGAAGTGCAAAAGTAGCGATTCGAAGTAGGCGTACCCACACCCTCGCCGTTCGTCTTCGTCCGTATTACCCTCGCCCCTGTCAAGTCGGCTCATCAGTCAATCGGTCTCGGTAGACACGCACGTAAAGAAGAAGAAGGGGAAACGGGGTGAATGAGGGGTCGACCACCTATCCCTGGCGCGCGTGAGAGATTGACAATCGCTCGGGTTCACAATTTTTCTCTGCTTTACTAAGCTAAGAGACGCGCCCACGCATCGTTCGCGCGAACACGAAGCGAATGATTCAATCCCCATCAAACAGTAAACAAAGTCTCCCCGCGAACACGAGATGACCCGCGAACAAACAAACATAACAAAGGTAAAAAACAAAAAGAAAACAAACCTACATTCGCACAACAAAAGACCAACTCTGCCAGACAATAGACATTACACCATGCATGCTTGAAACATCCCACGACAAAAGAACTCTGCCATCGTTTCAGCCAACTGTACTCCATCTTCGACACCTAGAGGTCTCGCTGTTCCCGGCCCATATCTCATATATAAGACGCAAACTTTGATATACTACACCATGCGCACCGCTCCCTCTCGTATGTTCTGCCTTTCTCCTCCTTCTCACCTTCCGCATCTACTACTCATAATTACAACCTAATCCAGCAAATCCATTTACTTCTACCATGTCTGTCCCCGCCAACTCCTCCAACCCGGTCACCCCCGACCAAAGTGCTCGCATTACGCTGGCACCCACCCCCACCTCTTCCTCCCTCCGCGATCTCCTCAATGAAGAAGATAAAGAGGTCACCAAGTTGGCAGGCAAACCAACTGATATCATAGCCGCCGTCATCGCATCTGCGACGGGAACCGATCAGGATGCACCTGATGATCTCTCATCCGTCGGGTGTAACTGTTTCGCCTCTCCATGCCTTTGTCCGCAAGAGGAATTTCCACAACTTGTCCCCGCGAACGGTCCGAAATTCTGGCGCGACAAGTTCGCGGGTGGGCGAATCGACTTGAATCTCTCGCGTACACCCTCGCCCCGCCTCGTTCCAAACGAGCCCCCTCTTCCCCAGGCAGGCCCATCTGCCCCTCCACCGTCTCCACCTCATCCTCCCTCTCCTCGCACGACGCTCAATCACCACATGCTTATTAATGAGCTGGACAAAAAGCACCACGACGAGAGGATGAAGGACCTCGACGAGAGTCACCTCATGTTTATTAATGAGTTGGACAAAAAGCACTCCCACGAGAGGATGAAGCGCAACGACGAGAGGATGAAGAACTACCGGCAGCAGGCTGCTGAAGACAAGGCCCAGTTTGAGGAGGATCTTTTGCTCCGCGATGCCGCTGACTGGTCCTGGACTGGCCTTGACCTATTGCCTGACGACGACGACGACGACGATAACAGTGGCCTTGGCGGCAAGAGGATCCCCGCCCTGACCGCTCGTGATAAGGGCAAAGAGCGGGAGAGGGGTGCTACTCCCGTAGTCACATCCAGCGCGGCGCGGCCACCTCCCGTTGCGGCTACAACTATCCCCTCCCGTCTTTTTGCTGGGCTCAAACCTCCCGTCGGATGGGAGTCCGGTACGCGAGACCTTCCTCAACCTCCCCAATCTGCCCGCGAACAGCTCGCTGCTGCCTCTTCGGCTCTCGCTGCCGCTCTAGACGCACCGGCCAACTCTGCCATTCCTGTAAGTCACATTGCTCGACATGGCTGTCTAGAGATCACGCTCAACTTGAGGACTTCTCTCTCCCCTCGTATCTGAAGCCTATCGACCTCACACGCAGTCTTGCAGATTACCAAACGGTCATTACTGCCTTAGCGGCTGATACTATGGGTACGTGTTCTGAACGATGAGGCAGCATCCTGTTCTAATCTCATAATCTCATCTCCTTCTTCCTCCTCGCGATACAGATGCGGGACTTACGCCAGCTGCCGCCGTGCTGATGTACTCCGAACAGGAGGAACGACGACGCCGAGAGGCCATCGCAGCCCCTGCCCCGACCCCGATTCCATCACTTCCCATGGGTCTTCCCTCCCTCCTCAAAGTATCTCAACCTCCCGTCCTCCAGGCCGCCATGGGTCAGCGTGATCCAGCTGCCCCACTTGCCCAACTAGCCAACAATCGGGCCTCGGTGGCTGAAGTACCGCTCGTTCCGAGCTCTTTCCGCTTCGAGGATCCACTGAGTCACGCATTGAAGACTAGGGTAGGCGAGCTCAAGAACCCATAGCGTTGTTAACTTTCGTTTAAACTTTTCTCTTCTCTTTTACAAATTCTAGGCTCAGTCCATCATGGAGGCGAGCGCAAAGCCTCGTGATTGGGATCCGGAGGAACACTACCCGCCTCTGCAACCCGGCCGCTCCCAATCTAATCACTACGTTGACCCGCCGGCCACGATGCTTACGGCCTTTCCCACCGCGAAGTTCTACTCCCGCTTCCGGCCTGGATACTGGTTACACGATGCAGCAATTGAGTCGTATCTGTACTTGGTCGAATGCCGCGCGAACACCCCCGCGAACAACGCTCCCAATCATTCCGGTAGCTCCGCGAAGGTGATCGTCGGCCCGACCGTGATCGGACAGATCCTCACATCCAAATACCAGCAGGGAGCGCGTTATCTCGGTGCCGTAGATGGGAGTCCCACCCAACTTCCGTACTTCGAGCAGGTGAGCAAATACTTTTACTACGCCGTCAATTGAAACTTTCAAACTTACAACATACTTGTTCGCCATCCCTTCTTAGAATGGCATCGACCTGTTCGAAGCTAACCTCTTTGTCATGCCCTGGAACGTCAACCGGGAACATTGGTTTGCGGTTGCAATCGACATTCCCGAGAAGGCTATATATATCGTTGACTCTGCACGGTATCAAGATGCCACCCGCACGGATGTTTTCTCGGTATGTCTTCCCTCCAGACGCCCCGTCCTTTCGTTGCTCACCTTACACCTTACCCCTCGTGAACAGTATGTCTTGTGCTGGCTTGCGGAGACTCATCATGCCCTTCGCGGTACCGCTTTGGATACTTCAGCATGGACGTATCACTACCCGGTGAGTTTGTCCCCTCGTTCCTCCGTTGGCGGTTGATAGGTATTCATACGAACACCACCCGACATACAGAACGTCGCGCAGCAAGAGAACGGGAGTGATTGCGGCGTATTCACCTGCCTGTTCATCGAAGCTATCTGTCGGACCAAGTCTGTTCAACAGGGTGCAGAAAGTCTTTTCCACAGCAACATCGATGACGCCCGAATGCTCATGACGCTCGAGCTGGCCCAGCGACGTCTCCTTAGCCGACGAGGGTAGGTTGTACATTAGATTCATTGCGTTTGGTATTCGGGTGGCTTGTAAGGTCGTTCTCAATCTGTTTATACATTTCAATGCTTGCTCCTTCCTTCACTCTTACTATTCCTTTTGCCCTCGACTCAGTGAGGACCGACGTCTGCTTCATTAAGTTCTGCACCAACTACACCAACACCTGTTGTCATACCGCCTATAAATACACGATGTGACCGCCAATACATATCGTCCCCCTTGCAAATGTACTGCAACTCCCTGTCAATCAGTTGGTTTGTGTTCGCGCATCAGTTGGTTTGTGTTCGCGGGAGACTCTCTTCACACCGCGAACATCTGCATCCGCATTTTCGGCTGTACCCGACGTTATCGTTGTATCGCTACCTTCACTTTCTTCCTTTACATAAAGTCGCTGTTACAGACGCACTTACACTCTCATGCGAATCCCAATGCCATCCAGACACTGGTCCACTCTGTCCACTGTGTCATGCCTCCCGATCGTCCACCAAGAACACCAACGAAGGTCAAGCGAGGGAAGCCATCAATTATACCAAACAGTAGTCTACCTTCAGCTTTCGTCCCTCCTAGATCACCTTCAACACCATCTCCCCTCCGGGTGACAACTCGCTATCCAACAGGGCGTGCAAGTCTTTTCAATACTACCAGTCGTGAGGGTGTGATTCTTTCTTTTCCCGGCTGGCGGCCAAACGGGAGCAGGCCCAGAGGAGTGCAGGCCTCTCACAAAGAAACGAACACTATCCTCACGAACCACTTTGAAGGATTCAATGACATCGCAACTGAACAAGAGGACGTGTTCGGCCCTGTTCGTCATTTTGATCATCTTAACGAGCTCAACACTGCACTGAGCCAGGCTTTGACCCGTGGCAACAAATCGTCAGTCCCGTAGGGCACCGTCTCCCATTCACATCACCTCATTCGCGGTCTGTTCCTCCCAGGTCTTACCTCGTCGAACGCAATCGCGAACAGGTCTACCTCGATCAAATCCTCATTGTCCTTGTCATTCACTACTACCGCCACAGATACAGTCCCCCACCGACTCCGCCCCTCCCATGGGGAGATGGACAACAAGGCTGCTCATCTCTTCTGCTCGTCGATATTTACGGTCAGTCTCTTCACTCACTCTCCACGGGACGTGTATTTACACCGTGCGAAATAGAATGTTCGCATGTTTGGCTTCCGAATTCATGGAGAGAAACTCCAACCGGGATTGCTGCGCACATCATCAGCCGAGGATACATTCCGTCTCGGCTGCAATTCCCGACTGTAGCCTTCAGCTCAAAATGCCTAGAATTCTACACGATACATTTCCGTCACGCCCAGCATTCGCGACAGTCATTCGTACGCTCTATCTGTACATACAATCAAGTACGTCTCTGGAGGTGTATGTCTCAAAGCTTGGATGATACATAACTTGCTAACGTGCTCGGACGCCCCGCTTCCCAGATAGCCTACAGCGAAGGCCTTCGCGTAAAATTCAGTGCTGCTGTTGACCTATACATCGACATCGTGACCGCTATGGAGAATGAAGTAGGGCCATTCCCACCCCACAAAGCGTATAATACTGATATCACTCTCACTCCAGGCAGATTCCTTACAGAATCGGGGAACCACAGTGTTCGATACGGACTTCCGGCGCGCAAACCCCGACCGCGAACAGGTCCTGTCACGACCTCCTCCACCTACAACTCAGGATGAACCATTGACGACTCGCTCCGCACCAATGACCGGGGTACTAGCACCATCAGATTGTCCATCGGTAGAAGCACCTGCGAGGGGCCCCCCACTTCGCCAGTGGGACTGCCCGCTGTGTTTTGGTAGCGAGTCAGCTCCCCCGGATGATACGTATGAAGTCTGTGTCGCTCTGGACGGCAACAACAGTTTGAAGAGACATGATCACCATCCATCGGCTCGGCAGTACCAAATTCATCGATCGTCGTTCCGCCTGGGCACCACCTTTGTTGATTCGTTCAGTCATCAAACCATCACACATCAGAAACAGGCCTCTCAGCCACGACCGCGAACAGCTCCAACCCCTGCTCAGGATGTTCCCGACACTCGCCCTTGTGCATCACATTGGAATGCAGCCTTGGAGAAGCCAGCCGCAACCAAGATCTTCGACGCAATGGGATGGTTCCCGCTGGTCTGCCGACATGGCGTCGTTCTCGCATACACTGATATGATAAAGGAGCGAGAGAACTCCAAGTTTCCGCTCGCGCTTCTGCGATGGATGGCAGATCGCTATCCCGGACGGATCGCTGTTGGATATGATATCGGTTGCACGTTTAGCAAAACATTTGCACATGCGCCCCTGCTTAAGCATCTCCAGGAGCCTCATCCACGGCTGTCTTTTCGTCAGTAAGAAGATGTCTTCAAGGAGAGACCTCCCAACTGAATGTCCCTCCCTTGCCCAATCCAGACATCGGCGCATGGCATGGATATGCCCATTCATACGAATGCCAGCTGCAGTACCATCCGCGAATAACCGCCGCAGTGGGGTTGGAAGACTTTGAGACGTGTGAACGTCTCTTCTCTTTCACTAATCGGATGGCTGGATTATCCCGGCATGCTACAGCGTATCACCGACATCAAATGCTGGAGATGATGTTGAAACACTGGAACGCTGACAAGCTGGCGAACGCAGGTGCGTCCCCTCGATTGCACCCTCAAAATCAGGCGCTGACGTGTTCGCGGCCTCATGAATGCAGCCAGGTTCCTCGTAGCAAACCTCCGATCAGCTAGAGCTATGCAGCGGGAGGCTCTGGAGACGATCCGGAGCCTCACTCGCAGCCATGGCAAGCCTCACTGGGATCTGGCATTCTTCCGAACGATGATCGATAGTGAGCGAGTCTCCCGAGAAAACGGTCACTCTGTTGCTACACTGCACATGCGTAGGGCGCGAACGGAACAAGCTCGCTTCTATCGCTTGGCCTCATCGTACCGGTCAGCTTTGAACGACAGCAAACAAAAGCGAATCGCTTTCGATCAAGTAAACAACGAACCGACGACCGATCCTGTGATCCACTTTATGCATCTTGCGCACCGGGCCAATGCAGACGATGCTCTGGTGAACGCCCGCAAGGATCTGTTGATCTGTATGAACCAACACAACTTACAGTCACGGTATCCGAGGGACGCAGACATCTTCATCTGGCTAGACAGTCAGGAGGGCAAGATAGCGGCAGACAACGCCGTGTGGGAGGCTTATGAAGACGCTCTCGACCACCTGGAACTGGCTTGTATGTCGCGGATGCAAGAGTTAGATCGCTGTTCGCGCCCGGGAACGTCGTACAAGCTCCGAGCTAAAATCCAAGCAGGCCTCAATGCCAGAAGCGCTGGTCTTGAAACATCTCTCAAGAAGTATCAGACGGCACGTTTGGCTCTGCCGATCGCACAGCGACCGCCCCTTATCGATCAAAGCCGTTGGACGGAGAATCAAGAAGCAGTCTCTGAGTCTTTTGCCTGCCTTAGAGACCAACGGCACTTTGGAGCGGAACTCTGGACTCAACCACATATAAGAGAGGGGGTGCGTGCCACCCGTCATTACGACTGTGCGATGAAAGAGCTCGCCAGGATGAGGACGGAGGCGGCACGTTTACAATACTGGCTGGTGGATCAACGTAACCTGTTGTGCACGATAGTAAACACATCAAACATCCCCCCCACAGCCATCTGGGATTCTTTGAAACACCCTGTAGCGCATACAAAACCGAGGCAACTTTTGCCCGCTATGGCCGTGTGCTGCATCATGGAGCGACTGAAAACGTTCGATCTTCTTGCCGCCGGCCTCAATCGTGACTTCCATCCCTTTAGAGAAGATGAAAGTCATGTGCCCTTGCAAGACGTACCTCCCCCTGTACAACTTCACGAGAGGTTCAGGCTATCTTGGTGCCGTTGGACAACCCAGGATGCTGGAACGTCAACGATAGACACCGATTTCGACTGTGACGAGGACAGTATACCGGCAGGAGCGGATGAAGTCGACCCCATTTAGGGGTTAGGGGTTAGGGGTTAGGGGTTAGGGGTTAGGGGTTAGGGGTTAGGGGTTAGGGGTTAGGTTAGGGGT